AGAGTGTTTGAAAGAAAAAAAGGGAAAGTCATTCAGCTCATGTCCTTCTCTACTTGTTGTGAACTAGGCAGGAATTACTTCTGAGCAGACATGGTGATCACTGCACTGTAAATCCATACACAAATCCATTTTTCTTTACAAATCCCAAATACGCCATGAACTTGGCCACCGTTTTATTTACTAGGGTTTGGGAAAAGGCGGCCCACACTGAACCTGTCAGCAAAGGCAACAATAATTTTAAGCGGCTCTCCTCCCTGCCACAGCCCCGGTGCCGAACAACGCACAATCTGTCACCAGCTCAGGCATTACGCAAGGAAGAGGCGCAGCACACCAGAGGCACTTGAGAATGGCTGCATTTGTACACACACACACACACGCCAGAAAGAGCCTCGCTAAACGCAAAAACCTCCGCCTGGTCCAGCGCTCGGGCCCCAAACGCAGGCAGGCAGGCAGCGTGCGTCTGATAAGCTGACAAGCGGCAACCCCACACTCTACATTGCATCTCATAGAATTGGATGGGATCCCCAAAGGCCATCTAGTCCAACCCCCTGCAATGCAGCTGAAGAATCCCTGGGAGATGCATATCCAACCTCGCCTTAAAAACCTCCACCGCCTCCCGAGGGAGACCGTTCCACTGTCAAACAGCTCTTCGCATCAGAAAGTTCTTCCTGATGTTTAGTCGCAATCTCCTTTCTTGTAACTTGAAGTTACGGGTTCGAGTCCTACCCTCCGGAGCAGCAGAAAAACAAGCTTGTTCCCTCTTCCATGGGACGGCCCGTGAGATATCTGAAGGTGGCTCTCCTATCTCCTATCTCCTCTCGCCTTCTTCAACCATTCCTCATCAGGCTTGGTTTCCAGACCCTTGGTCATCTTGGTCGCCCTCCTCTGCCCACCTACCTTCCTAAACTGAGGTCCCCAGAACTGGTCACGGGACTCCAGGTGGGGTCTGACCAAGGCAGAATAGAGTAGAACTACTACTTCCCTTGACCTCCCTTGCCCCCAACTCCCAGCGGTATACTACCCCTGAACATGGAGGTTCTGTTTTACTATCATGGCCAAGGACCACAAAAATAAAAACAGAAATGATTCAGAGGGATATAAAAGCCATCAGCCTTCAACCTGCCTGAGCCTGTTGAGCCAATGCAGCCCCAATTAGTTACAACGTCATTTTGCCCCTTGCTGGGAACTAACTGGCAGCCAACAAGACATGGAAGGCTTCTGGGCGAGACCTTAATATCACTGGCAGGTCGTGCGCAATTTTTATTATTTTTTAAAAAATTATTAGCTTTTCTACAGAAAATCTGGAGGAGACTCTTGAGAGTCCCATGGACTGCAAGAAGATCAAACCGATCCATTCTGAAGGAAATCAGCCCTGAGTGCTCACTGGAAGGACAGATCCTGAAGCTGAGGCTCCAATACTTTGGCCACCTCATGAGAAGAGAAGACTCCCTGGAAAAGGCCCTGATGTTGGGAATGATGGAGGGCACAAGGAGAAGGGGACGACGGAGGACGAGATGGTGGGACAGTGTTCTCGAAGCTACCAGCATGTGTTTGACCAAACTGCGGGAGGTAGTGGAAGACAGGAGAGCCTGGCGTGCTCTGGTCCATGAGGTCACGAAGAGTCGGACACGACTAAATGACTAAATAACAACAGAAAATCTGAATCCTGGTTGAAGGAATAAAGGCTGGCATATCTGTGCCAATGATGTTGTGTGGCTGCTGTGGAAAACACATGAGCAGCATTGATCCCGCCACAGACTCCTGACCTTACGGCAGACAAGCCACAGCTCAACCGTAGAGCATCTGCCTTGCAAGCCAAAGGGGGCAGGTTTGATCTCTAGGTAGGGCTGAGGATGCTCAGGGGCGCCATTGTTGCCAGTCAGTGCTGGCAATACTAAGACAGGGATCTGACTCAACAGAAGGCAGCTACTTCCTATGTTCCGAATACCAGCCTGGCCTGACCTTCTTTTCTGGCTCTCCCGAGAATTAGTGGTGTTGTTGTTATTTAAATTTGCATGAAAGCAGGAATCTCCCACCTCTTTGGTGCTACTCATGCGAGGCTGCAAACTAGATACACACTCACTCAGGAACAACCTACACCAAAACCAGCGCGATTTACTTTGGAATGCAGCTGCAGAGATGTTCCTAACTTCCAGGTACCCGTTTACACCAATACCGAGCTGTCCCCCAACGCCCCCCGCCCGCTTTTCAAACAGGCGCCACCCGCGCCTCTTCACACGTTACGTTTTGCGCGCGTGTATCAAATGCCACCGCAGCCAAACACGTGCCGCACACACTGCATCAACGTGACCGGACCCGTCGTGCAGGCGCCTCCGGGTGGGAAGACACCGCGGCTTGCTGCTGCTGGGTCCACGTCGCCCATACCGGGGCGCTAACGCTCGTCAGAACGCGCCCGACGCGCGTCCCAAGCGCGGCTGCTCCGCAGTCCCGCTCCGGACCCGCATCTCCCTCCAGGCGCGGCCCTGTGAAGCCCCCACCCAGAAAAGACCCCCAGCCAGCCAACCTCCCTCTCCGCGGAGCGCGGCGCACTCACCGGGTGCCTTTGTCGCCCATGGCCTCGGCTGGCGGCTCTGCTGCCGGGCGCGGAGAAAGCGAGGGACGGGGGCGCGCTCCTTGGTCGTCCGGCGGCGGGCGGCGGGGCTCGGCTTCTCCCGGCCTGCGCAGCCCGGGCAGGGCAGGGACGGAGCTCCGCCCGGCGGCGGCGGATGCTGCGCGTCGGGAGCCACCAGCTGCAGCCAGAGCGCAGCGCAGCGACGGAGCGAGCGAGCCAGAGGAGAGGAAGCGGCGCCCGCCTCGCAGCAGGAGTCCGCGCGGGGGCGGAGAGGGAGCTGCCCGCTTAGAGACGCCCTGACATGCCTCCCCCGCGCCGCCGCCGCCGCCTGCTTCCGGGCCGGGTTTGCAGCGCCGCCGCCGCGTAGGGACCGGCCGCTCGCGAGCAGCAGCAGGAGGAGGAGGAGGCGCCGCCAAGCAGCAGCCCAGGCGCGCGCCCCGGATTCCCCTCCTCCGTGCGCGCGTCACGAGCGGCAGACCGCCGAGCCGGCAAACAAAAAAAAAACCCAATCCCAAGGATGGCTCGTCCCCGCCCTGCCCGCCTGATCTCGACACGCGGCGCGCCTTCGGGACGCGTTCACACGATGTCCCGGCGCGGAAAGGAGCGCGCGCGGGGTCAGGGCGCGTGGAGCGAGGCTGGCGGAAAGGCTGGCCGGCTGCTAGGATTTTCGCTGTTGAGGAAGGGAGATGGGGCGGGTGGGGAGATGCGTAGGATCGTAGAGCTGGGAGGGACCCGCGAGGAGGGTTGCTAACTCGGTCCTGGCAAAATACAGTGGTACCTCGGGTTAAGTACTTAATTCGTTCCGGAGGTCTGTTCTTAACCTGAAACTGTTCTTAACCTGAAGTACCACTTTAGCTAATGGGGCCTCCTGCTGCCGCCGTGCTGTCGGAGCACGATTTCTGTTCTCATCCTGAAGCAAAGTTCTGAACCTGAAGCACTATTTCTGAGTTAGCGGAGTCCGTAACCTGAAGCGTATGTAACCTGAAGCGTATGTAACACGAGGTACCACTGTAAAGGACTGGGAGGGGCAGTTGGGGGGCGATATTTTCCCCCTTTGGTGCTGAAGTGACTTCAAAGCAATCCATTACAGTCTATTGCAGCCTGACCCTCTGGAATTTGTCACACACATGCCAGCACACACACAGGAATGTGTGAATCTGTCTGTGCTTGGGAACCCAGAGTTTAAATACATGGCCTTTCACACACCCTCTCAAACACATGCATTTGGAGAGGACCCCTAACTTGGGGGAGAGAGGGGTCCTGAAATAAAGGAGAAAACTCTATCAATACAGGACGTAGCATTTTACATTTGAAATATGGGACAATCCTGTATTATAAAGAACAGGTGGCAATCCTCTCTGAGGGTCATCTAATTCCAACTGTCTGCAATGCAGGGATTTTCGCCCACGGTGGGGCTTGAACCCACGAACCTGAGAGTAAGAGACTCGGCCACTAATGGTTGGCATCTGCCTTTTCATGCCTCAGGATTTGAGGTGCCTGCTGCTGCCCTTCTGATATTGTCTGAAATCCAGACACCTGGGCAGGAACTTCCCCAGTGGAGTCTGTGAGAAGCACTCTCATTCTGTCAATAAAGCTTTCTGGTTTTTGCACTTTCACTGAAACCAAGCGATGAGGATGTGATGGAAGACCCTGAACGAACACAGGGCAGGCCAGACGCCAGCCCATTCACAAGCGCAAAGGACCACCCCAAAGTGCGTAACTCAAGCCAGTGAGCCCAGCTGCAAATAACATGTCGTGGGGGTTAGAGAGTGTGCGTGTGCTTGTGAATATGCAGGGTGGGAACAAAGAATGCGGCCGTACCTCCGCTCTGGAAACTCCCTGCTTTGGCACCTGCTAAAAATATTTTCTGTTCAGACTACCTTACCCAGGCATGGAATGTTGACATGTATTTTATTTTTTAAGCTGCCAATTTTGATGATTAAGCAGTATATAAACGCGATTAAATAAAATGAATAGGAAACTGCGGTATGAGATCATTGGCCCATTCAACTCAGCAATGCCTGCACTGACTGGTTCTCCCAGCCCTTCTTGGAGATGCAGGATTTGAACCCAAAACCACCTGCATGCAAAGCAGATGCAAATATTGGAATTACACATTCGGAATTCTAAACCCACCCGGAAGCTGCTGGTTTGGGGCAGGTAATATGATTACTGTTTAGTAATGTATCAGGGGGTGGGGGAGTGTTTTCATCAGCCTAAGGGCCGCATTCCTTAATGGGCGGCCTTGTGGGGGCCAGAGGTAGGCGGGGCCAGAGCTAAAAGAGGGTGGAGCAAGGGATCGGACTCCTTGTCTTTGCACAAGCGGCTACATTCCAGCTGCATGATGTATTGCGTTTGTTTGCAAAAAAATATGTTCATTAGGCAAAACTGCATACAGAAACCTGAATATTAAGAGAAAAAACACACGTTTGGGTTATTCTTTTTTTTAATTGCAAACTGATCCAGAAATGTGAACTATGGAAAAATGAGAAACGGGGAGAAAACCGGAATTGACCGGTTCAAGCTAGCAGGAAATGCAGCGTTTGGACGCCTGACTCAGAGGCTTTTCCCATCTAACCCAACCTTGCACACTCTGGCTGGCAGCAGCCCCAAAGCCTTGGGCAAGCACTCTTTCCTTGCCCTACTGCCCAAGATCCATTTTTTGTTTAGAGACGATGGGACTTGACATGGGGCCTTCTGCACTCAAAGCACGTGTTCTGCGTAGACACAGGTCTAGGATCTTGTGGTCTCTCATGGAGAGAATCAAGCCAAGACTGCCCTTCTTGATGGAGGCATCTCTCCCAGGCCTGCAGCAGAGATGCCATGCGCTTTGAACAGAGACGCCAGGACCTTCTACCAGCTTCTAGCTGCAGCTCTGCTGACCAGCCTAGTTCTGTTCCATGTCAATTCTGCATGTGCTCAGTCTTTTTTCTGTCCCATTTCCTGTGGATTTTACACACGCACAAAAAGAGCTACATGCTTTCTCAGCACCCCTCCTAAAAAAAGCATCCCATATACATTTTTATTCATTTTTTAAAAAAATGAAAACTGCATTTCAAAATTTGGAAAAATGTGTAGTCTGTTACAGTACTCTCTTTGTCTGCAGTTACCTTCCCTAAGGACAAAGTGCTCCATCATCTGTCGCTCCATCTCCCATCATCCAATATAAAAGCCATCCGATTGCTCTCCGACTCTCACAGGCTTCTCTCCCCGTCTTGTGGCAGGGAGTTCCAAAGGCATCGGTTTCTTCAAGGAGTGTTTTCCCCAAGCATCGGAGCCTGGGATTGGCCCAGGTGGCCCGAGAAGTGAATCAATGGTTCTCAGCCAGCTGGGAAGCTGGACGTCAGAACTGCTTCAGGGGATTGGACCTGGGTTCACCTGGCACGCCATTCCAGCTGCCACCAGGCACACAAGGGGGGAAAGGGCTGCTTAATCACAGAATTGCAGGGTAGGAAGGGACCACTAAAGGTCATCGAGCCCAACCTCTGCATCTGACTTGCTGGAACTATAGTGCAAAGGAAGACTCACAAGGCACGTGTGGCTATTCTCAGACGCTTACACCTGCTTTTGGCTTGCTGCCTCCGATCTTGAACTGTATCCTGTTTCCAAAAGTGGCTGTTCGGATGCAAAGCAGGCGGCTGGTTACCTTCTTCACTTCCTTGTCCTCAGCACCTACAATTCAGAGGTACACTGCCTCTGGAGAAGGATGCTCGTTTGCTTGTTTTATTGCTAACCATATTTATTTCCTGCCCGGCAACAAAGTTCTCCTGGCAGCTTGCAGTAAACTTTGAAGTACAGTGGTACCTTGGTTCTCAAACGCCTTGGCACTCAAACAACTTGGAACCCAAACACTACAAACCCGGAAGTAAGTGTTCCGGTTTGCGAACATTTTTCAGAAGCCGAACATGCTCCATTTTGAGTGTTACACTTCCGATTTGAGTGCCACACTTCTGTTTTGAGTGTTACACTGAGGTCTGTCTGTTTTTGGTATTTATTTTGTGTTCTTGTTTTTACAGCTTTTTTGTTTTGTTTCTGTGACTGTGTGGAACCCAGTTCAGCTACTGATTGATTGATTGATTGATTGATTGATTGTGTGACTGCAGTACATTGTTTATTGCTTTCATTTTATGGCTCAGTGGTCTCTAGACAGTAAAATCCACTTTAAATTGCTGTTTTAGGGGTTGTTTTTAGAAGTCTGGAACAGATTAATCCATTTTGCATTACTTTCTGTGGGAAAGTGCACCTTGGTTTTGGAACGCCTTGGTTTTGGAATGCTTTGGTTTTGGAACAGACCTCTGGAATGGATTAAGTTTGAGAACCAAGGTACCACTGTATAGCTATTATTTCCAGCAATGATTAGGTTCCACCGATTGCTCTCAAATTTGTCCACTTCTCTTGCAAAGCCGTCTCAGCTACCAAAAGTCTGCAGGCAAAAGCTGGGAAGTGCCTTGCCTTTTGCAGACCCTCCGTGATGGCCGAGGCCTCTTAACTCGGACCTAAAGGCGTTGTATGCCAGGCCAACCCTTTCCTTTCCTGTTCTGGCTGCTTGGAGACAGATGTCTGTGCTTACTTGAACATGGGGAGCGAGCCCACAGACTTGTGACGTCCCTGGACATTCTCTTGAGCCCAGAGACCAGCAGCAACAGACACAGGTAGGCTCAGAGGGAGACAGGAGCCTGAAATTGTTCTCATCTCTATGTGGCCACAGGGCGAGAGCTCAGCTCCAGAGGACCACCTTCCTGCCTCGGTCCACACTCCCAATGTAGGCTCCAGAGGGGCTCCAGGCCACAGCGTTCACAGGTGAGCTGGAGGCACAAGGAAGGAAAACAGAGAGGCACCATGATGACATATCACACCCACTCCTTGGACCATATTAAGAGGATGCTACATTATTAGGGACGTGGGTGGCGCTGTGGGTTAAACCACAGAGCCTAGGACTTGCCGATCAGAAGGTCGGCGGTTCGAATCCCCGCGATGGGGTGAGCTCCCGTTGCTCGGTTCCTGCTCCTGCCAACCTAGCAGTTCGAAAGAACATCAAAAGTGCAAGTAGATAAATAGGTACCACTCCGGCGGGAAGGTAAACGGCGTTTCCATGCGCTGCTCTGCTTCGCCAGAAGCAGCTTAGTCATGCTGGCCACATGACCCGGAAGCTGTATGCCGGCTCCTTCGGCCAGTAAAGCGAGATGAGCGCTGCAACCCCAGAGTCGGCCACGACTGGACCTAATGGTCAGGGATCCCTTTACCTTTACAATTATTATTATTATTTATATATATACCGCCCTATATCACAAATGTCCACAAATTCTAGGCAAAAAAAAAGGTAAAGGACCCCTGGATGGTTAAGTCCAGTCAAAGGCAACTATGGGGTTGTGGAGCTCATCTTGCTTTCAGGACGAGGGAGCCAGCGTTTGTCCACAGACAGCTTTCCGGGTCATGTGGCCAGCAGGACTAAACCGCTTCTGGTGCTACGGAACACTGTGATGGAAACTAGAGCACATGGAAACACCATTTACCTTCCTGCCGCAGCGGTATCTCTTTATCTACTTGTGCTGGTGTGCTTTCGAACTGCTAAGTTGGCAGGGGCTGGGAGCTCACCCCATAGCGGGGATTTGAACCGCCCGACCTGATCAGCAAGCCCAAGAGGCTCAGTGGTTTAGACCACAGCGCCTGGGGGTCTCGGGGCGGTTCACAGAATAAAATCAAGATCTAAAACCACAAAATACATAGTAAAAATAAAAAGAACAACCCAATAGCCCCCCACCAAAAAACCCCACCAGGGCATAGGATGTCAATAAGATCAACCAAAAGCCTGGTTAAAAAGGAACATTTTTGCCTGGCGCCTGAAGGTGTATAATGAAGGCACCAGGTGAACTTCTCTGGGGAGAGCATTCCACAGACGGGGAGCCGCTGCCTTAACACTTTGGGACCAGGTTACCTATGAGATCACCTCCCACCGCATGTGGCGACTCAACCACTTCAACCGGCGGAACGGGCACTGCTACAGGCGCTGCAAAACACCCGTTCCGCCATGTGGCTGTGGAACTCCCTGCCTCTTGATGTCAGGCAGGCGTCTTCGCTGTACTTATTACAGTGCCCACTAATAACATTTTTGTTTAGACAGATCTACCTGGATGTTTAGAAAATCAATGTGTGCTTTAATTTTTTTAGCCGATAGTTATTTTCATTTTTGAAAGTTTTGCATTATCTCGCTGTTCGTTTTTCTTATTGATAACTTTATTGTTTTTGCTTTGAGGTTGTTTTTATAGTCAAGCGGTCACGCTTCCCTCTAGGATGGCTAAGTGGGGCCAGGTTGCAGCTGTGAGCAGTGCCAGGACAGGAAAGAAATTTCCTAGGGGACAGTGGCCTCCGATGCGCACCGAGTGGGCCTCGCGCATTGAAGACAGGCTGGTTGAAATTGCACAAGTCAAATCATGCAAGTCGCATCATCCAAGCAAAGCAGAGACCTTCAAAGCTTTTTAAGCACCGGGTAACCCCAAACGGATAGCTCAGTTGGTTTGAGCTTGGTACTGATAATACCAAGGTTGCAGGTTTGATCCCCGTATGGGACAGCTGAATATTCCTGCATTGCAGGGGGTAGAACTAGATGAATCTCGGATGATCCCGTCCAACTTTGTGATTCTGTGACCTTTTAAGCTCTTTGCCTTGCTTGGATAATTTGACTTGCACAAGTTCAACCAGCCTGCCTTCAAGAGCACAGTTGGAATCGCGCACGTTAAATGCACGTAAGTGTCCTTTCGGCAGATGGCATGGTTCTGTACTCTTGTTAAAGCTAAGTGTGTTGGGGAAATGACAGCCTGAGAGAATAGGGGCTCTTTTTTCAAAAAAATCTGGATTTTGGCAGGCTGCAACCCCTAGAAGGTTCTCACCTGTGCACTCCAGGCAGGCTGGTCTCTAGCTTCCCCGTCTCCATGTTCCACAGGTAGAGAGCGCCGTCTGCGGAGCCAACCAGGGCATAGCTTTTATCAGGGCTGCAGAAAGAGGGAAGGAACGTCTGTCAATCAGGGGGATGAAGGAGAAGAGGAATACCTGGTTCCATGGCCAGATTTAGTTTTGATGAGGCCCTCAGCTACCGAAGGTAATGGAGCCCTTTATATGTCCAGCTGTCCTTTGTCAACAAGAAATTGTCGCAGTTTTTTGTGTTGTATATATGCTAGATGGCAATTTATGGACCTAACAGGTATCTAAAGCCATTTGCACAGGTTGCCTTACAACCAGTCCATGCAGAATGTAGGCACCCTATATATAGAAAGGAGCAAACCAGTGATACTTTAGGGAGCAGGCTAGCAGGCGGGGCCCATGACTTACATCACAGGAGCCTACACAACACAAAACACTGTTGCTGTATGTAGGTTTTATTTTATCTGTTTTCTGTCTTATATTTTGGAAATGTACAACCTGGTGTTTTTTTCCTTTAAATTTTTTGGGGTCCCCAAGTGAGTGGGGCCCTAAGCTATAACTTGTTTGGCTTATATGTAAATCCGGCACCGGTTGTAGTGAAAATCATCTGAAAGTTACCAGGCTGGCTGGGGAAAGCTGGATGATCCCCTTACCTGTTTACTCCAAAGCGCCAGAGACTCACCTGAATACTGCTTTGGTCCCATCAGAACCGCACTTGAATCCCTCAGCCCTATGGAAACAAAAAGGTGGTCGTGAACCCTCGCCAACTCCGTGCAAACAGAAAGTGAGACATCTCATCCAGGTACACATGTTTCAATGACTTACATACTGGTCAGATTTTCCTGTGATATCCGATAACCAAAGGATCTTAAAAATCCATCCCTGTTAGGAACAGAAATGAGAAACTGCCTGCAGGTTTGGTTCGGAAACAGGCTGAGCTCTTTCCACAAACCAAGGAGAAGCCAGAAATTCTTTTCCGACTTCAACTGCAATCTGAGCTAAAGAATATTTTGGGTGCTTCTAGCTTCTTCTTTGAAGGCAGCAGGCCCTGACGCTGATAGCCGAGTCCTGGATGGAAAATATCTTGCCAGCAACTTTAATTCTCAACCTGATAGGTCCATGTTCAGTTTTGAGTTGGGGTGAAATGAACGACGCGTTGTTTTGGCAGAGGAACGTGCTGAACTCACAGCTACAGATGCAGAGATGGGGAGGGGGTTGCAAAGAAGGTGGGTGGGTGGGAAGATCAACTCTCCTCCAAGCCTGATAGTTCTCTGAAAATGGTCCCCCTTCTTCCATGAGCACAATCAGGATCATGCAGGGCTGGGAACTTCCTGGTACCCTCATGTTGTGTAGTTCTGCCATTAAACTTGGAGAGGACTCTCGTTTTTGAGCCAGTTCCTGTGGTTATACTCAAATCCAATGATGCTAATATCTGAGTTTCACATCCTGCCAAGCAGCTGGTCTGAAGGAGTCACAAAAGGGCCTTCTTGGTAGTGGCACCTGCCCTGTGGAACGCCCTCCCATCAGATGTCAAAGAAATAAACAACTACCTGATGTTTAGAAGACATCTGAAGGCAGCCCTGCTTAGGGACGTTTTTAATGACTGATGTTGTAATGTATTTTTAATCTTTGTTGGAAGCCACTTAGAGTGGCTGGGCGGCATCTTATCTTATCTCATCTTATCTCATCTTATCTTATCTTATCTTATCTTATCTTATCTTATCTTATATCTTATCATCTGTGGCACTTATCTGCATGCAAGATTCCCCCCTGTGCAAGCAAGCCATGTCACGAATGCACACCTGAAACCTACATGATCCTGAAAGTCTTATGGAAGGCCTGATCCTGCACAGATTCAGCTCTGGCATCCCAACACTGGTAAATGTCTGGATGCAGCCCTTGTCACATTCCACCTCAAAACAGGCCTATGTAGATGGGTCACAATGTTCCCATTTTACAGATGGGAACTGAGTCTGGAATCAAGGTGATGGGCACCTGACTAAGTTGAGCCTAATGGGCTCTGCACTGGAAGAGGCAAAGTTCCCAGTGTCGAAGCAATGATTCTTCAACATCAAATTCGTTGGACTGGTCATGTTGTGCGGATGCCTGATGATCATCTTCCAAAGCAACTACTCTACAGTATTCTGAACTTGAAAATGGAAAGCGTAATGCTGGTGGTCAACAAAAGAGGTTTAAAGACTGTCTCAAGGCAAATCTAAAAAAAATGTAGTATAAACACCAACAATTGGGAAACACTGGCCTGCGAGTGCTCCAGTTGGAGAACAGCCTTTACCAAAGGTGTCATGGGCTTTGAAGACACTTGAACTCAGGACGCAAGGGAGAAGCGTGCTAAGAGGAAGGCACGCTTGGCAAACCCTCACCGTCACTAACTCCCACCCGGAAACCTAGGTCCCCACTTTGGAAGGACGTGTGGATCCAGAATTGGCCTCCACCGTCACTTACGAACTCATTGTTAAAACCCTGTTTATGGAAGACAATCTTACTCGGCTACGAGGGATCGCCAAAGAGAGAGAGCCCTCCCATGTCCAAGCCTGACCTCCTGTTGATTTGGCTCGGTGCTGCCCAGGTACCCGCCCCCTGGTTCCTCACCTGAAGACCTGCCGGATGTTGTGCATTCGAAGGTCGATGACTTTGAGGGCGTTGTCCCTGGAGCAGCTCAGTAGGTGCATCTGATCGGGACTGATGCTCAAGGAAGTCACCTTGCCTTCCACAGGGATCACCTGTGTGCAGCGGGGATCTCTGGAGGAAGAAGATGGCAGGGCGCATTGTGGAGTTACCATGTCGTCATTGAACATCTGATGAAATATGATGTTCTGGAGTGGAATTCTGCCCGTTTCCAGGGGTGTCCCTACTGGTTCAAGTACTCTGGACCAAAGTCTCCTGTTTAAATTGCTGTGTTGTTTTTCATAGGGTTGGTTTATTTGCATATTTTAAATCACAGATGCTTATATTTTAATGTTTTCATGAAATTCCTTCTATCTGCGCGTATTTTAATTGCAGGTTTTTACTTTAACGTTTGCAGAACTGGTTTTTTTATAAACCGCTTAGACACCTATTTTGGCATTAAGTGGTATCTAAAAGAATGAATTAATTAAGGAATGATGCATAATAATGATTTTAAAAACAACAACAACAACACCAGGAAGTTTATTTAACACTGAGGATTACATAGTACAAACATATTAATAGCCAGACAGCTGCAAGCAATTAGTGGACTTATTTTGCATGTCATTAACATAATTTGCATATGGGTAGGCAGCCGTGTCGGTCTGCTGTAGTCGAAACAAAATAAAAAAAAAATTATTCCAGTAGCACCTTAGAGACCAACTAAGTTTGTCTGGCCCAAAAATGGAAGCAAGTGTTGATTTAAAGCAGAGTCTGTCGTGCCCAACGGAAGGATGAGAATACGTGCTGCATACTCTTTATTGCTTTATTTACAGTTCAAAGCAGGTATATTACAGAAAGACATCTTGCCTCTGCCAGAGCAGAGAAATGCATCCTCTCTCCTCAACAGCTTGGAGAGAAAAAAAACAGAGTGAAAAAACAGGAAACCAGTGTACGTCACATCCAGTCTCCCTTTCCCGTGAGAAACACCAACAGTACAGACTGTGGAATGCAAAACAATGTCTTGTGACTGCAGTTGCTGCTCAGTGAGGGAAATAGAAACCAACCGCCTCCGCCCTTCAGCGAACCTCACTGGGCCGCGGGGTCGTACAATATCAGTACAAACCCAACTTCTGCACATAGGTACAGTGTTGATCCCTTGATACAATCTTGGACAATACATCAGCAGGAATTTCATTACCTGGCATATAGGACACCGTTACGAGTCCCTTTTGAATACATTCCCTAGCATGCTGCAACTTTAATTGCAAGTGCTTTGTGCTTTAGCTTACAACCTTCAGACTTCAGCAAAGCCAAACATGCTTTGTTGTCCTGGTAAACCTGGATTGGACATTTGACAGGAATTTTCATATCTTTGCACAATTGTACTAACCATTCACAATCCTTAAGTGAATAAGACAGTGCATTCAGTTCGGCTTCACAAGTACTTAAGCTAACTGTTGTTTGCTTCTTGCATGACCAATCAAACAGACTCTGATTGTACATATAGCAAACTCCAGACGTACTTTTCCTGTCTGTGGTGTCACTTCCAAAACTTGCATCTGCAAATATCTCAAGACCACCAGACTTCTGATTGTTAAATCTCAGTCTGTAATGCATAGTGCCTTTCAAATACCGCGCTATGCGTTTCAGAGCTTTCAATCCTTGACACTAGGATTGTTGACTTGTCTGCTTAGCAAATTACAGCTAACAGCAATGTCTGGTCTTGAACATCTGGCAATGAAGTTTAGCTTGCCTAGCACACTCCTGTACAGTGTAGTGTCAGAAAATGCTTCTTCAGTGTCATCTACCTGATAACCTGTTGTCATCGGTGTGTCTACAGGGTTAGCATCCATCAGATTTAGTTTGCTTAACACATCAGCAATTTTCCGTGACTGGTGTACTAGAATGTTACCATCTTGATCTCTCTCTATTTCCAGAGATAGGTAGTTGTTTACCTCACCAAGATCTTTCATGTCAAAGTGCTCTTTCAGTTGAGCTAGGGCGCTATTGTACATTGCAACATCTTTCCAAAAGAATAATAAATCATCAACATAAAACAAACAGTACAGTTTCTTTTGCCCCTCCTCTTTGACAAATACACATGGATCAGCTTTCCCTTGCTGAAAACCTAGAGAAAACAATACTTCAGTGAGTTTTGTGTGCCAACACCGTGCACTTTGTTTGAGACCATAAAGGGATTTCTTCAGAGCACAAACAAATCCCTGTTTTACCTGTACGCCATCAGGTGGAAGCATATAAAGTGATTCATTTAGAGATCCGTACAGAAAAGCTGTATTAATATCATGGTGACTAATGTGTAGATTTTCCTCTGCAGCTAGCTTGAGCATAAGCCTAATGCTTTCATATCTCACTGTGGGTGAATAGGTCTCGTGATAGTCTTCACCTGGTACCTGTGCAAAACCTCTGGCTACCAATCTGGCTTTGTGTCTGACTATCTTGCCATTTTGATCTGTCTTCGCTTTGAAGACCCATTTGCTCCAAGCAGTTTCATTCCTGGAACTACTGGAACTAGCTCCCATGTTTTGTTCCTTTCTAAGGAATCAAGCTCAGCCTTCATGGCATTTAACCATGGCTTAGCTTCTTTTGAATCCAAACCCTGGATTTCTTGGAAACTTGAAGGTTCAAATACCTTCTTGGAGCTTTTAACAGCTGTTACTGCTATCTTAGCATACTCATCAGCAAATCTCTTTGGAGGTTTGCCTTTTGTGGCTCTCTGTGACCTACGAATTATCCTTAAGTCTTCAACACTCTCCTCTTCCTTCTTAGGAGAAAAACGACCTATTGTGAACAATGGTTCCTCCAATTCTTGATCAGAGCTTTCAGAGGGTCGCATAGAGGCTTTCGCACTCTTGAAATCCTCTGAATCACCCGATTCAATTTCAGATTCAGACTCAGAACCTTCATCAGTGGGTGTGGGCTGTTGTGGTTGCTTTTGACTATCCTCAGTCTCATCACCGTCATCAGGATAACATTGGAAAATTCCCACATTCTCCCCCACTTTGCATTGTACTCAACACTTCTCGTGAGCTTAATTGTCTTAGAGTCAGTCATCATTATTCTGTAAGACCCTTTCTGATAACCTAGAAAGATACCATGCAATCCACGCTTGTCTAACTTGGAGTTTTGTGGTGAGTGAACCCACATGTCAGAACCAAAAATCTTCATGTGTTTGATGTATGGCTTCTTGCCAAACATCTTCTCATAGAGGTACAACCAATCGCTGAAGATAACCTGCGATTGTAACTGTAAACAAAACACGAGAGAGATTCGGCCCAATAACTCTCTGGAAGATTGGCATCATGCAGCAAGGTTTTTAATCCTTGAAGCAATGTTCGATTTGCCTGTTCCGCAAGTCCATTCTGCCATGGCGAGCGAGGACTAGACAAATCGTGTTGAATTCCTTTCTCAGTCAGAAAAGCTTCAAACTGCTGAGAAGTGAATTCCCCCCCGCGATCACTGAAAAGAGTCTTTATCTTCTTACCATGCACATTTTCCAACCAAGCACAGAATTCCTTGAACCTAGGAAAAGCCTCCGATTTCTGCTTGAGATTGTACACAAAAATATATCTAGAAAATGCATCAATGAGAACCATGAAGTATCTATTTCCACCCAAAGAGGGCGCAAGTGGTCCAACCAAATCAGCATGAACAACCTGGTATGGTTCTGTAGCTTTCCTACTAGACACCTTACCTTTCGCAGCCATTTTCACCTTGTTTGCTGCGCATGCTTTGCACTTCATGTGGTACCTGCAGGGTTTAATAGTCATACCTTCTACCAAGGTAGGCATTTTAGATACTGCCTCAAAATGCAAATGACCAAATTTGCGATGAAAAGCGTGAATACATTCTGCATGCAAACTTTTGTTAGAACCTGCAATGCAACAAGTGTCATCCTGCACCACATCATCATAATACAAAACAAACAAATGATCAACATATTCTGCATGCAATACATAATCATTTTTCTTTGTGATGATGCACTTCTTGTTCTTGAAGGATACGTCAATGTTCCGCTCATTCAGCTGTCCAACGCTGAGCAGATTATGTTTGGCGTCTGGCACGTAAAGCACATTCTGTATCGATAAGTCCAAACTGTGAAGAACAACAGTTCCGTAGCCTTTACTGGGAATAGTGTGGTCATCCGCCTGGTGAATCGCACCTTCCTGCGGTGTAAAAGACACAAACAGTTTCTTATCGTTGCACATGTGGTGGGTGGCCGCTGAATCAACAACGAAGAAAGATCTAGACGTCTTCTGGACCTCTGCAACCTTTGGAGTGAAGCGTGAAACCATAGCCTTGTGCTGCGTTGTCCTAGACACCGGACCTTTGCCTTTGCCTCGGCCTTTTCCGCGCGATGAGCTTTCGCTGCGCTGCTCTGTCTTGGCCCTGGGATGTCTGCATTCCCTCTTCATATGGCCTAGACGTCCACACGAGTAGCATTTCACTGCCTTCAAAGCTTTGGCGCCATCTGGTGGTTCCACTGCACTATGGGATGACGTCTGTGAAGACTCCCCTTGCCCATGCAGTTAGCACCCGGCGATCTGCTTCATTTAAAATCACGGCAGTAACAAAGTCCACTGTCAGCTGAGCAGTTGGTTGCACAGCAATCTGGGTTGCAACAGACTCCCAACCTGAACCCAAAGATTGTAGTATCATGAAAGAATACACAGCCTCTGGAAAGTTGAGTCCTCTCTGTTGCAGCTCATGTCTCAGATTTTGCATCTCCATCAGATGTAAACGCACATCTCCACCTTCAGCAAGAGCCATATTATGCAGCTTGTTAAAATAAAACATAGTGGATCCAGCTTCTGTCCTTAAGTGAGCCTCTCTCAGAGCGTCCCAAATTTCTCTGGCTGAGGTCTTATCACGCAATAGACAGAGCTCTTCTGGGGATACTATCAATATAAGAGTTCCCCTTGCTTTGGAATCCTTAGCTTCCCATGCATCTGTAACTGGAACTGGGGGGGTTCCTGTAATCACCTCAAACAAACCCTCTTTCCGCAGAATTGCCTCTGCATACTGAACCCAGTCGCTGTAATTCTTCTTGTTGAGCTTAGGAATCCCACAAGCATCCTGAAGGGCCATCAAGACTCTGGCATTTGCCTTAAGCGTCATATGCTGCTTTAAATCTTGCTGCGTCACTGCTGCAGCTGCCTCATTACAAAGGCACACTTAAAAGTTACTTTCGATTTCCCCAGCATAGTGACTTGTGCCTGGGAGCCTTTTGCCTATTCCGCAAAACCGGCTTTAAAAGTTCAAAGTCCAGCCATAAAGCCATTATCTTGAAGCTGGCAGGCTGCCCGGAGCAGTAGCACATACCTCATCAATCACTTCTACGCGCAGAGCAGATTCCTTTCCGATCCGTCCCTCTGCATTCCGATCTGCCGGCACTCCGATTCGACCTCTGGGCCCATAACCACGTGTTGATTTAAAGCAGAGTCTGTCGTGCCCAACGGAAGGATGAGAATACGTGCTGCATACTCTTTATTGCTTTATTTACAGTTCAAAGCAGGTATATTACAGAAAGACATCTTGCCTCTGCCAGAGCAGAGAAATGCCTCCTCTCTCCTCAACAGCTTGGCGAGAAAATAAACAGAGTGAAAAAACAGGAAACCAGTGTACGTCACATCCAGTCTCCCTTTCCCGTGAGAAACACCAACAGTACAGACTGTGGAATGCAAAACAATGTCTTGTGACTGCAGTTGCTGCTCAGTGAGGGAAATAGAAACCAACAGCAAGAAGAATTACCAATGATTGAAGAATGGAGAATGAAGTTAATGGACTATGCAGAACTAGATAAACTAACAGGAAGGATTCGAAACCTTGGGACCATAAATTCATGGAAGACTGGAGTAAATTTACGGACTACTTATTATTGGAAGTATTGCAAAATTGGAGAAGGGGAAGGATGATTTGTTAAGAGATGTAAAGGCAATATAAAGTTAAGAAATGCATAAGAAGTGGTTAAAACGGTGGATCATCAGAAGTGCTGATGGAAGTCTAAAAAGATTGTATAAATGATAAGTTTTGTGGTACATTTTATAATTTATATGTTAAAATCAATAAAAATTAAAAAAAGAGACCAACTAAGTTTGTTATTGGTATGAGCTTTCGTATGCACGCACACTTCTTCAGATAATTTGCATAGTAATTCTGGACATCCCAAAGCTGGTCGACATGAGGAGCGTGCTTCCCTCCCTCCCTCTTTCTCCCCATGACATTCCAGCGCCCTGCGTTTTGCGCTGAAACATGTTGGAGGGTTTTTGTGGAACCATTAACGGAACAAAAACTACTGCAGAGATATCCACATCTTCAGAAGTAGAGAGTTCATAGCTTGGCTTTTGGAAAACAGGGGATCTGTAGTGCTCAGCTAATTGGGAGTCACTGAATTAGAGTCTCCAGGAAGGATATCCCTTTGCGGCAATGGAAGAGGCAGGGCTGGTAGCCGGGCAGATGAAATGCAGCCCCCCAGCATCTCCCAGAGGCAGTGAGAAATTTTACTTTCTTGGGCTCCATGATCACTGCAGATGGTGACAGCAGCCACGAAATTATAAGACGCCTGCTTCTTGGGAGAAAAGCAATGACAAACCTAGACAGCATCTTAAAAAGTAGAGACATCACCTTGCCAACAAAGGTCCGTATAGTAAAAGCTCTGGTTTTCCCAGTAGTGATATATAGAAGTGAGAGCTGGACCATAAAGAAGGCTGATCGCCAAAGAATGGATGCTTTTTAATTCTGGTGCTGGAGGAGACTCTTGAGAGTCCCATGGACTGCAAGAAGATCCAACCTCTCCATAATTAAGGAAATCAGCCCTGAGTTCTCACTGGAAGGACAGATCCTGAAGCTGAGGCTCCAAGACTTTGGCCACCTCATGAGAAGAGAAGACTCCCTGGAAAAGACCCTGATGTTGGGAAAGACGGAGGGCACAAGGAGAAGGGGACGACAGTGTTCACGAAGCTACCAGCATGAGTTTGACCAAACTGGCAGTGGAAGACAGGAGTGCCTGGTGTGCTTTGGTCCATGGGGTGACGGAGAGTTGGACACGACTAAACAACAACAACAAACTTAACCTAATACACTGTTTATAAAAATGAATTCCAATTTTAATGGCATTTGGAATTCACTTTTTGAATGTTTTGATTGTTTTTACTAACAGTTGCATTGTTTTACTCTTTTTGTTAACCTGACAAATTTGGGTTATAAACCAGTTTGAGGTTTGTTTGTTTTAACGATCAAGCTGTATATCAATTTTGTAAAGAAAGTTCCTGTTTCCTTGGTTAAAAGGTTTTTTAAATGACTAAACAACAAAAGCATCTCCCTGGCTCGGGGCGTCACACACAGACCTTTTCTTTTCAGTTAAGGATCTCTCTCCTCTGTGAGAATGGCACTCTGAGCACATAGGGATGCAGGCAAAACAGCAGGACATCCATTAGCATCCTGACCTTCCTGATTCACAGAACAAGAACTCCGTAACAAAGGAGAGGCGGTTGGGGGGGGGGGGTCACACGCAGTACAAGCCCGTCAAAGGACAGCAGCTATAAATAGGGAAGGTGAGGCACCGAAATAGCAGCAGCAGTAACAGCAACCTGTTGCTTGTCTATTAAGAGGCTGGTGGGGAAGGGAAGAGATTTTGCAGCCCTCAGAGACTTGTAGAGTTGGAAGTCCCTCAGCGGTCATCTAGTCCAACCCCCTGCAATACAGGAATTCCAAGTTAGGGGTATTGCTTAGGGAGGTTTGTTGAGGGGTCAGGTTTTAATTTCGGAGGTGTTAAGCAGTGATTTACGAGAGGAAAATGGAGGAAGGAGGGTCTTCAGCTCTAAGGCTCATTTCAAGGCAAGTTTTATGCTCCTATAATCAACCCTCAGTACTTGTTTTTATCCCTCTCTTCCGTTTTACAGTCATACCTCGGGTTAAAGCTGCTTCAGGTTGAGCATTTTCAGGTTGCACTCTGCGGCGACCCGGAAGTAATGGAACGCGTTACTTCCGGGTTTCGCCGCTCGTGCATGTGCAGACACTCAAAATGACGTCACGCGCATGCGTAGAAGTGGCGAATCGCGACCCGCGAACGTGCAGACGCGTTCACTTCAGGATGCGAACGGGGCACCGGAACGGATCCCGTTCGCATCCAGAGGTACCACTGTACTTTTAAACTTTTTTTAGTGCTTCCTCTAGTGCTGCGTCCTGTTGTTTTAATATTGTTTTATCTCGTTATTTTACTGCTCTAACTCCCCCATATTGCGAGGCAACAATAAGCTGGGCTGGGCTGGGCTGAGCACATGTCAAACTTTATTAGAGACAAGCTATAAATTAAGGAAGAGGAACACCCTAATCATCAGAGTTGCCAGCGAGCCCAAGTGGCAGCTACAGTGAACCCCCAAAGTGGTTTTTTTTCTGCTGGATGGCACTGACTCTGGCCCTGTAAATTCAGGGCCAACGTATTTGGAGATAATTGACTTCAGCAAACTGTCGATAACCAACTACATTTACTATGGTACGTACTAGAAAGATCTGTAAAGATCTGGGAATCATGCCAGTCCCGTTAATCAGTTCCCCAGAAGGAGACAGAGTAAAATTACTCATTATTTTCTTCAAAAGGAAGAGAGAAAGAGGGACCTGAACGGGTTAATCTTAGATGAGGTTATTCCTCCGCCTCCCACTGTGCTGGATTGGTCAACTCAGCTTAAAGAGCTTCACATGATCGTGAGAATATAAACAACTCAATAAGCCTGGCCCAAGAACCAGAGGTGTTAATTATGCTGTTACCAATAGTAATGTTTTTGTATCTTATTATGACTTAGGTGGGGATTGTTTCACTTTTGATTTTATTTATTGCTTACGACTTATGCAATTCTGGGCTGCATCAATAGGAGTATAGCATCTAGATCAAGGGAAGTAATAGTGCCACTGTATTCTGCTCTGGTCAGACCTCACCTGGAGTACTGTGTCCAGTTCTGGGCACCACAGTTCAAGAAGGACACTGACAAACTGGAAGGTGTCCAGAGGAGGGCAACCAAAATGGTCAAAGGCCTGGAAACGATGCCTTATGAGGAACGGCTAAGGGAACTGGGCATGTTTAGCCTGGAGAAGAGGAGGTTAAGGGGTGATATGATAGCCATGTTCAAATATATAAAAGGATGTCACATAGAGGAGGGAGAAAGGTTGTTTTCTGCTGCTCCAGAGAAGCGGACACGGAGCAATGGATCCAAACTACAAGAAAGAAGATTCCACCTAAACATTAGGAAGAACTTCCTGACAGTAAGAGCTGTTTGACAGTGGAATTTGCTGCCAAGGAGTGTGGTGGAGTCTCCTTCTTTGGAGGTCTTTAAGCAGAGGCTTGACAACCATATGTCAGGAGTGCTCTGATGGTGTTTCCTGCTTGGCAGGGGGTTGGACTCGATGGCCCTTGTGGTCTCTTCCAACTCTATGATTCTATGATTCTATGACTACTTTGCTTATAGTTTTGTAATTATGCCCATGTTTCCATGTTGTAAGCTGCCTCGAGCATAGTTTTAAATATGGAAAGGCGGCAGACAAATAAACGATGATGGTAAAAAACAATAACAGCACCAAACCACTCTTTGACCCAGCCGAGAACAAAGACAGCAGCAGTAATAAATGAGAGGCAGGATGGGGATAGAGAGTGGCACTGTGGTCTAAACCACTGAGCCTCTTGGGCTTGCCAATCGGAAGGTCGGCAGTTCGAATCCCCGTGACAGGGTGAGCTCCCATTGCTCTGTCCCAGCTCCTGCCAACCTAGTAGCTCGAAAGCACACCAGTGCAAGTAGATAAATAGGTATCACTGCAATGGGAAGGTAAACGGCGTTTCCATGCACTCTGGTTTCCATCACAGTGTTCCGTAGCACCAGAAGCGGTTTAGTCCTGCTGGCCACATGACCCGGAAAGCTGTCTGTGGACAAACGCCGGCTCCCTTGGCCCAAAGGCGAGATGAGAGCCGCAACCCTATAGTCACCTTTGACTAGACTTAACCGTACAGGGATCCTTTACCTTTACCTTTTAGAGCCTTGGCACGTTGAAGACTAACAAATGTATTATAGAATAAGCTCCCAGTACGTACATTGGCTCCCAGTACATTTCCAAGCGCAATTCAAAGTGTTGGTGCTGACCTTTAAACCCCAAACGGCCTCGGCCCAGTATACCTGAAGGAGCTTCTCCACCCCCATCGTTCAGCCCGGACACTGAGGTCGAGCGCCGAGGGCCTTCTGGCGCTTCCCTCATTGTGAGAAATGAGGCTACAGGGAACCAGGCAGAGGGCCTTCTCGGTGGTGGCACCTGCCCTATGGAAAGCCCTCCCACCAGATGTCAAGGAAATAAACAACTACCAGACTTTTAGAAGACATCTGAAGGCAGCCCTGTTTAGGGAAACTTTTAATGTTTGATAGATTACTGTATTTTAATATTTTGTTGGAAGCTGCCCAGAGTGGCTGGGGAAACCCAGCCAGATGGGCAGAGTATAAATATTATTATTAATTATTATTATTATTATATGTGGATGGGAGCATCAGATGCATCTTAAACTGGGAAACTTGAAAATAAATAGAGCTCTGAAGCTGGACGAGAATGAAGGCCCATCTAGTCTTGCATCCATTTCTTACCGAGCCGACCAGATGCAATGAGAAATATTATTAGGAATAATTAATGAAGAAATTCATAAGAAAGATATAAATTTATTTATGTATGCCACAACGGCAGCGAGAATTCTCCTGGCGCAAAGGTGGAAACAGCAGGAACTCCCTACTCTGGAAGATTGGAGAACTAAGATGGTGGAATTTGTGGAGTTGGCAAAGCTGACAGGGAGAATTAGGAACCGACCCGAAGAAAAATACCAAAAGGACTGAAGCAAATTTATTTATTACTTGAAAGAAAATTGTACTTACATGAAAACGTTTGTAGCATTAATGCGATATGTTTTGTAATGAGGAACTATGACTGATTTATAAATAAGAATGTGATTTTTTTAATGTTATTATATGATAAAAAGTGACTATGAAAATGAGATAGATGTCAAATGCTATAGGGATGCCAGAAAGAAAGATGGAAGGAAGTCAAGGCTCAATATGAGCAAATAATATAAGTTGTGAATATGTGTATGGAATTATGATGAAATACAGAAAAAATCAATAAAAATTATGTTTAAAAATAAAAAGAGAAATATGGGAAGAGGAGAGGAGGATTCAGTCCCCATCTGAGCAGATGAGGGAAAGCCCAGCAGCCCTCATTCTGACAAGAAGGAAGAAAGAGCATGAAGATGGAGCCTAGATCTTCATTGGGAAGACATTGGACAAGATGCAGAAACCAGCAGTACCAAATAACGGCGGTTCTTCATTTCAAAGAAATCAGTCTTTCAGTATGACACTCTGGAACTCCCTGCCTATTGACATCACCGTTCTCTTTTTGGCACTCGCTTAAAACATTTTTGGTTGGACAAAGCCTAGCCAGATATGTAGAATGCTTGCTTTTAGTTTACTGCTTATTTTATCATTTCAGTTGCTTTTACCAAACATTCATTGTTTCATTCTCTTTGTAAACCATTTTGATGCATTTTTTAAAATAACCATCAGCTGGTGTGCAGGTTTTACCAAGTAATGAAAAAAATATTGGTGCCACAACTGAAAAGGCCCCGCCAAACGACAAGGCGCAACCCTGGTTGAAGAAGAAGAAGAGAAGAAGAGTTTGGATTTGATATCCCGCCTTTCACTCCCTTTAAGGAGTCTCAAAGCGGCTAACATTCTCCTTTCCCTTCCTCCCCCACAACAAACACTCTGTGAGGTGAGTGGGGCTGAGAGACTTCAGAGAAGTGTGACTGGCCCAAGGTCACCCAGCAGCTGCAGGTGGAGGAGTGGAGACGCGAACCCAGTTCCCCAGGTTACGAGACTACCACTCTTAACCACTACACCACACTGGCTCTCTGGTTGCATCGTCATCTGGCTGCTTGGTGGGCTCACCTGCTGTCCCAGAAACGGATGGTCTTGTCGTGATGTCCACTGATGATGAAGGTGTCGCAACACACAATATCGTTGCAATAGGAGAAGACATCAATGGTTCTGTAGCCTGCCAGAAAAGCCAAAGACAGTCGCATCAGGGAAAGGAGATGGGCCTCTGGATAGGACTCACCCCCCTGTAACTACACAGCCGGGATGCAGCCAGATAAGATTAAGGTACTGTTGGTGGGTGGTTCCTCAGACCAGATGGCTGAGAGGTTGGCTGCTCTAGATGGGGTTACACTGCCCCGAATGAGCAGGTTCGTAGCTTGGGGCTCCTCCTGGATCCTTTGCTGTCGCTTAAGGCTCAAGTCACCTCAGTGGCCCAGAGTGCCTTCCATCAGCTTCGGCTGGTGGCCCAGATAGGCCCCTATCAGGACAGGGATAGTCTAACTACTGTTGTCTATGCTCTGATAACCTTAAGGTTAGATTACTGCGTTATACCTAGGGCTGCCTCTGAAGACGGTTTGGAAACTTCAGCTGGTGCAGAACTCAGTGGCCAGGTTGCTCACCGGAGCAAGACGGTTTGAGCATATTGCACCAATCCTGGTCCGACTGCACTGGCTAACAGGCTAGTTTCCAGGCCCAATCCAAAGTGCTGCTTTGGACCTATAAGGCCTTAAATGGCTCAGGACCGCAATACCTCAAGGACCGCCTCTTCCCATATGAACCTACCCAGACCCTGAGATCATCTTCCAAGGCCCTTCTTCGTGTGCCTCCTCCTCGAGAGGTCCAGAGGGTGGCAACACAAGAACGGGGCCTTCTCTGCAGTGGCTCCTTCTGCAGAATGCTCTTCCAAGAGAATTTCACCTGGCACCTTCACTATACGCCTTTAGGCACCAGGCAAAAACATTCCTTTTCAACCAGGCCTTTGCCTGACTTGATCTATATCCTATACAGTCATACCTTGGGTTACAGACGCTTCAGGTTGCACTTTTTTGGGTTACGGACTGCCGAAACCTAGAAGTACTGAAACAGGTTACATCCGGGTTTCGGCGGTCGTGTATGCGCAGAAGCGCCGAATCGCAACCCGTGTGTGTGCAGACATGCCGCTGTGGGTTGAGAGCACTGCGGGTTTCAAACGTGCATCCCGCACGGATCACGTTTGCAACCTGAGCATCCACTGTACCCTTTTTTAAAATGCTGCATCCTTGGGGTTTTTTTTTTTTATTGGGTTGTTGGTTTTGATTTTACGTATTTGATACTTTATGTGAGCCACCCTGAGACCTTTGGGTATAGGGCGGTATAGAAATTAAAATAATAATAATAATAATAATGTATGTCTAGTGTGCTGCTGGATCAGGGCCCCCCATCCCCACTGGAAGAGTTGGCCATCACTTACATGCCCCTTTGGTCAAGTCCCACTCCTTCACTGTCCTGTCCCGGCTGCCCGTCACAGCTTGGTGGCGGGTGGCTCTGAACCTGGCAGCCGTCACTTTGTCCGTGTGTCCCGTCAGAACCTCCTAGGCAAGAGAAGAGTTGGGGGCGTTAAGAGATTAGTTGATTTTTAGTGCTCCTCCTATCGGACACGAAGAAGGGAAGCTCTGAGAAGAAGAGTTTGGATTTGATATCCCGCTTTATCACTACCCGAAGGAGTCTCAAAGCGGCTCACAATCTCCTTTCCCTTCCTCCCCCACAACAAACACTCTGTGAGGTGAGTGGGGCTGAGAGACTTCAGAGAAGTGTGACTGGCCCAAGGTCACCCAGCAGCTGCAGGTGGAGGAGCGGAGACGCGAACCCGGTTCCCCAGATTACGAGATTACCGCTCTTAACCACTACACCACACTGGCTCTCTAAGAGGAGCCTGATGGATCAGGCGAACGGCCCACCTAGTCCAGCATCCTGTTCTCACAGTGGCCAACCAGAGGCCCATTACGGAAGGACCGCCTCTTCCCATATGAACCTACCCAGACCCTGAGATCATCTTCTGAGACCCCCTTCGTGTGCCTCCTCCTTGAGAGGTTCAGAGGGTGGCAATACAAGAATACTTGTGAATATTTCTTTATCCTGAGCAAACCATTTTGTATGACTGGCTTTTCGGACTGATGAAGCGTGTAGCGAAACCTGTAATATATCCGGAGAACAGGTCTCCTTTTGCCCACTTGCGTTATTCTCACCAGGGCGGTGGCTTTGATTTGATCCATGCACACGGCTTTGTGTTTCCAACTCAAGACCCATTGAAGAACATCTCATCCAGTTCAATCTTTGAAAAACAGCTTTGGAAAACTTTTTCATATTCTCCAGTGCACTACCCTTGCCGTTGTGGCGGCACTGGGTTGCCGTTCTGTGATTGGACTTACGCTACTTGCTGAACGGTTCATTTATCCAGTCTGTATAATGTTTACTGCACATGTAATTTGTCAAGATAGAGTTGTACATTTATCCACTCCATGTTTACAATATCTCCAGGCTTTGTCTTGCACATGGCACCATAGTTTGTTTGTTGTTTGAATGGTTACAAGTCTATCTCTATTCTAGTTATTATTCTAGTAAATTTGGTTTTATACTTATAAGCCAGTCTGTGGTGGTGTTGTTTTGTTGTATTATTATTACTGTCACCACATTGGATACTTTGTGTATATACAACACAGGAACGGGGCCTTCTCTGCAGTGGCTCCCCATACAAACGTTCCTTTTCAACCAGGCATTTGATTGACCTGATTGACATCCTATGCCCTTTTAAAATGTGGTTCTTTTTTTTTAAAGGGGGGTTGTTATTAGCTTTCTGTTTTTATTTTGATTGTAGATATATTGTGGTTTTATATTCTGATTTTGTTCTGTGAACCGCCCTGAGACCTCTGGATATGGAGCGGTATAAAAATTCAATAAATAAATAAATAAATAACACAAGCAGAATTTGTGCACAAGTGCAACTCTCCTTTCCTGTGGTTTCCAGCAACTGGGATTCAGAATCCCTGCTGCCTTCAGATCTGAAAGGCAGAGCATATCCCTCCTGGCTAATGGCCATTGACAGCCCTCTCCTCCTCCATGAATTTGTCTAATCCTCTTTTCAAGCCATCCATATTGGTGGCCATCACTGCCTCCTGTGACAGGGAGTTCCATAGTTTAACCATGTACTGTGTTAAGTACTGTACTGTCTTTTATCTCCAACATTCAGCTTCACTGGGTGCCCATGAGATCTAGCGCTACGAGACAGGGAGGGAAACTTTTCTCTATCTTTTTTCTCAAGGCCAGGCACAATTTTGTAAACTTTTATCATGTCACATGTTAGGGCTGGCGTTCCCCCCTGCCCTTGCCGCTTTCCCCATGAAAAACCGATCTCCGCAGCTGAATTGGAGCAAATGGCAATTCAGCTTTCCCATGGACTGCCATTTGCTCCGATTCCACAATAAAGAGTGGGTTCCGATTCCTTCCTCGGCCCTGAAACCTGGCTTAATAGTTTCCCATCGCACAAATGCACCCCTCCGCCGCAAGCGAAAGGAACCCAGCTGATCTCACCTTGAAACGGCAGTCGTCAACCTTCCAAAGCTGAGCAGCGTTGTTGTATGTAGCAGCCAAGACGTGAAATCCCTGCCGGGGACAGAAAGAGAGAGAGTTTGCAGAGGAATCAGACCAGTCACCTCTGCTCTGCCCTGGCTGTGGGACTTGGCTTGGCACTGGGAATGTTTCAAGATCTATAAGACGGGCAAGTGGGGCTGAACCGAAACGACTCACAAAAAATGTTTCCCCTAGTAGTCCAGGATTAAAAGCAGGGATGGACAGAATTGCACCAGCCTCATTAATATATTTTTTTAAAACGAGTCTGCTTCAGTCACTACTTTTTCTTTGAAGAGATATTGAACACAGTAAAATAGAAAAATAAGCTGCTGACTAAACACTGCCTGCTCTGCTGAAGCATGTGGGGTCTCTGTATATATTCAGCTGCCCCCCACTATCATGGTAGCTGCCAGTGAGCGGCAACCATTTTGAATTCCCAAAAATTCAGAAAGCACCTTGGAACAGGGACTTTGGGGGGAAACAAAATGGCAATCACTACTGTTTTTGATTTTGATTTTGCAAGCCAGGGCTGAACTGATATTACCCTTGCTGGTACCTTTCCCGGGAAAACCAGAGGCTCACTATGTCAGGTTCCTATTGGAAGACCGGACAAACGCTAGAACATTAGCAGTGGTGAAGTTTTTATCAGTGGTTGCAAGAACCAATGATCCCTATCTTTAAGTCTGAACAGAATGCTTGTTTAACCTGGAGGTAGGCTGTCTGAATTGTGCATTGCTTTGTAACAATTTGTTGGGTCTTTGGACCATAATAAAGGTTGGTTGGTTGGTTGGTTTTGATTTTGATTTTGTTCTGCGAACCTCCCTGAGACCCCAGGGTATAGGGTGGTATATAAATTCAAATAATAACAACAACAACAACATCAAATTGTTGTTGACCGCCTCTCCTGGTACGCCCCACAGAGAAACTTACGGTCTTCAAATAAAAACATCATGAAGATCCCAGGCCACAGAGAGGTTAGGCTGGCCTCAACTAGAGCCAGGGCTTTTTCGGCCATGGCTCCGATCTGGTGGAACACTCTGTCACAAGAGACCAGGGCCCTGCGGGACTTGACATCTTCCCGCAGGGCCTGCAAGACAGAGCTGTTCCATCAGGCCTTTGGCCAGGGCACAGCCTGACTCCCTCCATTGGCAATCTTCGCGGAGCTCTGGCCCAATGGTTGTCATTGGTTTGATTTGATTTAATTTTATAATGAATGATTTTAGAGTGTTGTGTTGTACTTTTGTACTGTTTTATTGTTGTTAGCCGCCCTGAGCCCGGCTTCGGCTGGGGAGGGCGGGATATAAATAAAATTTATTATTATTATTATTATTATTATTATTATTATTATTATTATTATAAATTGCAATGGATTCTGTAAGTTAAACTGGATAATGAGGCCCTTCTGCATGTCTGTTTCCCCTGAAGCCCTTGCCATTCCACGGAAATTGATCTTTCCCCACGTTCTAGGAGTACGAGGGAGGCTGACTTCTCTCCATCTGCTTAGTCCACCCTTCCTGCTCTCATGTTGGATCGCACTGCAGGGGGTTGGACTAGATGACCCTTGAGGTCCCCCTCAAACTCTATGATTCTATGAGCAGAACTCATTGTGGGGAGCAGAGCCCCCGTTTGGAGGGGAAGGCCTTCCTTCTGTACTTCTCCCTGCTTCTTTTCCAACAGCCTAGCACAGTGGGGTCCAAACTTTTTTCAAAGAGGGCCAGATTTGATGAAGTGAAGGGCCATGAGGGCCGACCAAAGAGCCAACCAAAGTTGTTAACCTTTTTTCAGGATTTTACCCCAGGAAATAAACTATAAACTGCCACAGGGGCCAGATTAAACCTGCCGACCGCCTGGATCAGGCCCCCAAAACGGATTTTGGACATGCCTGGCCTAGCATTTTGTTTGACTTTTGGGACGGCCATTCATCCCACTAATGAGCTTGGAAAAGTTCATTTTGCAGCCCCTTCCTCCAGGTGGCTGCAGCTGGCCAGTGGGGAGCCCCACATCCTCCCTGCCTTTGGTTCTTATCCTAGGAGGACGAGAAATCTCTTTTGGTGGGTTGGGATTGATGATGGCAAAGGACCGCATTGGCATGGCAACAGCCTCCGCAGGAAGCCCCCTGCTGCCCCCTGGTGGACAGGAGCAGGAAACACCTCTTTCCAAAGAGCTCCCACTGGAAACTGTCTCACCCCAGGAGTTCAGCCCTTCCATAATATTTGGGCACTGCCTGCTCCAAATACCAGGTGTAATAATAATAATAATAATAATAATAATTTATTATTTATGCCCCGCCCATCTGTTTGGGTTTCCCCAGCCACTCTGGGCAGCTTCCAACAGAATATTAAAATACAATAATCTATTAAACATTAAAAGCTTCCCTAAACAGGGCTGCCTTCGGATGTCTTCTAAATGTCAGGTAGTTGTTTATCTCTTTGATATCTGGTGGGAGGGTGTTCCACAGGGCGGGTGCCACCACTGAGAAGGCCCTCTGCCTGGTCCCCTGTAACTTGGCTTCTCGCAGGGAGGGAACCGCCAGAAGGCCCTTGGAGCTGGACCTCAGTGTACGGGCTGAATGTATGGGGGTGGAGACGCTCCTTCAGGTATACTGGACCGAGGCCGTTTGGGCTTTAAAGGTCAGCACACTATGGCAGAGAGAGGGTCTTTTCCTTCTTCTGTTACCTGATCTGTCAAAATGACAATGCTAACAGAGTGAGGCTCGATCCCTATAAGTTGGAGGTACGGTTGGTAGGCAGTTCCTAGAATAATAGAATCACAGGTTTGTAGAGTTGAAAGGGACCACGGTGGTCATTTCATCCAACCCCCCGCAGTGCAGGAATCTTTTGCCTCCAATCCACGACCCTGAGGTTAAGACCCTCACGATTTACCATAGGGACAAATAATTAGACAGGCGGTGTTCAGTCTAGACCAGGTCACACTCGCCTTTAAAACAGCAAGGTTGCAGCTGAGAGGTAATGTTTGAACTAGCCCTGACTCTCTATCCTGTGCTTATGAGAATCTTTTTTATTCTTGCGAATGATGCTGCTTTCAACGTGCATTTTATATTGGACATTTTATATTGAGCAATGTTCTCTCCTGAAATGTTTAAGATCATTTTTGTTGTTGTTGCTGTTAACTTTGCCATGTTCAACGTGCAATCTGCAGTTGACCTCTTTTGGAAATCTTTAAGATAATATTTTTGTTTCCAGACAGTTGTGTTGCTTTGAATGTGTACGTACTTGACTTTTGTCACTAATGTTTTATTCCGAACTGGTTTACCTGATGTAGGTTGCAAACTGCTTTGAGATTCCAGCCCCCCCCCAAAAAAAATATATAAAGCAGAAGTGATTTGAAATGAGGAGGAAAAAGAAGAGGAAGAACATAAGAAGTGCATGGTGGATCAGGCCTATGCCCCACCTAGTCCAGCATCCTGACACTTCTCTAATGTACAGATGCTAAAATCCTAGAACTGTAGAGTCACAAGGGACCCCCAGGGGTCATCCAGCCCAACCCTCTGCAGTGCAGGAATAACAGCTAAGGCTTTAATGCATGAAACTCACAGATCAGTCTTCCCCAACCTGGTGCCCTCCCAATGGATTGGACTACTGCACTCGCTGGGGCTGATGGGACCTGTAGCCTAAAGCATCTTGAGGGAACCAGGCTGGTGAGTAGTAATAATAATAATAATTTATTCTTTATATGATTCTAGTTAGAGTATATGTGAAGTTAGTATCTTTTGCTCCACTGTGATGGGAAAGACTTTCCTTGGCCTGCTGCCAGTCCAAGTTGACAATATTGGGCTAGATCAGCAATGTCCAACCGGTCGACCACAATTGACAGGGTTCTCCAGGTCGATCGCCGGAGTAAAAAAAGAGATTGCCCTGTTGCTCCGGAGCGATCGTGATGTGCCCCGCCCTTCTCGCTATGTCCCACCGTCGCCGTTGGCAGTGCTGTGAAAGATTTTATTCCCTTCGTCTTTCGGCAGAGCGGGGGAAGAAGGGATGGCTTCGAACTGTTGGGTGAGCGATTAAAGGCAACCCTCCCCCAAAATACCTCAGCAACTCTGGGCTCCCCCCTAAAAGAAGCTCACCAACTGTGGGCTCCCCACCCCCTAAAAAAGCTGAACAACTATGGGCAATGACAATGGGTAGATCACTGCCAGTTTTCTTATATTGGGAGCAGATCGCAGTCTCTATTGAGTTGGATGTGCCTGGGCTAGATAAACTGCTTGGCCTTGCAATTCTACATCCCAAATTTATTGGTGCTTTCTCATAACCTACAGCTATCAGGGCCTGTGGGGAAAACCCCAAACCTCTTAGCTGTACTACCAAAATGATTAAGGTTTTAAATGACAATTTTATGTTATATTTTCTCCTTCATGGATCACTGCCTTGCTGTGGTGAAGGGGCTTGAGTAACTTGGAGAAGCTATGAGCTATGCCGTGCAGGACACCCAAGATGGACAGGTCATAGTGGAGAGTTTTGACCAAATGTGATCCACCTGGAGGAGGAACCGGCAAGCCACTCCAGTATCCCTGCCAAGAAAACTCCATGGACAAAGGCAACAGGCATATAAAAGTTATGACGCTGGAAGATGAGCCCCTCAGGTCGGAAGGCGTCCAACATGCTACTGAGGAAGAGCGGAGGACAAGTACAAGTAGATCCAGAGCTGATGAAGCGGCTGGGCCAAAGCCGAAAGGACGCTCAGTTGCTGCCGCTATACAGTGGTACCTCGGGTTAAGTACCGTATTTTTTGCTCTATAAGACTCACTTTTTTCCCTCCTAAAAAGTAAGGGGAAATGTGTGTGCGTCTTATGGAGTGAATGCAGGCTGTGTAGCTATCCCAGAAGCCACAACAGCAAGAGGGATCACTGCTTTCACTGTGCAGCGATCCCTCTTGCTATTCTGGCTTCTGGGATTCAGAATATCTTTTTTCTTGTTTTCCTCTTCCAAAAACTAGGTGCGTCTTGTGGTCTGGTGCGTCTTATAGAGCGAAAAATACGGTACTTAATTCGTTCTGGAGGTCTGTTCTTAACCTGAAACTGTTCTTAACCTGAAGCACCACTTTAGCTAATGGGGCCTCCTGCTGCTGCCGCGACGCCAGAGCACAATTTCTGTTCTCATCCTGAAGCAAAGTTCTTAACCCGAGGTAATATTTCTGGGTTAGCGGAGTCTGTAACCTAAAGCGTATGTAACCCGAGGTACCACTGTATCTGAATTGTCTCTACCAATTGCAATTCAATGTATTCCTCTTGTGTTTTATGATTTTCCTGATATTGTAAGTGAGCCGGAACTGGTCTGTGACTGTAATAATAAAATTCATTCACTGCTTGGCCTGGTTCAGTGTAATAAGGCAAGGAGAGAAGGCCCTTTGCAGATGGAGCGCAGCTTCCAGGCAAGGCCAAACCACGGTGACTCCTCCAAGCAACCAGCGGCGTTTGCCCTGCTGCGATTCACACTTACCGATGGGTCAAACTCGACGCTGGTGATGCCTCCGTTAGCCCCTTCCAGTGTCTTCATTTTCTCCATTCGGCCTGCAGGCAGGCAAACAGAACAAGCAAGGTGACCCAGAGCAGCAAAAATTAGAACTCACACTTCCCTGAATGTGGAAAAAAGCACCAGGAAACTCTGCAAGAAGCAGACAGTGCACTTTCCAAAGAGAGAGAGATAGATTTCCCCACCCGGGATCTGAGATCTTTTCTCCTTGTTCCACGACTCTGGCTTGCGAAAATCTTATCTCACCTGCAGAACTGAAGCTCAGCTAAGCAAAATCTCTCGCACACCTGATCAGATCCAATTCAATGGGTAAGATCGGCTTCTACTTCCATGCACCTCAAGAAAAGACTGATGCAGAAACAAAGCCTAGAGCTGAGGCCAGATATCTCTTATAAAGGCAGAGGCAGCAACTCACTTGCGTGATCTCAAGAGATTTGAGCCGGACAGTTGCCAGCCCAAGCTGACAGCTGGCAGAGATCTCTAATACTTTTATACATTAAAAAATTAAATAGTGTGCAATAGGTAAAATGGTAAAGGACCCCTGGATGGTTAAGTCAAAGGCAACTATGGGGTTGCGGCGCTCATCTCGCTTTCAGGCCAAGGGAGCCAGCATTTGTCCACAGACAGTTTTCCGGGTCACGTGGCCAGCATAACTAAACTGCTTCTGGCGCAACAGGACACCATGACGCAAGCCAGAGCACATGGAAATGCCGTTTACCTTCCCGCTGCTGCAGTACCTATTTATCTACTTGCACTGGCGTGCTTTCAAACTGCTAGGTTGGCAGGAGCTGGCACAGAGCAACGGGAGCTCACTCCATTGTGGGGAGTCGAACCGCCAACCTTCCGATCGGCAAGTCCAAGAGGCTCAGTGGTTTAGACCACAGCGCCACCCATGTCCCTATCAAGGTAAAGGTAAAAGGTAAAGGACCCCTGGATGATTAAGGCTAGTTAAAGGCGACTACAGGGTCGCAGCGCTCATCTTGCTTTCGGGCTGAGGGAGCGAGTGTTTGTCCGCAGGCAGTTTTCCGGGTCATGTGGCCAGCATGACTAAACTGCTTCTGGCACAATGTGACACTGTGACAGAAATCAGAGCACACGGATACGCTGTTTACCTTCCCGCCACAGCGGTACCTATTTATCTACTTGCACTGGCACGCTTTCAAACTGCTAAGTTGGCAGGAGCTGGGACAGAGCAATGGGAGCTCACTCTGTCACGGGGATTCAAACCGCCGACCTTCCGATCTGCAAGCCCAAGAGATTCAGTGGTTTAGACCCCAGCGCCACCCGCTGTGTGCAATTGTAAACTAATTCCGCTCTGCGCATCCGCTCACCTCCTGCCACATTCCAGAGCCTGATCAGCTTGTCGGCCCCGCCAGTGGCCAGCACGGATGAATTGGGACTGAACCTGGCAGCGTTGATTTCGGAGGCGTGGCCTTCCTGGAGAAAGGGGAAAAGGACAAAGCAGTTGGTCCCTTACCTTTCCCGCCCCGACCTGGCCACAGTGATCCATGTCACGGTCACCTCCAGGCTTGACTACTGTAATTCGCTCTACCCGGGGCTGCCCTTGAAACTGTGTCCCACAAACTCCAGCGGGTGCAGAATGCTGCAGCGAGGCTCCTCACAGGGTCTCTGCCATGGGAGCATATTCACCCAGTGCTCTACCAGTTGCACTGGCTCCCAGTGGAGTATCGGGTCAAGTTTAAGGTGCTGGTTTTGACCTTTAAAGCCCTTTGTGGCTTAGGGCCCTCATATTTACAGGACTGCCTCTCCTGGTCTGCCCCGCAGAGGACCTTAAGGTCCATGAATAACCATAGTTTAGAGGTCCCGGGCCCTAAGGAAGTCAGGCTATCCTCCACCAGGGCCAGGGCCTTCTCAGTGATGGCTCCGACCTGGTGGAATACTCTGTCCCATGAGACTAGGGCCCGGCAGGATTTAACCTCCTTCCGTCGGGCCTGTAAGACAGAGCTATTCCACCTGGCTTTCAATTTGAACTTAGCCTGATCTTTTATTTCCCTTCTCTTCCCTCCCCCTCCTCTTCTTATGAAGATTGCCCACTCTGGGACCCCACAGCTAATTCTCCCCTGGTCTCCTCGCTGGCCCAAGTAGGACTAATTTAGCCAGCTAGCCCTGGTGATCATCTAATGTTTATTGGATGGATTTCCCCCCTAAATTGATTTTTGAATTCTGAATTTATTGTTATTCACATTTTATACTGTATTTTAAGATGTTTTTTGTTGCATCAATTAAGTGTTTTAAATCTGTTGTTAGCCGCCCTGAGCCCGGTTTTCTGAACCGCGAAGGGCGGGGTATAAATAAATTATTATTATTATTATTATTATTATTATTATTATTGAGACCAGGCAGGGGTGCCATGGAAGTGCAACAAGTTCCTCTTCTGGAGTAGATATGGGAATTCTGCTGGTGGGGACAGTTGCAACCCAAACTCATCCTCCACTCGCGATCCCTTTCTGTCAGCATGTGCAAGGAAAACCACTGGAGGCCAGAAGCACACATTATCAAGAAGAATTATTAAGAAGAGCCCTGCAGCTGGATCCGGCCAATGGCCCATCTAGTCCAGCATCCTGTTCTCAGGGTGGCCACCCAGATGCCCCCACAGGAAGCCCACAAGCAGGATTCGAACACGAGCCCTCTCACCATGCGCGATTCCCAGCAACTGGCGTTCAGACAGCACTGTCTCCAACACCGGTGGAACCAGTGTGGTGTAGTGGTTAGAGTGCTGGACTAGAAACCTGGGAGACCAGGGTTCAAATCCCCGCTTGGCCATGAAGCTCGCTGGATGACAGTCTCAATCTAACCTACCTCACAGGGCTGTTGTGAGGACAGAATGGGCAAGGAAAACTCTGCACACCACCCTGAGCTCCTTGGAAGAAAAGGTGGGGTATAGATGCAATAAGAAATAATAGCAATAGTTATTTTCCCCAGCTCATCCACAAAAATGCAGCTCCCTTCGGTGAATGGCTAGAAGATAGGTACAAATTTGCAACACATGAGTGTATAAGCATAGACTTGCCATGGACCAATTTAACGATATTTGGGATTAATTTCTATATTAGGTTAAATGTGGGTTAGCTACAGTAACAATCTTGTAATGTTTATAAGTTCTGCTTTTGTTTTGTATTGGATATGGGTGTTCTTTCTTTCTTTCTTTCTTTCTTTCTTTCTTTCTTTCTTTCTCCTTTTCCTTTTTCTCTCACCCCCCCTTCCCAAGTCTTATTTTACCCTGTGCACTTACAATTATATACACATTACTTGTTTTCAGTCATCTAGCAAGCTCTTCTTATGTGGCACCTAGGTGAGGTGGCACCTGGTGCTTAGGGATTTCAGATTTACCTGTTCGTCGCTTACTCTTGACGGAAGGCAGGCCGCCACGCAGGAGGGAATGTAATAGTACCGTTCCTCCGATGGGTTGCTGAAGGAGCTCCCACGTTTCATCCTGAAACTAACAGGTGAAAGTTTTGCACCGTCTTGGATACAGACATGATCACCTCACATTTCTTGCTCTCCCCCTCCCTCCAACTTCCTAATAAATAATAATAATAATAATATACTATTTATACCCCGCCCATCTGGCTGGGTTTCCCCAGCCACTCTGGGAGGCTTCCAACAAAAGATTAAAATACAGTAATTCATCAAATATTAAAAACTTCCCTAAACAGGGAACTTCCCTAAACCATAGCAATTTTGAACTTGCTGTGACGTCAAATTAAGTATTACAGGTTTTTCTGTCTTCAGACAGTCAAATGCCACACAGCTAAACTGCTTAGAAGGACGTCCAAATCAAGTAAACTGGTTCGCCTGCAAACAAGCACTGGAGACCTCATCCAAGCCGCAGTTTCCAGTTCCACTTTGGATACAACCATGGTCTGCAGGAACCCTATTTGCTCTGAATGAGACCTCAGGGAAAACCACAAGGAACTGAGAACCAGGAAATGGATCAGCATCAAACATGGAAGAAGGCTGCCCGGACAGGGGATACAAGTTAAAGGTTGTGCATTTGAAAGTTTGTGAAAATGCACGAAGCTAGTGACAAATCTTTCACAGGGGTGGGGAGTAAAATGCCAGTTTTGACTTTCAGTTATGTAAACTTTTAAGTCTATAGTTCTGGAAGTGGGAAGGAGGGAGGGAAGGTGGACATGGCTACAGAAACTCGTGGCTACAATGAATTTGTTAGCCCTCTATGTAATCAGTGCCAGATTTATGTATAAGCTAAACAAGCTATAGCTTAGGGACCCACTCTCTTGGGGGTCCCCAGAAAAATTAAAGGGGGAAAAAAACCCTGGATGTACATTTCCAAAATGTAAGATAAAAAACAAATAAGATAAAACCTACATACAGCAACAGTGTTTTGTGTTGTGTAGGCTCCTGTATTTGTGATGTAAGTCATGGGCCCCGCCTGCTAGCCTGCTCCCTAAAATATCACTGGTTTGCTCCTTTCTATATATAGGGTGCCTACATTCTGCATGGACTGGTTGCAAGGCAACCTGTACAAATGGCTTGAGATACCTATTAGGTCCATAAATTACCATCTAGCATATACTCAACACACAAAAACAGCGACAATTTGTTGTTGACAAAGGACAGCTGGACATAGAAAGGGCCCCATTACCTTCAGTAGCTTAGGGCCTCTTCAAACCTCAATCTGGCCCTGTCCATGTTAGTGGTCACATGACTGGATCCAAAGAAAGAGAGGAGCCACACAGATAATTTCTCACCCCCATAGAGAAGAGATCTGTGCAACACTAAAGTTTGCTACCTTACCCACAGTTGATCCAGACAAAAGTTATCTTCCGCTTGGACTACTGCAATGCGCTCTATGTGGGGCTGCCTTTGAAGGTGACCCGGAAACTGCAATTCATCCAGAATGCAGCAGCTGGGCTGGGGACTGGGAGCGGCCGCCGAGACCACATAACACCGGTCCTGAGAGATCTGCACTGGCTCCCAGTATGTTTCCAAGCACAATTCAAAGTGCTGGTGCTGACCTTGAAAGCCCTAAACGGCCTCGGTCCAGTATACCTGAAGGAGCGTCTCCACCCCCATCGTCCAGCCTGGACACTGAGGTCCAGCTCCAAGGACCTTCTGGCGGTTCCCTCATTGAGAGAAGTGAGGTTACAGGGAACCAGGCAGAGGGCCTTCTCGGTGGTGGCGCCCGCCCTGTGGAATGCACTCCCATCAGATGTCAAGGAAATAATCAACTATCGGACGTTTAGAAGACATCTGAAGGCAGCCCTCTTTAGGGAAGTTTTTAATATTTAATGCTGTATTGTTTTTAACACTCGATTGGGAGCCGCCCAGAGTGTCTGGGGAAACTCAGCAAGATGGGCGGGGTATAAATAATAAATTATTATTATGAATATTATAAAAAGCTAGTATCATCAAAATGATTCAGGATCTTATCTTGATTCTTTGGGGGCAATTCAAACACACGCTCCGGACCCAAGTAATCCTGAATGCATAGAAATGGAGCAACCAACTTACTCAAACAAACCCTTGAAAACACCCACGTATCTGGTGAGGGTCATGGAAGTGGCAGAAGCAGATCTAAAACAAGAAGTCAAGTGGAAAAAAGTGATGAACACAGGAATTACACTGGGGAACATTTTTTTTTTTTCCATTTTCTGTTGCATATGATTTTTCAACCTTTCTTATATGTTCTTTCAATGCTGATTTCAAATCTGAAATCGATTTTCGTGTACATGCTATAGTTATCTTGTAATTTTCGACTTTTGCCGATATGTCATATTTACACTGGAGATAAGTGGACACTGACACGTTGATCTACCCTAACCACATGGTAATTATTGTTTTGCAAACTTAGTTTTTCTAGTTTTGTAACCCAAATATTTGTATTTTTCAGATCGGACCATGGCTTCTTCAAGTAGACAAAAGTGTGTGAACAAGGTAGAACTCCTTTTTCCTTCCAGGAAAGTGGTTTGGGTTTCGTTTCTCGTTCCTCATGTGTGCGAAATTCATTTTCAGCATTCTAAACAACTCCTTTCTTGCCAGAGGAAGCTGAGCCATAGCTGAACTGCAGAACCACAGAGTGGACCTGGGAGGAATCTGCTGTTCCCTAGTTCCGCAAGAGATCGTAAAATACATTTCTTAAAAAACCAGAAGCATTTCTCCTGGATAAAGTAGGGGAAGAAATTTCAAAAAGGGACCAAAAATTGTTTCTGTATGCAGCTACGGCAGCAAGGACTCTTTTAGCCACAAAATGGAAGCAACAGGAATTAGCAACCACTGAGGAGTGGCAGATGAAGATGATGGAATATGCACAGCTAGCGAAGCTGCCCAGGAAAATCCAAAACCAACGTTGATCAAGTTTTCCAAAAAGACTGGGATGAATTTATCCAGTGCTTGAAGGACAACTGCAGTTAGCAACACTAGCAGGATTGTCTTAAGAAGACTTGCAATGTCTATGATTCCTACCTTTTTATGTTTATTTAAAACTGCAATAATTGAAATGGATGAAAGGTAAATAGGAAGGAATACAAATGCGATGATACTGAAAGGAATTATGGTAACCACAAGGCAGAGGGTGGGGGGCGGGGTTGACCAGCTCATATGAGCAAAATTTAATGTGCAAAATAAGGATGCATTTACGAATTATAAAATGGAAATTCAATAAAATTTTATTTAAAAAAAGAGTTCGCAATTTTCCTGTGCCACAAACATGCACAGACAAGCCCCTCAAACGATGGCTCTTTCTGTACCCCATGGGTAGGCAAACTAAGGCCCAGGGGCCGGATCTGGCCCAATTGCCTTCTAAATCCAGCCTGTGGACAGTCTGAGAATCAGCGTGTTTTTACATGAGCAGAATGTGTCCTTTTATTTAAAATGCATCTCTGGGTTATTTGTGGGGCATAGGAATTCATTCATATATTTCCCCCCCCCCCCAAATAAACTATATATACTAGATATGGTCTGAGGGACAGTGGACCGGCTCCCTGCTGAAAAAGTTTGCTGACCCCTAATGTAGCCCCTGCCTAAGCCCCTCTCAAATTTTCTGCCTGTGAGGATGAGATTCTAAGGGGAGATTCTGCACAGAATTTCACTCTCCAGAGCAAAGCCAATGGCAGCCTTTGCATGCACCCCTCAAATGCAGGAGACTCTTAGGATGGATTTTCACGAGTGATTTTTATCAACGTGTCCTTTAAACTGCCACGTTTTCTATGTGCTGCCTTCTTCTTGTTGCTGCAAGACTTTGATGGGAGGAAAGGATGCAAAACTCCAACCAATTTAAAAAGAAGCTAATGCAATAATAGCAATACAAAAACTATGAGCACCACAGTTCATGCCTCACCGAAAGGGCCTTTTCCACGCCTTTTCGCCAGGCTCCCCCTGGGTGTCTCTGTGGAGCATCTTTTGCTCATCAGCCTTCCCTTCTTCTGGCTCTCTGGCAAAGAGAAAAGGTGCGGAAAATTAGGGAGCACAAGAGCATGATCGACAATATTTTAATGTATTTATTGCATTTATAGATCACCTTCTTTCTCCAAAGGCCTCAAGGAACAGCACACGGTTCTCCCTATTTAATTCCTCCAACAGCAACAGCAACCCTGTAAGGTAGGTTAGGCTGAGAGGCAGTGAGAGGCCACCCGGTGGCGGAGTGGGGATTTGAACCTGCGTCTCTCAGATCCTAGTCCAACACAGTGGTTCTCAATTATTATTATTATTTTAAAAAAGGTTAAAAAATTGTGTCGGTGCATTCAGGAAGTGGATAACCAAGCTGGTGGATAACCAAGTTCCAAATCTGGAAATATAATGACATTTGCATTGCATTTATTTTTATACACACACACACACACACACACACACACACACACACACACGTACTTTTCTGTGTATAAGACAAGGATTTTTTTCTTTAAAAATTATGTTAAGAAAAGGGGGGTCATCTTATACATGGGGCAATTTCCCCCCATTTTCTTTGTTTGGAATCCCCAAAAATAGGGGTGTATTCTACATGGGGGCGTGTTATACACAGAAAAATACAGTATGTATATATACAAACACACACACATCTATAGATAAAGGTACAGATAAAGGTACCCAGTCACAGCCAACTCTGGGGTTGCGATGCTCATCTTGCTTTCAGGCCAAGGGAGCTGACGTTTGTCCTCAGACAGCTTCCGGGTCATGTGGCCAGCATGACTAAGCCGCTTCTGGCGAACCAGAGCAGCACACGGAAACGCCGTTTACCTTCGCACCGGAGCAGTACCTATTTATCTACTTGCACTTTGACATGCTTTCGAACTGCTAGGTGGGCAGGAGCAGGGACCGAGCAACGGGAGCTCACCCCGTCGCAGGGATTCGAACCGCCGACCTTCTGATCGGCAAGCCCTAGGCTCTGTGGTTTAGACCACAGCGCCACCCGCGTCCCTAATTTCACTTATATACTTTCATAATAGACAATTTTTTATGTACTTTTTGTTTCCTTTCCCCCTTTACTTTGCTTAGAGAAGTATTTCAAATACATATATATATATTTAAAGTTCCAGATCTGCCCACGTAATATGGGAGGTGCAGATCAAGCCAGAGGGAATTCCCCAAGCCTTCCTAATGACAGGAAAAGGTCTCTTCGTCTCAGAGGCCGCCTGGAGGGACATTGACAAACCGGCTGCCTTGCGGAGACAGCGAACTGCCACTTAGCAGCCTTGGAACATTTTAGGTCTTGGCAGAAAGGTGTTGCGCTCAGCACGAGGAGCATAAGGCCAATATTGCGCATTTCAGCAGCAGTCTTGCTCCCTCCCCCCTGGGTATTTAATTAGCCAGCAGCCCTGGGGACATAACGATCAACGTACCAATTAACTCAGGCTCTTTGCAGCTCCTTCTGCATCATCACCAGGAGAATCTGGTTCATATACAAACATTTCGGTGGCCAGCCCAACAACTTGTTTCAGCTCAACCAAGAGGAGAGGGGGACAGTGAAGATGAGGCTAGATAGATTAGATAGAGAGAGAGAGAGAGAGAGAGAGAGAGAGAGAGAGAGAGAGACAGATGATAGATATAGATATAGATATAGATAGATAGAGAGAGAGAGAGATAGATAGATAGATAGATAGATAGATAGATAGATGATAGATAGATGATAGATAGAGAGATGATATAGAGAGATATATAGATACATATTCTGCCTTTCAACCAGACAGAGGGCCTTCTCGGTAGTGGCGCCCACCCTGTGGAATGCCCTCCCATCAGATGTCAAGGAAATAAACTTTTTAGAAGACATCTGAAGCAGCCCTGTTTAGGGAAGTTTTTAATGTTTGCTGTTTTGTCCTAATAATAATAATAATAATAATAATAATAATAATAATAATATTCTGTTTGGAGTCGCCCAAAGTGGCTGGTGAAACCCAGCCAGATGGGCAGGGTCTAAATAATAAAATAAATTCATTATTATTATTAATATAATCATCCTTATTCTTATTATCCGAAGATCTTTGAGGACCCGCAAGCATGACTTACACCTTAATGCCAACCGGGGTCCTCGCTGCCTTCTTCAGCTCCTTGGCCAGCCGGTCTTGCTTTGCCCTGCAAGGAGAGGAAGGGCATCAGGGGGTGTGCAAGACATTCTCCTTCCATATGTCCTGCTTGCTAGATTTTCCAGGTTCTTTTGAGAGACAGGGCTGTGCTTCTGTCAAGGATGGGGTGAGGTCACAGGTTCAATGCTCACTGACATCTCTGAGTACGGCCGCCCCTGAGCTATGTTACCTGTGCAAACAAGTACTATTTCCTATTTTAAAATTCATTGCCCAGCGATTTTACTGGGTGGTAGAAGTATGAGAAAGGAAGTGGGGGGGGGGATGTTTCCATGCACCATTAGGAATACGGGAAGCTAGGGTCTCTCCCCCCCCCCGCCAGCTCCTTTATTGCCATTTGAAAGAGGCCTCTCTTTATATTGTTGTGAGTTTGTGGGCGCAGGTGTGTTTTTCGGAAGTCGAACGTCTGATGCGGCTGTCGGCTACTGTTTCCGGGGCGCCTGCACCAATCAGAAGCTGCGCCTTGGTTTTCGAACATTTCAGAAGTCAAACGGAATTCCAGAACGGATTAAGTTTGGCGCTTTTGTTTTTGCTATTCATTTTGCGTTTTTGTTTTTGAGGCATTTTCAGTTAATTTGTTTTGGTGACTGTGTGGAACCCAGTTCAGCTACTGATTGATTGATTGATTGTGTGACTGTGGAAATGGATAAAAGTCCCCCATCCAAACAATGACTATCATCAGTGCAAGTAAGAAAAAAATAATCATTTTAATTTTAATAATCTACAATACTGTCTTATTTATTTTATAGTACAGTACATTGATTATTGCTTTTATTTTATGGATCAATGGTCTCTTTAGATAGTAAAATTCATGTTAAATTGCTGTTTTAGGTGTTGTTTACAAAAAGTCTGGAAGGGATTAATCCATTTTGCATAACTTTCAATGGGAAAGTGTGCCTTGGTTTTGGAACGCTTTGGTTTTGGAACAGATTTCTGGAACAAATTAAGTTTGAGAACCAAGGTACCACTGTACAAGTTTCTTTGTAATACAGTGACCTTACCTGGCTACATAAGTCTCCTCATCGATCATCCCATATGAATGAGCCAGGTTGCAAGAGCTGTAATTAAGGGCTGGTGCCCTCCAGGTTGGGGGGGGTGTGGAGGGACTTTCCTCCAGACTACTCTCCTAGCTGCTAGTTGGGACAACAGTAGCCAGGATGGAGCTGAGCTTGAAAGCAGGCTGGAAGCTGGAGACCCAGAGACCGGCTTGCTCTATGCTGGATTCAAAGCTGTGGCACTAATGGAGAAGCAAGATCTGTTTGCGTGTTAATGCTCAGTGCTGGATTTGCGTATAAGCTAAACAAGCTATAGCTTAGGGCCCCACTCTCTTGGGAGCCCCAAAAACATTTCAAGGGGAAAAAACTGGATGTACATTTCCAAAATACAAGATAAAAAAACAAATAAAATAAAACCTACATACAGCAGCAGTGTTTTGTGTTGTGTAGGCGCCTATGATGTAAGTCAGGCATCGGCAAACTTGGCCCTCCAGATGTTTTGGGACTACAACTCCCATCATCCCTACCCAACAGGACCAGTGGTCAGGGATGATGGGAGTTGTAGTCCCAAAACAACTGGAGGGCCAAGTTTGCCTATGCCTGATGTAAGTCATGGGCCCCACCTGCTAGCCTGCTACCTAAAATATCACTGCTTTGCTCCTTTCTATATATAGGGTGCCTACATTCTGCATGGACTGGTTGCAGGGCAGCAGGTGCAAATGGCTTGAGATACCTATACATAAATTACAATCTAGCATATATGCAACACAAAAAACAGCGACAATTTGTTGTTGACAAAGGACAGCTGGACATATAAAAGGCCCCATTGCCTTCAGTAGCTTAGGGCCTCATCAAACCTAAATCCAGCCCTGTTCATGCTGTGAGTCTCTCCCTCCTTTGCTCAGGTTGTACATATGTACAAATAAAGCCATATACAGTCGAACCTTGCTTTTCGAACAGCTTGGTTCTTGAACGTTTTGGCTCCCGAATGCTGGAAACCCAGAAGTGACTGTTCCGGTTTGTGAACTATTTTTGGAAGCCAAACGTCCAAGGGGGCTTCTGATTGGCTGCAGGAGCTTCCTGCAGCCAATCGGAAGCCACACTTTGGTTTCCAAAAGTTTTGGAAGTCAAACGGACTTCTGGAACGGATTCCGTTCGACCTCCAAGGTACGACTGTATCCTAAAGACGCCATCGTCTTCATTCCAGGGAAACCAAACTTGGGGCAAGTGCCTGGGTTAAACCCTAGAGTTTCTCACTGCTAAAAGACTGTATTTCAAAACCCTGATGAAAATCAGGATGTGTATTTTTTGGTGCTGAGAGAGTCAGCATCTGACACCTTCCCAATCTTATCCCATTTGCGACACAAAGGCTATTCCTGCAAACAGCCAGCGGGGGGTCGCTTTTACTTTCGCAAGATTGAATATATTGCCCTGGGCTGTACTGGAGGGACGATTCCAACAGATTCCACACAAAAAACGCTTATGTCCCTGTGGAGATGGCAGTACCGAATCGGTGGCACATGCCCTTTTGGCTTGCCCTTTTTATAGAGACTTATCACCCCTATTTTATTGTCCATTCCGGGTCACCCAGCCACTGCCACAGTGTCCTTTTTCTTGGCAGATCAAGATGAGCAGGTGACAGCAAAGGTGGCAAGGTTTTTAGCTGGGGCAATCAGAATAAGACCCACTATTTGACTACGGATTCAAAACCCTAAAATGTATTTTATATACTTGACTTTTTCTTTCTATTCTTTGACTATTATATTGTGGTTTTATTGCTATGGCCAATGGCTGGCGCAAATAAAGATTCATTCATTCAGCCAGTAGGGGGCACTTCAGCCCACACTTCCCCTGTGCCAAACTCTCCAGATCTGAACTGCTGCTGCCCCCCAGGCCCTGACCTCCCTCCCCGTTTCGGAGGTCGCCCACCTCTCGAGGGCCTTGTTCCTGTGCTCGGCGGCCTCTGCTTTCTTCTGCATGAAGCACCTGAGCAGCTCCAGGCCTCTCTCGGCCGCCCGGCGGAACTCCCCATCCTGCTGAAGGTAGCGCTGGTGCAGAGAGACGTAGTCTTCCTTCATGGCGACGGTCCTGCGGCTCAGCTCCTCCACCTGCTCCTGCAGCAGGCGATGTTCGCACTCCAGCTCAGAGACGTGCCCACTCAGACCGGCCAGCCTGGAGCAGACCAAAGCAAAGGGTGAAGACAGGGCGTCGGAAGAGCCGGCTGGACGAGGCCCTTCCAGCCCAGCATCCGGTTCTCCCAGGGGCCAACCAGGTGCCCATTATGGGAAACGTGCAAGCAGGATTCGAACACAGGAGCAACTCTCCCCTCCTGTGATTTCCAGGAAGCACTGCTGCCATCAACTGTGGAGGCAGGGAGGGGGGTTTTTTGAGCAGGAATTTGGGGGAACTGAGTCTCCTTACCTTTTCAAAATTAAATAATTACAGTCGTACCTCTGGATACGAACAGGATCCGCTCCGGAGCCCCGTTCACATCCTGAAGCGAACGCAACCCGCGTCTGCGCGTGCAGCGATTCGCGGCTTCTGCGCATGCGTGTGACAACATTTTGACCGTCTCCACATGCGCAAGCAGCGAAACCCGGAAGTAACATGTTCATTACTTCCGGGTCGCAGCGGAGTGCAACCCAAAAATGCTCAACCTGAAGCAACTTCATCCCGAGGTATGACTGTATTGTGTTTTGTCTGGGTGGGCTGGGATGGATGTATTTACCCAACGACTGAGCCAAAAATCCACCTATATCTGTAATCAATCAAGCTGTGGCCGTTTCTCATCCTGATCATTGTCTGCTTGAGTTTATTCATCACATCTTACATTTAGCCACTGCCTGGGGGGGTGGGGAGTGGCACTGCGCCGGGGCCCACAATAAACCAACAAACAAAAAAATTTGTGGGGAACTCCCCCACCTCCACCCCCCATTATTTATTTAATTTGGCAAACCTGGTTTGCGCTTCAAGACCCCCAAGCCAGTCTCAGGAGAATAAAGACACAAGCACAGAATTTAGGTTAATGTTAATGGCCAAAATTTAGGCCACAACTTTATTGGTTACAGAATGTGAGGGGTACTGGCTTAGGCATTGGCATCAAGAGACTACAGTATATCCGACTCCTGCTCGCCTTGCAGGAAGTCTGGACGGGTAAACTACCAGTAGGGGGAGCCCCGCCGATGCGGATTGATCACTAAAATATAATCTAAAATTGTCATTTAAAACCTCAGTCATTTTGGTAGTACAGTGGTACATCAGGTTACATACACTTCAGGTTACATACGCTTCAGGTTACAGACTCCACTAACCCAGAAATATTACCTCGGGTTAAGAACTTTGCTTCAGGATGAGAACAGAAATCGTGCAGTGGGGGCACAGCGGCAGCAGGAGGCCCCATTAGCTAAAGTAGTGCTTCAGGTTAAGAACAGTTTCAGGTTAAGAACGGACCTCCGGAACGAATCAAGTACTTAACCCGAGGTACCATTGTATTATGTCTGTCCTGGACCTGAAGGGTAGAACTTCGCTCACCATTGCCCCCACCAAAAAAAGAGAACGAATCGAAAAGAGGCGTTGCGCTATAGAAGCAGCCGGACGGAGGAACGTTACCTGCCCCTCTGTTCCTCCAGTTCGGCATCTTTTGCTTGGAGCTGCAAGTTCCATTCATAGATGCTGTAGGCAAGCTGAAAAAGAACAGAGAAGGGTCCCCTGGTCATTTGGTCTGCAGGCTTCTCCTTCAATGAAAGACTGGATCATGCCTTGGGAAGGGAGACATCCTGGAGAAGGTGACGGCATCAGGGCAAACAAGAAGCTGGAATGGGCGATGGCAGGGCCGGATTTAGGTTTGATGAGGCCCTAAGTCAGGCATCCCCAAACTCAGCCCTCCAGATGTTTGGGGACTACAATTCCCATCATCCCTGACCACTAGTCCTGTTAGCTAGGGATGATGGGAGTTGTAGTCCCAAAACATCTGGAGGGCCGAGTTTGGGGGTGCCTGCCCTAAGCTACTGAAGGTCATGGGGCCCTTTCTATGTCCAGCTATCCTCTGTCAACAACAAATGGTCGCTGGTTTTTTGTGTTGAATATATGCTAGATGGTAATTCACGGACCTAATAGGTATCTCAAGCCATTTGCACATGTTGCCCTGCAACCAGCCATGCGGAATATAGGCACCCTATATATAGAAAGGAGCAAAGCAGTGATATTTTTGGGAGCAGGCTAGCAGGCGGGGCCCATGACTTACATTGTAGGAGCCGACACAACACAAAACACTGTTGCTGTTTATAGGTTTTATTTTCTTTATTTTTTTTATCTTGTATTTTGGAAATGTACATCCAGGTTTTTTTTCCTTTAAATTTTTTGGGGGCTCCCAAAAGAGTGGGGCCCTAAGCTATAGATTGTTTAGCTTATATGTAAATCCGGCACTGGGTGATGGACCTTATTTTTGGTCCGTCGACATTTAAGCATCTGTTTATTGATATGCCTGCTCTGTCCTGAGTCTGCTATTAGTGTTGTTTCTTTAAGTTCGCACAAAAATTCGAAAACACGTCAAGATTTTGCACATCTTCTGAAACTTTTTGAGCTGAGAAGTGTATCACAGGATTCAAAGATCTGCACAGTCCAAATGGTAATGGCCTTGTTGAGGATATGCTCTGGACTAGGGTGGATAAAAATCAATGGATTTTTTTAAATTTAAATTGGATTTTTAAAATAAAATGCTTTTGGAGGAAAAATCTTTCTAAAGATAGTTTTCTGTTTAAGTTACATTATAGTCCAAAGGCTATCCATCAGGAAATAAGGGTTTGTTTTAAGTTTTTCATGTGTGCTAAAACTCAGACTAAGTTTTTTTATTAAAAAAATTGTTTAACCACATCAGTTAACAAACAGGATACATATGCTAAAATGTTATTGTTTTTGTTAAACAAATTGTTTAAATTGTAACTAATGATTATTTTTCTCCTTCCAATAAAGTACAGCAGAAAAGTTGTTCAAATATAAACAGTTAACTTATTAAACCTCACAACAATTTCATAATTATCAATGTATTTCTAATAGTTATAACCAAATCAGTAATTTTTATATAACTGTAAAAACTACTCTGAAAATTTATTATTCCAAAAATGAAACCTTCATCTGGTTGAAAATATTAAGATTAAACCAGCAAGAATGAGTCTTTCTGTAAAAAAAATAATGATTTAGAATCATAGAATCATAGAGTTGGAAGAGACCACAAGGGCCATCGAGTCCAACCCCCTGCCAAGCAGGAACACCATCAGAGCACTCCTGACATATGGTTGTCAAGCCTCTGCTTAAAGACCTCCAAAGAAGGAGACTCCACCACACTCCTTGGCAGCAAATTCCACTGTCAAACAGCTCTTACTGTCAGGAAGTTCTTCCTAATGTTTAGGTGGAATCTTCTTTCTTGTAGTTTGGATCCATTGCTCCGTGTCCGCTTCTCTGGAGCAGCAGAAAACAACCTTTCTCCCTCCTCTATGTGACATCCTTTTATATATTTGAACATGGCTATCATATCACCCCTTAACCTCCTCTTCTCCAGGCTAAACATGCCCAGCTCCCTTAGCCGTTCCTCATAAGGCATCGTTTCCAGGCCTTTGACCATTTTGGTTGCCCTCCTCTGGACACGTTCCAGTTTGTCAGTGTCCTTCTTGAACTGTGGTGCCAAGAACTGGACACAGTACTCCAGGTGAGGTCTGACCAGAGCAGAATACAGTGGCACTATTACTTCCCTTGATCTAGATGCTATACTCCTATTGATGCAGCCCAGAATTGCATTGGCTTTTTTAGCTGCCGCATCACACTGTTGGCTCATGTCAAGTTTGTGGTCAACCAAGACTCCTAGATCCTTTTCACATGTACTGCTCTCAAGCCAGGTGTCCCCCATCTTGTATTTGTGCCTCTCATTTTTTTTGCCCAAGTGCAATACTTTACGTTTCTCCCTGTTAAAATTCATCTTGTTTTACTGACTAGTGATTTAAATCGTGATTTAAATTGATTTAAATCAAATCCACCCTACTCTGGACCAATGAATGATTCTGCTTACCCCTTTCTGTCCCATTTCCCTGGCCTCTCCTGTTCCTTGGATGTGGGAAAGGTGTCTCCCCCAGATCCCCAGGCCCAATCCTGTGTCAGCTTACCTCCCCGTTGATGCTTTCCAGCTCCGCCAAATGTCTCTCATGTATCCCCTTCAGGGTCTCCGTTGTTTCTGCAGAGCCCAAGACTGCACCCAAGAAACAGTCAGTGGTCTCCTCGATGGGTCTGCAAAAACACAAGCAAATTCAGGTGAGAAAATCAGAGTAGCCACCAGTCATCAATAGCCCTCTGTGAATTTGTCCTATCCTCTTTAAATGCCACCCAGGTTGGTTGCCATCACTGCCTCCTGTGGCAGGGAGTTCCACAGTTGAACCACGCACAGCATGAAGAAGCCCGCAAGCAAAAGCAACAAACCCTCCCCATCATATTCCCTGGCAACTGGCACTTTGCCTTAAAAAATAGAGGCTTTGTTTAGACAGCAAGGCTCCCAGCTCCGCGCTCCATGAATTATTCTGTGCAACCAACAGTCTGTGTGAACCCCACAGTTCTTGCAGCCATGGAAATTAATATTGGGCATGGAAAATCAACTTCTGGAGAATGCCTTTTTGTTTCTAATTCAAAGCCGCTAACCAGTGAATTCCGTGCATCCGCTATGTGCTGTTTGAAGACAGGCTTCCCTTTGTCTGTGCAAAATCTGTTGCCAATCAATTTAATTGATTCAGTTCCAGCGTCATAAAAGAGATTTCTCTTAATCCACTTTCTCCGTCATCTCTTTTGCTGTGGCAGCTCTCCACACACACACACACACACACACACACACAGGGTCCGGGTGTCCTGGGTGGGGGGAAACCGCCCCCTTCGACCCCAGATGAACCAAAAACCTCAGACACCCAGATTTCCTTTGAAAAAGGGAAAGTTTCTAGCAGTGGTAAGACCTGAGGAAAATGTACAAACGCTATACTTCTTCTTTGTGTGAGAAACCTGCATGTTCCCTCTTTCTGGTTGGACACTGTGAGGCAAGGATGCTGGACTAGATGGGCCACTGGCCTGATCCAGAAAACTATAATAATAATAATAATAATAATAATAATAATTTATTATTTACACCCCGCCCATCTGCCTGGGTTTCCCCAGCCACTCTGGGAGGGTCCCAACCAAATATTAAATACACAATACAGCATTAAACATTAAAAACTTCCCTAAACAGGGCTGCCTTCAGATGTCTTCTAAAAGTCTGGTAGTTGTTTTTTTACTTGACATCTGGTGGGAGGGTGTTCCACAGGCCACCACCGAGAAGGCCCTCTGCCTGGTTCCCTGTAACTTCACTTCTTGCAGGGAGGAAACCACCAGAAGGCCCTCAGAGCTGGACCTCCGTGTCCGGGCAGAACGATGGGGGTGGAGACGCTTCTTCAGGCATATAGGACTGTTCTTCTGTTCTTATATATTCTATTCTTTGCACTGCCCCAAGAAATAAAAGCCTCGCAGACACACGGGCCCCTGCAGGCTACATTGGGGGCATGAGGTTAAGAGATCAGAAACTATTATTGAACCTAACTGAGGTGGTTCTTTTAGTGCTATGTGAATTGAGAGAGTGAAAAAACGCTTATCACTAGGGCTGGGTGATCTATTGATGTATCGTCCAAAACCGGTTTGAAGTGATATCGGTTTCATAGTTTTTTACCTGACAATATATCGTGAATCATGATGTGTGTTTGGGCTAGGTGATACATTGTAGAAAATGCGCACCGACCCCTCTCGCTCTCCAGGCTTCAGCGAAAGCCTGCATTCACTCCATAGGACGCACACACATTCCCCCTTCATTTTTGGAGGGGAAAAGTGCGTCCTATAGAGCGAAAAATACGGCACTTAATTCCTGAGTCCAGGTCACAGGCTCACCCTATTCATACACAAATGTGCCCTTAAGACAGGATTTGTGAGCACAGAGACAAAGATTGGGGGGGGGGGGGCTTTCCCATTTCCATCCAAACCGCAGAGGAATATCTGAGGTCACTGAAAGAGTAAAAATGGGACAGTTTTCCTGTACTGTTTCAGACATGTGGTTTATATATTTATACATGTGTTTGCTGGGTACATTTATGAACATTTATTTTATTTCTTAGACCTTACAATTCTCATAACACTGGTGATATATCAAGATACTGAAAACCAGATATCGCCCAGCCCTACTTATCACTCGGACTGGGTGCATGAGAAGGAAATTCAGATGTGCTACTACTAATCTGCAGCCAGCAGAATTTGAACGCACACCCTCCCAAGGCAACCCTGGTACTGCCAAGGTCCCTGACTCAGCACAGATTCTGCCCAGGAGGGAGGCAGAGCTGAATTAGCCTTGCAAGACTTGTGCAAATGGGAAAAAGTGTCCATTGTAAACGTGCAAGGCACAGCCACTGCTATTCTGAGTTATTTTGGTCCTGTGCGGTGCCAAGACAAGTTGCCTGTGTGTTTACTTCCACAACTGAGTAAAATTCCTGCACAGTCATCGTGAGGGGGAAAAGAGAAGAGGCCTCTGAGCCTGCCAACCATCATCCAGCGCGGGTGTCACAGGAAGCAAGGAAAAGAAAATTCTCACTACAACAAAAATAGAGCAGAACAGCAACAGGAAACTCCCGACTCCTACCCACTAAAGCCAGGACTGCCCAGTGGCTAAACTACATATTGACACAAAGACAGGGAGAGAACTGAGGTTTTGATACCTGGGAGGGAATCCTCGCAAGTTATCCAGAGATTTTGCTTGCAGCTTTGCAGTGAGATTTTCCAGGTTGGATTTTTCCAAGAGCTTGTTATCTACAAGAAAATAAAGAAGATGGATGCTATGAAAGGGAAGACCAAAGAATAAGATGCCTAGAGAATTTACGGCAACACATCTACCACTGGCAGCGATGCAGGATGGAAGACTTTCCCATCATATTTTTTTCTGCCAAAAATATTCTACTTTTAGAAATGCATTGTTTCCCAGTGCTGGGTTTACGTATAAGCTAAACAAGCTGTCACTTAGGGCCCCACTCTCCTGGGGCCCCAAAAAATTTTAAGGGAAAAAAACCTGGATGTACATTTCCAGAATACAGTGGTACCTCGGGTTAAGTACTTAATTCGTTCCGGAGGTCCGTTCTTAACCTGAAACTGTTCTTAACCTGAAGCACCACTTTAGCTAATGGGGCCTCCTGCTGCCGCCACGCCGCTGGAGCACCATTTCTGTTCTCATCTTGAAGCAAAGTTCTTAACCTGAAGCACTATTTCTGGGTTAGTGGAGTCTGTAACCTGAAGCATATGTAACCTGAAGCCTATGTAACCCAAGGTACTACTGTAGAAGATAAAAAACAAATAAAATAAAACATACATACAGCAACAGTGTTTTGTGTTGTGTAGGCTCCTATGATGTAAGTAATGGGCCCCACCTGCTATATAAAGGGCCCCATTACCTTCAGCAGTTTAGGGCCTCATCAAACCTAAATCCAGCCCTAATTGTTTCATAAATTAACAGGTTGCATGGTGAACAGAACACAATGCAGGCCAAACAGAACAGTCAAATCTAAATCAAATTGATGATTAACTTTTTCCAGATGCCTACTGCTAGGAAGCAAATATAATTGTGTGCTCAGCTCTTCAGGCATTGCAAAATTGGTGCGCTAACAGTTTTCAATCCTCTTCCCCCCACTTTGAAATCTAATGTAGGAAAACACTTAAAGTAGCTGCAAGAATTCTAATCTTTAAAAGCCAAGTAAAATTCTGAATTTGTTCAAACATAACACCGAAACCCCACCAAAGCTGCAGTCCTGTATCAATTTACCAGCATGTAAGGTGGCACTGTGGGTTAAACCACAGAGCCTAGGGCTTGCCGATCAGAAGGTCGGCGGTTCGAATCCCCGTGACGGGATGAGCTCCCATTGCTCGGTCCCTGCCCTGCCAACCTAGAAGTTTGAAAGCACATCAAAGTGCAAGTAGATAAATAGGTACCGCTCTGGCGGGAAGGTAAATGGCGTTTCTGTGCGCTGCTCTGGTTCACCAGATGCGGCTTAGTCATGCTGGCCACATGACCTGGAAGCTGTATGCCGGCTCCCTCGGCCAATAAAGCGAGATGAGCGCCGCAACCCCAGAGTCGGCCACGACTGGACCTAATGGTCAGGGGTCCCTTTATCCTTTACCTTTAAGTCAATTTAACTCAATGGAACTTACTCCTGAGGAGACATTTTTTGCAAGTGAACTTGATTGAGCGCCCATATCCCCCCCCCCCCCCGGCAATCTAATATTTTAGTGCAACTCCTTTTCCAAGTGGGAAACTTTTTCCACCACTTTATTTCAAATCAATACAAAATTATCAAGACATGACTCTTCTTTACTAAAGCCTCATTAACACACTAAATCAGATCTATGCTGATTTAGGACAATAGAAAATTCATATATAGATAGATCTGACTTCATGCCAGCTCAGCCTTTAACAGCCATGGTTGCTCTTAAGTTCTTCAGTATCATAGAATTATGGGTACCGTATGTACCCCAAGGGTCATCTAGTCCAACCCTCTGCAATGCAGGTTCTTATTTCATACAATGCAAAATTACTTACTTTGTAGGCCCAGAGCAAGAGGCTGTTTATTGTTGAACAGGCTAAAACAACAACAACAACAGGAGATGTAAGGAGCCAAAACAATGAGCTAAGGGTGGAATCAAAGCTACAACCCATAATAACTGGAGACAGTATTTCACTTTCCAATTGTGCATTGCTACAATTGCCACGACACATGTGCCCTTTTTTTGCAATAAGAACTTTTTATTCTCCCAGACTTAACAATGGCCATATTCGTCTGGTGCTTTAAAAAATTCTTCCCCCAACTTCTTCCCCCTTGCTATTAAAGCTGGTTTTATGCTGCTGCGATTATTCTGTATTCTACATGGCCTCCCCTCCCGCTGTTGTTTTGTGTAGCTTATAACTGGTTTTATTGTCAGAAACCTTGGCCTGCGTTTTGTAATTTCATAAGCCATAAAAAGAGCCCAGAGGACAAGGAGGTACACAAAGTCACTCACTGAATAAAAAACCTCTCCCCAATCTAGCAGAGGGCTGAGCGGATCCTGCCGATTCGGACCGGTTGCCATGGTTATGAAGCCGCAAAGAGCACTGAATGCTTGTACGCAGGACGAACGGGGGAAACTGCCTTGCAGCAAAAAATACGACAAGTAACTTTAGCTACATCTGGACTAGTGCAAGTTTTAGAGGTGGGGGAATAATGAGCAGAGGTTGCACAGCCACCTGTCAGGGATCCTTTACCTGTGATTCTTTCATTGCAAGGGGTTGGGCTAGAGGACCTTTAGGAACCCCTTCCCACGCTACAGTTCTAGGATTCTAACAACGTTCTTTTGCTGCAGTGCAGAGTCGTCTTATTGCGGCATGATTCTGCATTGGGTAGAAATATGCACAGGTGCAGTTTTGGAAGGGATAAAACAACTACTTGAGATGGTGTTTGGATGACGCTCAGGTCTACCCACATGCATGCTCCAGTGCTAGGAGGGAACCGGCCACAGCTGGGGCTCGGGTGCAAACTCCGGGTCTCAGACAGCCTTGTTGTTGTTTAGTCGTTTAGTCGTGCCTGACTCTTCATGACCCCCTGGACCAGAGCACGCCAGGCACTCCTGTCTTCCACTGCCTCCCGCAGTTTGGTCAAACTCATGTTCGTAGCTTCGAGAACACTGTCCCAACATCTTGTCCTCTGTCGTCCCCTTCTCCTTGTGCCCTCCATCTTTCCCAACATCAGGGTCTTTTCCAGGGAGTCTTCTCTTCTCATGAGGTGGCCAAAGTATTGGAGCCTCAGCTTCAGGATCTGTCCTTCCAGTGAGCACTCAGGGCTGATTTCCTTCAGAATGGATAGGTTGGATCTTCTTGCAAGAGTCTCCTCCAGCACCAGAATTCAAAAGCATCAATTCTTCAGCGATCAGCCTTCTTTATGGTCCAGCTCTCAATTCCATATATCACTACTGGGAAAACCAGAGCTTTAACGATACGGACCTTTGTTGGCAAGGTGATGTCTCTACTTTTTAAGATGCTCAGGCAGCCTAGCTGGATGTAAAAAGGGTCCGTTCGAAAGTGGCTTACAGTGGCCATCCTCACACGCTTTTCACTGCTCAGTAGGGTGGCGCTGTGGGTTAAACCACAGAGCCTAGGGCTTGCTGATCAGAAGGTTGGCAGTTCAAATCCCTGCAACGGGGTGAGCTCCCGTTGCTCGGTCCCTGCTCCTGCCAACCTCACAGTTCGAAAGCACGTCAAAGTGCAAGTAGATAAATAGGTACCACTCCGGCGGGAAGGGAAACGGCGTTTCTGTGCGCTGCTCTGGTTCGCCAGAAGCGGCTTAGTCCTGCTGGCCACATGATCCGGAAGCTGTACGCAGGCTCCCTCGGCCAGTAAAGCGAGATGAGCGCCAACCCCAGAGTCGTCCGCAACTGGACCTAATGGTCAGGGGTCCCTTTACCTAAGGCAAAGAGGCAGCTGGAGAGAGGATGCCGAGATCCAGCACCAAATCTGGGCCAGACACCAAAACCTTCTGGGTGGCCACAGCCTGGGTGCAAGCGTGGAACAAAAAACTCTTTGGTTATGAGATGCAGCGCAGGAGAGTGGTTACAGCAGGTTCTCCAAGGTTGTAGCAGGAGAGGACGGCAAGTCCAGTGGTAAAATTGATGGGCAATCTATAGTGTCAAAATACTTAAGGTACATCTGTAAGAGGCTTCTTTTTAATTATACTTTGGGACTGATTCCTGTTCTTACATAGATGCCTTGTTTTATACTTTCTGAATGCCCCATGATTGTATTTTAAAGTCGTTGTGTTCTAGGTTATAAAATCCAGCACTGCTGGGAGTTGTTCCTTTTCGTTTTCCGGTGCATTTCTTATCCGCAAAAAAATTCGGTATGGGGCAAGCAAATTTTTATTTTGAAAGTGTGGCCCAGAGAAAAAAGTTTGAGAACCAAAGGTTTAGAGTGTCACACTGGGACCTGGGAGCAGTGGCACAGCTGCATGCTCTGGCACCGGAGGCGGAGAACAGGCGGGAGCGTGGCTGGCGCGTGTCCCATGGGTGTGGCACGCTGCCCGCGGGGGCGTAGTGCCCTGTGCAGGGTAGCACACGGCGCGTGTCCGGGGGGACAGCCGCAATGGCACCCCCCCGGGTGGTACCTGGAGCGGCCCACTCCCCCAGCCCCCTTCCTCCGCCAGTGCCTGGGAGAGCAGAGTTCGAATCCCCACACAGCCATGGAGCCCAGTGGGTGACCTTGGGGTATGGACCATCTCTCAACACACCTAGTCTCCCTCACAGGGTTGTTGTGAGGCTCAAAGACTGGGCAGGGAAGTCTTCACGCCATCTTGAGCTCCTTAGAGGAATGGTAGGGGGAAGATGTATCAAAAACAGCAACGTTGGTCATACACAGTATGTTTCTGAGCACAATTCAAAGTGTTGGTGCTGACCTTGAAAGCCCTAAAAGGCCTCGGCCCAGTAGACCTGAAGGAGCGTCTCCACCCCCATCGTTCAGCCCAGACACTGAGGTCCAGCGCCGAGGGCCTTCTGGCAGTTCCCTCTCTGCGAGAAGTGAGGTTACAGGGAACCAGGCAGAGGGCCTTCTCGGTGGTGGCGCCCACCCTGTGGAACGCCCTCCCACCAGATGTCAAAGAGATAAACAACTACCTGACATTCAGAAGACATCTGAAGGCAGCCCTGTTTAGGGAAGCTTTTAATGTGTGACATTTTGATGTATTTTTAATCTTTGTTGGAAGCCGCCCAGAGTGGCTGGGGAAACCCAGCCAGATGGGTGGGGTACAAATAATAAATTATTATTATTATTATTATTATTATTATTATTATTACACAGAGCACACCAACTGGAATCAATGGACGGAAGCAGTGGTTTAAATTGGGATGCAGAAGCTGCCGCTCAACTCCAACTCACATCAATCCCCAAATACTGTGAGACAAGCTCTTTCCCTACAGACCCTCTCAGCTGTTAAGGAGGCAGTGGCGGCCCCCAACTTGAAAGGCTTTTAAAGAGGGTGGGACAAGTTCACGGGCTATCAAAGGCTACTAGGTTATACTGAGAGGCACTGACGGGGCTCTCAAGGTCACCCAGTGAGCTTCATGTCCACAAGTGGGGATTTGAACCCGGGTCTCCTGGGTCCCAGTCCAACATTTTAACCACTGGACCAACCTGACTCCTATCCCTCAGGAGCAAGTCTTGCTGAGCTCAATGGGACTTTCTGACCTCTCAGGTGCATGCGTACAAGATTGCAACCTCCTTGCAGAATCTTTGCAATGCCTTTACGAAAACAGAAACTGAGCAGTGCCAGCTTTTGAAACTGCATCGGTTCCTCCAAAGAACGGCGGCTGTTCCTGCTTCCCAGGAGGCTGACTTACGTTGCATTACATTGTTTTCCTACTGCTCTTTCGAACGTTGCAACATCCCGCAGAAAAGAGGATGCTAAAATGATTTCCCCTTCCGCGCTTTGGTGCGTGTGGTCTCACCCAAAAATGGAACCTGCACATCCGTTTGTCTGCGGTTCGCCAGAATTTGTCATGCCTCCCTGTGGCCATCTGCCTTGGTGGCGCCGCAGCACATTGAGAGGGGCTGGTGATGCCGGCATCTGGCTGCCAGAGTCCCGGGGTTCTGAGTTCAAATTCCCGGCATTGAAGATCATAGGGTGACCACGGGTCAATCACTCTCTCTTAGAGGGTGCTTGTGAAACCCCCATACCTGTGGAGCACTGAGCTCCTTGGAAAAAGGATGAGGAACATATTGGCATCTGTCTGCCTTGAGAGGCGATGGAGTGTGCCTCTAGGGGTGAAGTCAAACTGCTGTGACCTCTCAGGACAGGGGTCGGCAACGTGCGGCCCACGAAGACAGTTTTACCAGCCCATGAGCCACCCACAAACCGAGCCGCCCGCTTGGCAAGTCCCCCACGCACTGCGCTAAAGCAGTGTGGCGTTTACCTCTTAGCCTTTTCTTCTCCCACTAGGCAGCAGAGTTTTCCTTTTCCAAGCAGGCTCCCTTCCCATCTGCCCCTCACTTCCCTCTACAGCATGTGCAGAAGCCGCTTTCTTGACCGTTGGACCCACGCTTGGTCTTTTCTGCTCAATCTGCCAGAGCCTGTCTTTGCAGGTAGGGGAGGTCCCTCACTTCCTCCATTACAGGGGATTAGATGACTGTTGGGTCCCTGCCAACTCTACAGCTCTATGATTCTATGATCACCATCACAGATTTGAGGCCTCCTTTCCGGGCTGACTGTCCAAGACCAAAACGAAAGCAGAGCTATTAGGAAAAGACATTCTTGGCTCGAGCCCACTCAGAGGAAGAGAGGCGTTCCCCAACATATCCAAGAGTTGTTTGCCGTTGTTCTGCCTTTTCAAAGAATGTCCTTTTACACTTATTATTATTATTATTATTATTATTTAAAGGAATGTTCCCTTCATTGGTCTACTAATCCGCAAACAGTACAAATTAGCAATGCTTTTAACAGGCAGGAAAACAAAGACGATCTCATTGCCCTTTTCGTAAGCAGGGGGAGGGGGGATAATTTTGAGGGCGCTACAGCTGGCATTTCCTGCCTTAGTTTAATTGCAACCATCAATATTTTAAATGATGCTGGCTAGCCCAGGAGTTGGAGAGAAATCATGCTAAGCCTATGAAGAGAGAGAGCAAGATGCCTTTCAGGCAGGACTGAGTTCTTCAGCTTGTAGAAGATGAGAGGGAGCAGACCATTCCCAGGGAGCGAATATTGCAAAACATTGCTTCAGACAGGGGCAGGTCTCGCAGTGCTACTTTTATCAAGGATCTTTGCACATGGGCAGGATCACATGGGTGGAGGAGAGGATCCTTCCAGCTAGCAGGACACACACCCATTTGTGGTCACAGAGCAGCCAAACAAATGCCAACTGCTCACTTCTCCTTTCTCTAGCGATGTTGAAACCAGGGGATAAAACGGTTTTAAATCACACAGGGAAATGAATTAATGGGCCATTCCCCTTGTGACAATTCTTCTTTGTTAGCCAGGGTCTCTATTTACCATGGCGAATGTTATTTCTTAATCCCGCAAGAGAGAAAGTGAAGATTGAATCAGTGCACTAATTGAAGAAGTGATAATGTAATTGATGGGGTTTTCCACTTGCGTCATCTTTATATAGATGTAGATAAAACAGAGAGACCTTTGAACATGTGGATTACCGAGAATCAAGGCCTGGATAGAAACCAAGAGATCTTAATCACAGGCTTCCTGCGGTTTTTGCTTTGCTAATTAGCAAACATGTAGGGCTGAGGAACAGCGATCTGGTGGGAATATTCAGCAGCCCATCCCTCAACAAAAACTCCTTGACTTGCATGAATGAATTAAGTGGATGCTTGTCAAATTTGCAGATGACACAAAAACTGGGAGCGGTAGATAATCAGGTGACCGCATCAGGGTCCAAGACGCTCTTAACAGGTTGAAGAGATGGAACCAAACCAACAAAATGAATTTCATTGGGGACAAATGTCAGATTCTGCATTTAGGCAAGAAGAACCAGATTCACAAATAAACAATGGGGGACACCTGGCTTGCCAGTAGTACATGTGAAAAGGATCAAGGGGTCTTAGTAGACTACAAGCTTAACTCAAGCCAACAGTGCGCTGCAGCAGCAAAAGAAGAAATGCTATTCTAGGCTGAATCAACAAAAGTCAAGTGTCCAGATCAAGGGAAGTAATACTACCATTCTATTCTGCCGCTGTAGGTTAAACCACAGAGCCTAGGGCTTGCCGATCAAAAGGTTGGCGGTTCGAATACCTGCGACGGGGTGAGCTCCCATTGCTCGGTCCCTACTCCTGCACACCTAGCAGTTCGAAAGCACGCCAGTGCAAGTAGATAAATAGGTACCACTCCGGCGGGAAGGTAAACGGCATTTCCGTGCGCTGCTCTGGTTCTCCAGAAGCGGCTTAGTCATGCTGGCCACATGACACCGGCTCCCTCAGCCAGTAAAGCGAGATGAGAGCCGCAACCCCAGAGTCGGTCACGACTGGACCTAATGGTCAGGGGTCCCTTTACCTTTACCTATTCTGCCTTGGTCAGACCCCACCTGGAATACCGTGTCCAATTCTGGGCACCACAATTTAAGAAGGATGTTGACAATCTGGAAGGTGTGCAGAGGAGGGTGACCAAGATGATCAAGGGTCTAGAAAGCAAGCCTCATGAGGAATGGTTGAGGGAGTTGGACATGTTTAGCCTGGAAAAAATGAGACTGAGAGGAGATATATCTAAAGGGCTGTCACATGAAAGATGGCGCCATCATGTTTTCTCCTGCTCTGGATGGTAGGAGTCCAATTAGTAGAATCAAATGGCAAGAAAGGAGATTCTGACTAGACATTCAGAAGAGCTGTTCACAGTGGGACATACCTGCAACACGAAATAATCTTTCCCTGGTGCTGGTGACTTGGTCTAACAAACTCTTCCCATGTACAAAGTGCCAACAAGCTAGTCCTCAGGGCTCTGCAATCGCCCCTGCCCCCATCAACAATAGAGGAACCAAATAGAGTCACACCAGGATGAATCAGGAGCACAAACTTAGCTACTCTCACAGAGCCAGCTGCAAACAACATTCTTTAGCCATGCTTTAGCCAAGATACCATCCTCTCTCTGAACTGTACAAATCCTCATTTCTCTGGCAATTATTTATCCAGCAGCCATGACTTGGGGACACTTCCATCAGTGAAAGCAAACAGTGGGCTAAAAAGGAGAGATCAAAATTCTTTCTTTACCATTCAGCTTCCCAATTTCTTTTTCCTAAAGACTGATGAGAGAGACAAAGTGAGTGCAAGTGTTGCACTCGGACAGGATTCAAGTAGTCATTCAGCCAAGCACCTAGTTCTCATTGAGGTGGCAAACCTGTCTCTGAGCTGTACCATTTCAGACTGTGAGGGAAGACCATACTTTGTGGAATGTTCCTACATTTAAAAAAATTAATCCTTGCAGACAGAAATATAGCATGCAAGCAGAGGTGCCAACTTGAATAACATATTGGGGGGGGGCAGGTAACCCCTGCCCCGCATAATCAATCACATATTTGGTTAGGCTAGACTGAGTCTGAGGGTGGGTTGGGGCAGTGCATATGATTTCTGCAAAGTAGCTATGTGTGTGTGTGTGTGTGTGTGTGTGTGTGTGCGCCATGACTCTGCACAAACTCCGGCCACAAGAAGACACCACCTTAAAACCAAAATGCCTGTTTAGTTCTGGGAAATGTTCCGGGTTTTGTTTTGCTTTTTTCCAGCTTTTCCAGCTTAAAAAACCAGCTACCAAGCATACAGTATTGTCTTCCAGAACCAATGCACGCACAGGTGTTAAGTCTTGCATGCATGCAGCTATCCACATGTTCCCGAAACGAACTTGGAAAATCTTTTTACATCAAGCTCGCATCCAAAGGGTATCCAATCTAAAGTGTCAAGGTAATTTCTCCCTAGTAGCAGCTGTGACTGAGACGGACAGCAAATTACTGTGCTGCTATTAAAAAAGGGATGCTGTGCTTCTTGTTAATAAAGGATATGACTCGAGATACAATGGAGTCAAACCCAACTCCTTCTTTCCTCCTTTAATTCAATGGGGAATTAAACATTCCAGTGCCATCAGTCATGGTCAGTGTCAACCCAGGCAGCGAGCAGGTGCCAATCTGGAGGGAAATGGGAGATGGCAGGGTCCAAAAATTGGACGAGGATTCAGGAGTTGCATCCTCTGCAATATGAGGAGGAATCCTAGAAGGATCCTGGGGGGTGGTCCTTCTGGATCTTGCTTAAAATAAAAACTAAAAGATTTTCCCTGTTACAAGAGATGGAGAAGCCGGGAAGAGAAGCACGCAGAAGACAGCAAGTATAGAAATGTTTTCTTTTATTGCCACACTCTCTCCTTTTCCTTATTCATCCCGCCCTCAGTTGGTGGCGTTGTCTTCCCGTATGGGTGCAATAAAAACGTTGGCTTGTGAAGAAGAGCGCAACAAATGTTTACCGTTCTGGGTGGCGATTGTTGCTCACGGAAAGCAGAACAAAACACACGCACACACCCAAAAAAACCCCTGCAGGCAGTAAAATAACTGCATTATTAAGGGTTTGGGGGGCGGCAAATGTCCGTCTGTGCAATCGGCGCTGCCCCCTCTCCCTGCTGCCTTTTCTCGGACTTGAATCAAGGCTGCACTCTGTACATGCTCTCGTGCCTCCCGGGACTTGGTCCCTAAGCACGGGAGCTGGCTAAGCACCTGCGGAGATCCGCGGCGCAAACCTGCACGCCCACCCCGGGACCCCCGGCTCCCTCCGCAGCCGCCCGACGCGGGCTCCCCGGGAGCGCTTTCCGCAGGGGGAGTCGCTGGCAAGACTGCCTCTGGGCATGTGCAGAAGGCCCCGCCGGCCCTGTCCGCTGCCGCGCAGCGGGGGCTGCCCTGCCCTCCCTCCGGCTGCGCCCCGCCGACTCACAGGCCTCCACCAGGTCGAGGAAGCGCGCCTTCTGCGCCCGATCCCGCTGCTGCAGCTGCCGGACGATGTGGCGCTTCCAGCAGCGGCGACACAGCCGGCCGCCGCCGCCGCCGCCGCTCTCGGCCATGGCGCCCAGATGCAGCCCCGGGGGCCCGGATGACAAAGGGCGACGCGCGGCCAAAGGGGGAGGGAACTCCCAGTGACGTCGACGCCCAGGGGTGGGGCCAGAGCGGGGGAATCCCCCCGGAGTCGCCGCCCCGAGGAAGAGGCGGCGAGGCTTAGAGCGCTGGAACTGGAGGACACCCAGTGCCGGATTTGTTGTTGTTGTTGTTGTGTCCGACTCTTCATGACCCCCTGGACCAGAGCACGCCAGGCACTCCTGTCTTCCACTGCCTCCCGCAGTTTGGTCAAACTCATGCTGGTAGCTTCAAGAACACCATCCAACCATCTCATTCTCTGTCGTCCCCTTCTCCTTGTGCCCTCCATCTTTCCCAACATCAGGGTCTTTTCCAGGAAGTCTTCTCTTCTCATGAGGTGGCCAAAGTCTTGGAGCCTCAGCTTCAGGATCTGTCCTTCCAGTGAGCACTCAGGGCTGATTTCCTTCAGAATGGATCGGTTTGATCTTCTTGCAGTCCATGGGACTCTCAAGAGTCTCCTCCAGCACCATAATTCAAAAGCATCAATTCTTCGGCAATCAGCCTTCTTTATGGTCCAGCTCTCACTTCCATACATCACTACTGGGAAAACCATAGCTTTAATTACACGGACCTTTATTGGCAAGGTGATGTCTCTGCTTTTAAGATGCTGTCTAGGATTGTCATTGCTTTTCTCCCAAGAAGCAGGCGTCTTTTAATTTCGTGACTGCTGTCACCATCTGCAGTGATCATGGAGCCCAAGAAAGTAAAATCTCTCATTGCCTCCATTTCTTCCCCTTCTATTTGCCAGGAGGTGATAAACTAAACAAGCTATAGCTTAGGGCCCCACTCTCTTGGAGGCCCCCCAAAAAATTAAAGGAAGAAAAACTGGATGTACATTTCCAAAATATAAGATAAACTTCTTCTTAATTGTATCAACAATTACTTTGATAAAATACGTATTTTGTTATGTGTAAATGGATTTAGAAACCTATTAGGTCCATAAGTTACCATATAGCATATGTTCAACAACAACAACAAAACCAGCGACCATTTGTTGTTGTCAAAGGACAGCTGGGCATATAAAGGGCCCCATTACCTTCAGCAGCTTAGGGCCTCATCAAACCTAAATCCGGCCCTGAGGACATCACATAAAGCGGAATGCAGAACAGCTCTGTCAGAAAGCTTTTTCTGTATGTTTAGTCAGAATCTCCTTTCTTGTAATTTGTAGCCATTGGTTCAAGTCCTACGAGACTCAGCTAGATTGGTAAAGAAAAAGCGTTTTATAGGTGTTGTATGTACACTGGCTCCCTCGGCCAATAAAGCAAGAAGAGCGCCGCAACCCCTGAGTCGGTCACGACTGGACCTAATGGTCAGGGGTCCCTTTATCTTTATATGTGATATATAACACTGTGGCACCAGATGGAGTCCCGCCTTTCCCTACTGGATTTCACTGTATGAGTTTGCAACGCGTTTAATCGAATCACTTCTTTGACGTGTCTACATCCAGCCCTACCCTCTACAGCAGGAGAAAACAAGCTTGTTCTCTCTTCCATGTGACAGTCCTTGAGATATTTGAAGATGGCTATCCTGTCAGTCCCCTTTTTTCAAGGCTAAACACACCCAGCTCCTTCAACCGTTCCTCATAAGGCTTGGTTTTCCAATATTTGGTTTTCACAGAGAGATCATGATGAGGAGAGTTGACCTGCTGATTTTCTTTTTGTCACATGACTGAGATACACACAAGATTCCTGCAAGGGGGTAGGGAGAGAAGAGAAGGCAGCCCAGCTTATCTCCCACTCCTGCCTTAGAATCACAGAACTGTAGAGTTTGAAGGGACTCCAGTAGTCATCCAATCCTCTGCAAAACAGGAATCAATTTAGTTGTCTCATAAGCCCTCCAGGGAGAGATTGTGTCATTTCTTTATGTTCTGTACTGCATTCAGCATGCCAGTGACAGTAAGTGATGTGGCATTTTTGAAGGAAATTGGGGGCTCATTACATACAGCCATGCCTCCATGTTTCCTTCTCTGAAAATTTCTCTTGGTCAATATAAGGCAACTGTGACACCTGGTGGCTGGATACATGAATGCACTTGGAATATTTCCCCATGCTAGTAATGTACTATTTTAAAACCAGGAGATTGAAACATTAGACCAGATGCATTGCTCGTGCCTTTTCTTCAGAGGTAAGGAAAACACTGGATGGCTTTAAAGCAGTGGCCAAACTTGGCCCTCCAGCTGTTTTGGGACTACAACTCCCATCATCCCTAGCTAACAGGACCAGTGGTCAGGGATGATGGGAATTGTAGTCCCAGACCAGCTGGAGGGCCAAGTTTGGCTATCACATGCATTTTTCCTGTGGCATGAAGGGTCAGTGGCTTAGAACCTGCTTCTTTAGATGTTTGTGGAAGTAAATCGGGCATCTTTAACTAGATTCAGAAAGGGGGGGGTTATTTTGAAACAAATCCCTTGAACAGAAGAATGCAACATGTTCTGGAGGTCTGTTAACCTGAAACTGTTCTTAACCTGAAGACCACTCTAGCTAATGGGGCCTCCTGCTGCCGCCACGCCGCCAGAGCACGATTTCTGTGCTTATACGGAAGCAAAGTTCTTAACCCGAGGTACTATTTCTGGGTTAGCAGAGTCTGTAACCTGAAGCATATGTAACCTGAAGTGGACTTCCGGGTTAGCGCCATCAGCTAATGGCGGACTCCCTCCGATCTGGAGGGACTAGCTCCGCGGAAATTGGGTCTATACCGCTACGGCGAAGCGGGGACCCTACAGAAATCATAGGCGGGTGAAGCCTATGAACGTGGGACTCGGCGGGCACCTTTTGCGCCCCCCCAACTCGCAAGGAGACCCGTTTACGGGCTTCGGAGCGGAGCGGGGTGAGTGGCGCGGTGCTGTGAGTCAACTGCTTTTTTCGCGGAGCGAAGCCGCATAGCCGTTGCTGGAGAGCGCTGACTTTTTCTTGTGGACAATTGGATTTTAAACAACAACCCGTGAGTAGAACGGAAATTGGGCTTTTAAAGTATTTGTAAATTGGCATCGATCGGGGAAGGTCTAAACAGGAAGTCAACCTCCCCTTTCTGTAAATAAACTGAAGCAAAGAACTTGTTAACTAAGGTCATGGAAAGTCTTACATAAAGGATCTAAATTCCACTGATTGAAACTACTATCAATATCTTCTTAGAAGCAGGGAAGCCTGCAGGTGAGGGTTAAAATTTGGGAATTGAAGTGCCATTTCCCTAAAACCAGGAGAGGCCTGTGAGAGCCCGTTGACGGATAAATCTGACAGCTGTCAAGTTAGCTGTCAAGATACAAGCTAGCTATCAAGATATAAAAGAAGGACTTTGTTTCTACTATCTGTTCCAGTATTTAAAATAGAAGGAAGGAATTGTTACAATCTTACGTTTGGGACCTTTGGGACTGTGTTGGAAGGAGTGATAAAAGGAACTTGTGTCCCTCTAGAGGGAGCTCTGGGATATTGTCGTAAGGATGCAGCTGGGAAATTGCTTAAGATAAAAGTTTTGAGAAACTAGCTTTGACCTTGGACTTCTTAAGGATGGCGGTCGGGAAGGAAGTCGAGTGTCAACTGAATAGAACATTTTATTTGTTGGGAAAGCTGCAAGACCAGATAAATGTTATAGCTACCAATGCTGTAACCTTGGGAACAAAAGTGGGCATTAGTAAAGAAGTTGACAAGAATCCGGCACAAGAATCTTTTCCAACTGAACAAATTGAAGAATCTGAGGAGGAATCTGTTGTGATTAAAGTGATGCAAGGGGGAGCCGTAACCCTACAGAGGCAAATGGTGGACTATAACTTGAGGCCTTACAGGATGGCAACTATGAGGAGCCAGTTTTTGGAGATGGAAGCCCGGCTTGGTTTGGAAAATGAAAGATGGAGAGATCACCCTATGTGGAGATCAAATGACTTTTGGGACACAAATCTGAGTCAGGCGGAGGCTGGAGTTTTTAGGGCCTTTGGATTTGAAAGGAGGGTGAAACAAGATTTGGAATATTCTATAGGCCCTACTTCTAACTACGGAAGTCTGGCATACCTGCTAAGAAGGAATATGACTACCGACGGGTTGGAGCTTCACCGAGATCTGTTCTTTAACACCAAAGACTATCAAAAAGACCGGCAGAGGGGACATGAAAGAGATTTAAGAGCCTCGGACTTAAGATCTCCGGGTTGATGGTTTTCCGAGATCGATGGAACTATTGCTAGGGGCCGAAACCAGGGAGGGGAGTTGGTGAAAGAAAACTGGGAATTTAAAATGTATATATTATAATTTTTTTTTTTTTACTTATCTTTTAATGAGAGATGGGAAAATTGTGGAATGGAATTTTTCCTGACCCTAGGGGAAACGTTTTAAGAATAAGCTTAGATATATAAGTTTTAAGAGAAATAAGATTAAATAAAGTAAAAGTGGATGATTAATTGGTGAAAGAAAGAATGGGAAAAGACTACTTACAGAAATACCCCAAAATTAATGAATGTTAGAATGATGTTGGATAGAAATTAAGTGGTTTTTAGCTGCAATATTATAAGGGAATATGAAAAATGGATTATTAATAGGTAAAAAATTAATGTTACAATATTTTAAGATTAAAGACTAGGATAAACAAAGAGGGGAAGGATTTGCTGAACTAACAAACTGAATTGGAATACAAAAAAGGGAGGTGTGAGGAGGTCCGGGAAACAAGCAAATGAAAGATAAGTAATGGAAAGATTGAATTGTTTTTAACTACTTTTATTTTGTATTTTTTTTCTTTTTTCTTTTTTCATTTTGTAATATTTTCAAAATCTTAATAAATATCTTAAAAAAAAAAAAGATTTCTGTTCTCATCCTGAAGTGTTGCAGGAACCCCCCCCCCCAATCATTCAGTTTGTACAAACACGACACACACACACTCACACAAATCAGCCATACATCAGATCTGTACCGTTCCACTTTTATTTTACACCATGAAGGAAGGACAATCAAAGGGGGGCGACTTGACACAAGGCAGCCATAATCCCCCAAGCTTACCAACACGTCAGCAGCAAGCCCTACCCAGTTGGCATGCCAACCTTGATGGTCCTAGACAGAAGATCATTACACTCACAAAGGACCTGCATATGGAAGTGGATTCAGCACAGACTGAAACAAAGGACAGTGACCAGCCCTTCCCTCCAGGGGCAGGAAACAGTGAACTCCTCTTTGTCCTCAGGAATGTAATCATGGGGAGGGGGAAAGGAGGAACCGGACAGGTGACAAGACACTCAGGTTACCACCACAGCTCCTCCCTGAACCCCTCCTCTTTGTGATGTGTCAGTGATGTAGTCATGATGTGGTCAAGATGTAGTCTTAGGGGTGTAGCATGGGGGAGTAGTAGCTAATAAAAGTTGGGGTCTTCTTTTGTTCAGGGCTTCCATCTTGTTCCACCTTGTGGCAGGTGGGAGTCCTGTCACAACAGTCTTCAATAAAGACCAAGCCTACTGGCTGCTGTTTTGCTCTGGTATTCCTGGCTGGTGTCCTTGTTGTTGTTTTTTGTCCAAGGGAGCCCTCAGATTTCTCCGTTAACAGAAGCAAAGTTCTTAACCCGAGGTATAATTTCTGGGTTAGAAGAGTCTGTAACTTGAAGTGTCTGTAACCCGAGGTACCACTGTATACACATGCAGAACAGACAACATAAATGGCACATAATGTGCAATGTTCAAGAGAGAGCTCATTTTATTTGAAGTGTGGGAAGGCAAAAAACAGAAAGATTCAACAACAAGATTCAAGCAGGCCAAACAACACTGAGGAAATTGATGAGACACAATACATCTCTCTTGGGAACACCTGTTATTTCCTTCTGTCTAACAGCACAGTCTAGTTTCAGTTGTTATGTCCGACTCTCGGCTTTTCAGTGACATGCTACATTCTGACCCGAGGCTTGCTTGTGATCCCTAAAAGATAAGAAATGAGGGCTACTATATCCCATTTGGCTCACAAAATCTCTCAGCTGGGACAGTGATAAGGTGAATTTATAGGGCATTTTCCAGAGAAGGTGGGTGGAGAATTTCTGCCACTTTTACAGAACTCTCACAAAGGTTGTAAAAAGTTTGGGATGTGAGGGTACTCGCTATTAGACAGGTTGGCTGAATCATCACTGTCTCCCCACCCCATATAACTTGCTGCACTCAGCAGCTGGCTGCTATTGAGTTAAAAATCTCTTTTAAGGATGGTGAAAGAATGTTACTATGTGATGACTTAGTGCTGCTCCCTGCAACATTGTACAGGAAACAAAGGTGTTTGTTTCCTATTTGAAAGAGCAGGTGACTGCTGCTGAGTTCAGAGGCTTTCCGTTGTTAAAGAGGCGCTGCTTCTAGTCCCATCAGAGTGTGTGTGTGTGTGTGTGTGTGTGTGTGTGTGTGAGAGAGAGAGAGAGAGAGAGAGAGAGAGAGACTTACAGCAGGGCAGTCCAACCTTTCATACCAAGTGGGCTGCACAAGGCCAAAATTTGAGCCCTTCCTGAGCCCTCATGATGCCTTCTCAAAAATGGCTAATTGAGGTTCTAGGCTTTGGGGCAAGGCTCTGGCAAGGTCCTAGAGCCCTCCCACTTCTTCCCAAAGCTGGGAAAGAGCCAGTGTGGTGTAGTGGTTAAGAGCAGTGGACTCATAACCTGGTGAACCGGGTTCGCGTCTCCGCTCCTCCACATGCAGCTGCTGGGTGACCTCGGGCTAGTCACACTTCTCTGAAATCTTTCAGCCCCACTCACCTCACAGAGTGTTTGTTGTGGAGGAGGAAGGGAAAGGAGAACATGAGCCGCTTTGAGACACCTTCGGGTAGTGATAAAGCGGGGATATCAAATTATTAGGCTTTGGGAAGGTAAATGGAGGACTCTAGGATCCTGTCAGAGGCTCACACCTCCTTCCCAAAGCTCAGCACCTTGCTTACCTGGTTTTGGGAAGGCAGCACAAGGACTGTTGGGGTTGTGTATCAAATGTTGCCAAGGGCTGCCAAAAATCCTTGGTCGCATGTTGGACTCCCCTGACCTATAGGATGGTGTAAAGAAACTGGACAGTTTAAAAAGAACTAAAGATCTAGCACATAGGTGGTTTGGAATGTGAACAAGCCAGTCTGCAGATGGAATTAAGACAAACGTGTCCTTCCTTGCTCTTCAGTGTTTTGAATGTTTGTGCATTACACTGGGAGAAATGATTTGGCCAGAGGGTATCCATGCCAGACTTAAGCTGTTGGAAAGTTGTTTAAGTTAGGGACAGCCAGATGTGTTTAACCTGATTTGTTTTGCTTTGTCCCTGTTTTGCTCCTTTTGGGTTTGCTTGTGTGCTAAAATTTCTTCTTTGTTTTCAATGGGGTCCAGTTAAAATGCAGAGAGAAATTCAGACCACCATGAGTACATAGATGGTCTCTGTGCTTAATTTGGGGGGGGGGAGTATTAAAAACTGAACAATGGAGAATTCTGAGTGCGTTGGTTCCAGTTTGGTAAGTTAATTCTCAGCTCCAAAATCCAGGAAGAAATCTGGATGAGAGAAATTTTGCAAGCATCCCTAAGGGTAGGTTAAAATTATCTTTCTGTAACTTGGGTCTAAAGGGAGCAGCCTTAAAGGCCATATATCTCATTGTGATGATAGTGAAACAATGATGTTAACTATTTTTCAATCATGAAGCATAAATCTGCAATATGAGGTACAGGAAGCCCAGTGAAGCCACACTTTATGGTACCTGGATCAGGACTTTGTTTTATTCCAAAGATTAAAGTCTGGCAAAGGTAGGTGGAACGGATATAGAATGCTTGAAAGAAAACAGATTTGACCTTAAGATCTATGTTTCGCATGACAACGTTCTAAAAGAAATATTTGAAATCTTGGTGGATCATTGACATTCACAGACTTCCTCCTCTGTGGTCAGTAATAAGAATCTGGATTTGTAGGTTTTTTGGACCTCCCAGAAAAGAGCTTTCAGTAACTTACTGTATCTCCTGATCCTATTCTTTTCCAGATCACTCTAGCAAACCTATTGATGAAAACCACAGAGAAGTTAGTAGCCCTTCAATATGGTTCAAGCATTGCAGCAAAACAACGAACAGCTGTCTTTTCTGGTCTTGAGATATAACAACACTGTCACAGTCAGCCTTATCATGAAGGAAACATTTACTTACCAAGCCCCCAATTGCATTCTCTTAAGTGTGGCAACAAAACCCAGAGCAAGGAACAGCAACGCAGCCAGGGTGCCCGTCACAGCGAGGAGACTGGTAGCCACTGCAGGCAAAAATGAGAAAGAACAAAGTATTTCATATGTTCAGACCTACAAGCAGTCACGACTTCCAGCTTTTGTCATATCCTGAAATAATCTGCAGAGCTGGGGGTTCCATAGCTGAACCACAGGCAAGAATGTCCTTTAGTGACTGGATCTAGGAAAGCCCCTTGAAAGCGAAGAGGCCAAAGTACCAAACCCAATGGATACTTACTCACATTACTCGGAGGCGGCCCACTGTCAGTGCTCCCACCGAACCCTCTGCCGGAGCAGAAAGGAGGGGCCCATCCATAGGAACAATGGCAGTTTCTCTTGCTGTTGCACACCTGGAAAACAGAAAGGGTGTCAAGCAGCAACTGGCACATATAACCTACTTGGCTAATATTGTATTCAAACAAGAACTTCCACAAGGATGGCAAGTGCAGGTTTGCCACTGGCAAAGCCAGCAGATGTAAAAAAACAAAACAAAACAAAACACTGTTGTAAAAGGAATGTTCTTGTCAACGTGTTTTTTTTGCAAATGCTTCATAGGAAGTTGCTACGGGCTCCCCCTTGGTGTCCTGGGTTCCAGAATGCAACAAACACTCTACCAACAATACTCTGCGTGCAACAGTACTGAAAACAACTCCTTTGCTACCCTCATCACAACACAATAGGCTTTAAAATGGGCTCTAACCCAGGGGTCAGCAAACCTTTTTCAGCAGAGGGCCTGTCCACCGTCCCTCAGACTTTGTGGAGGGCCGGACAATATTTTGAAGACAAAAATGAACAAATTCCTATGCCCCACAAATAACCCAGAGATGCATTTTAAATAAAAGCACACATTCTACTCATGTAAAAACACACTGATTCCCGGACCATCCGTGGGCTGGATTGAGAGGGCAATTGGGCCAGATCCAGCCCCCGGGGCCTTAGTTTGCCTACCCATGCTCTAACCCATGGTCAGATGCCTTTCCCCACCATCACTCTAGCCACCTACCTAAGCACTTCACAGCAAGGAGCCCATGTTCTACACCACACCCAAGGGTGATCATGTCAAACACTGAGGTTATCGCCTCTTTCCACAGATCAGTTGTGGGTTCAACATTAACCTGAGCAGGTTGCAAGGGATGGCATATTTTCTTCTTTTTTTACTACTTACCCCTCTGTTGCTACATTTTGAAAAATCACAGTCATAATTCAAAACGGCCCGGTCAACACAAGATCTGTTCATGCATATCTGGAAAGGGATGTATGAAATGTTAATTTTATATAGTGCACTGGCAGCTGAAAAGCTTGGATTCTGACAGTTTGGAAGCCAAGACTCCTGGTGAATACTCCTAGGCTGTGCACAAGCAGACCTTGAAACAGGAGGTGTGGGTTCTCCTGCAGAGAGAGCTGTGCTTCCCCCACTCTTTCCTTCATTAATGACACATAAAGGCTCCAGATCCAGCATTGCCCCACAATCTTGTTTCAGGTGGCCTATCCACTTGTGTGGTTATTTTTTTAAAAAGCTCCTTGCATAGCCAACTGCTTGAACATTTGTTCTGTGCTTTATTTTTTATTATTGCTTTTAGACTGTTCATTTTCATATTTTGATAACTGCTCTGAGAAGCAGAGTGGAAGCTGCCTGATTGACCTAAGGACCAGCTAGTCAGCAATGTGTATCATCCTGCCCTAAGAAAGGAGAAAGGGGTCTGATTACTAAAATGAGTGGTAGCCAATCAGCACAGAAGAACAGGTTTTCCCTGACCTAAGTCTGGAAGAGAAGAATGTATACGTGCCTAAAAGGTGGGGACTTGCACTTCCATAGTGGGCTCACTGCTCAAATTGTGCATGCCGCTCTGTACACACTCTTAACTAAGCAGATAGTGCTGCTGCCAAAGGCCAGCCAAATGACTTGCAAGATCAGTCAATTAATAAATAAATAAAAACCAGGAATACATATTCAGAGAAGACTGTACTCCCTAGCAAAGCAAATTGCCACCCCATCCCAAGTTAGAATTTGAGAAATCAGAGCCAAGCAAGGGATCCAGACAAAGTTACCTTGTCAGTTCCACAGGTTGTTCCATCTCTCACTGCTCCAAGATCATAAACATGCTGGCCAATATGACGTTCAAAACCCCAGCAGAACATACCCTCCACTGGAGTCTGAACTACACTTTGTCCTGTTAACATTTTGGGAATTTTATTAACGTGAGTGCACTGGAGCCTTCCACAAAGAACATCTCTGAAAGAAAAGTGAGGAAGGAAAAATGTTTGGGCAGATCCATACCAGACATTTAAAGCACAATGAATGCACATTTAAAGTACGTGACTTCCCCAAAAGAATTAGGGGAACCTTTGTTTCCCCTTCACAGAGTTACAGTTCCCAGGACCCTTAATGACCGTTTGCAGAATTCTTTGGGGGGAGTCATGTGTTTTAAATGAGAATCATGTTGGAGCAGAATAAAAAATAAAGGTAGAAAAGAAGAATTCCTGGATGCTAAGATTCAAGTTTGAGGCAAATACTTTTGGTGAGAGAACCCCAGCAGAGATTCAAAATCACAAAATATGCAGCAAAGTAAACTGTGGAGATATCAGCTGTTAGAGCCAGACCTTTAAAAAATGCCCTTCCGAGTTCATTCCGAAGTTTCCCACTCCTAGCATAGAAAAAGACCACACATTTGTTAAGTTAAAAATGATTTACAGTACTTACAAACTCTTCCAAGGTCAGGTTCATGTGCTTTTCCATGAAGAAGTCAGAAAAGTTGCACAGGCAGTAAAACTTGGCATAGTTACTTGGTGAAAGTTCCTAAATTATTGGTATGGGAACTCAGCAGTGACTTGTGAGAGTCATGAGGTCTGACCCCCTCTCACACTGAGCTTCTCAGGTAGATTGGCAGAAAACAATATGTCTGATTACATAGTTCCTGCCAAGGCAAGCTAAGCTTGGCAGGCAGTTTACTCTACGGTCTTAACCCCTTCACGCATTAATTCAACATAAGCATGTTGGTTATGTGAGGCTTGTTATCCCACACACTGGATGTGTTTTAAAAGTATATCTCCTCCATTCTCAGTGTCAGCTGCTCTGGCCACCCAGGAATCCAGATGAGGTACAGTTTACAATAAGGAGGAGATAACAGCTCACTGAAGAGGCCGAAGGCTGTGAGGGAAAATACACATGCTTAAGGGCTCATCCACGATTAACTTTTCTCCACTTTTCAAAGCACAGGATTGGGCTTTCCTGGTCTGTGTCTGAACACTTTTTTTTTGACCCAGCGTTTCCCCTGTGAAAACCCGCTCTTTACCACTGACTTGTGCAAATGGTAATCTGTGGAAAACCTGAATTGCTGTCTGCTCCAATTCAGCATTAAAGAGCAGGTTTTCTTGGGGAAATTGGCAGGACAAAAAAAAGTGCTCGGACATGAACCAGGAAAGCGCAGGGGGAAAGGTCAGCATGGATGAGCCCCAAAATAACAGGAGAGGGACATACCAAAGGGACCATTTTCATAGTCCCACTGCTTTCAGAAACCTGGCAGTAGGGCTGCAAGAGGGCATTCTCCATGGCAGCAGCTGTGCTGTAACATTCCCTCTCCACACAGGTGCATCTGGCACCTTCATTATACAGTTTTTGCCATGCGCTGACGATGAGCATCTTCACCATGGCCTTTGACACTTGGGAGATACAGACACATACACATTTGGGCCCATCCTATTGTGACTGCAATTTGTCTTGAACTGTTTTGAATGTTATGGGAAATGGAATGAGTAATCTAAGAAAACAAGATACCTGCCCACAGGTATAACCTACTCTTCATAACATTTCCTGTATTTTAGTCCATCCTTGCCACAGTTGCCAGCCTGGTCGCCTCGCATATTCACTTTCTTGAAACAACTCAGTGGGGCCTGTTTTGCACCTGCAGAGAGGGAAAGGGGAAGGAGTGAAAAAATGAGAACTGGCAAGACTAAATTAAGGCGTATAAAAGAGGCTATCGAAGTGTTTAATTGCCACAATTGTTATTTGGAGCAAAAGTGTGTACGTTTAAGAGTTTTGAGGCTCCAGAATCTGTCCAAACAAAATTTCTGAGAACTGTTCTCAGCCTTCCAAGATGTGTGCCCAACAAACCTTCACAATTAGAGACTAGACAAATTTCTGTTGAGTCTCGGATCTGGATATATAAGTTAAATTTCTGGTTAAAACTTATTCATGCCTGAAGGCCTGGCCCCCTTGACCCTTACCAACCCTTACTGATACATTTCAGTAACAGTGGAAGATAGTGAATGAGAAAGTACTAAACCAAATGCCATTCTTGCTATGAGTTATTTAAAAGCAAAAAACAACAACAACAAAACATATGCCAATGCATCTGAGATTTCGAGTTGCAAAATTATATTAAGTGTAGCTTCTATCTTTCCAACTTTTAGAGGGTGGGCTCTCCTTGAGGATCATCTGATCAAGGTGACTATTGCAAAATTCAGGCTAAATTTAATGTGCTCCCATCTGCAGTACTGAAGGGTAGATACTACAATGTACCACACCATGAATGCTTATGCCCCTGTGAAGCAGAAAAAATAGAAATTGTAGGACATGTTTTATTGTACTGTTCTTTCTATCAGCTTTCAATGTTCATCTTAACTGTTATTAAAATGTTTACTGCAAACCTGCACATGAGTGTGTTACACATCACCTGGGCTTTCTGCACCTGGGGCCATATAATGAGCAGAAATCTGTGAATTTGGCTGAGCTAGAAATTCAGTATCCATAAAGTTGGCTCACTGAAATTCCTCACCAACACTTGTTAGCAAGCTGGACTGAAAATTCTCAAGAAATTATTCTATTGTAAGTTTTTGGAAAACAAAACTTTTTTGAGTTCCTCCCCAACTGTTGGAAGACTTTCAATTCTTCCCTTGAGAATATTCAGGCAACCCCACACCTCCACATTTCAGCATTTGTTAATAGGGTGGGGGATTCTGAGATAACTGTGGATTCAGTTTCAGTGTCATTTAATACTATTTTAATATTGTTGAAGGAATCAGTGGGCCTGGCTCCCTGCTCCTTCAAATCAACCTCTTAGCCCACCACTACTTTCAGCCACCAGCATTAACCAACAACAAAGTTGCATTAATCATTAAGTGGGCTGCAATTTCTCAATTGAGGCTTTTAAAAGAATGTTTCTGTTCCACCCACCCCCAAATGGTTGGAGAATGTCAACTCTCTCCTCATTATGCCAACAAACAGCATGGATAAATTTGGGAGAACCCTAGAGCCTGACATCCACTAAGGAAAGGCTAAAGAGAAAAATCACTCAGGACACACAACAAAGCAGAAGATTCCCGAAGCCCTCTTCCCAGATGGCACTCAAGGAATGAAGAAGATTTTTCCTTTTCTTCCCAAAGCGAAGGTTAATCTTGCCTTGGCCAAAAAGAGATGTGCAGTGTTTGTGGAGGTCAATGCAATTCCCCATAAAGCAGCTGTTACTGTTGCTACATGGCATCCCATCTTGTTTATGGACATCTGGCGGGCAAACAGGAGAGCTCCCATTGCAGTACTCCGGAAGGTCACACTCGGAAACAGCTTCTCTGCACACTGTTCCCTCTTCTAACAACTGTTGGAAACAACAATTGAAGCTTCTCATTCTGACTCTTCAACAGAGGCATGTCATGTTTTCCCTTCAGAAACTGAAATTACTTGTGGAGCTAAATTACACAAATTAAAGTCCCAATGTTGGCTGCATTGGCAATGACAAAGCAACTCAGGCAGGGGTGGGGGTGGGGGGATAAAATTATTTCCTTATCTGCCATTTCTCTGCTACAACACTGGTTTCCCCAAGCAGCTCCCTCAATGAGGTTTAAAACTCATGCATGTCCTTGGAAATGCATTGAAAATATTTGTGCCTGCAGTGTGTATGGGTGGACAACTTACAGAGGAATTTAAAGTATAGGAAATTGCAGGTGGGAAAAATGTCAAATGCTTCCTTCCCTGTCATAAATGTCATTTTCTATCTGCCTTGGTGAGTCTGAGTGCAAAGCACCATGTAAATGAACCCTCAGGTCTCATTTTTAGTCCTTTTCTTGAGCTCAGTGAAGCTCCTGCAATGCCTCAGTGCCTCAAATAGGCAAAACTGGACTCGCAATATTTCCCCTTTCACCGTAGAATAAAAACATACTCCCATGTCCCCTGGGGCTGAAGCACGAGGTTCTGTCAATAATGTACAGCTTCTGGTGGTTTGGCTGCTGTTGGAAGCCTATTCTGCAATCTGCTGGAAGCCCAAGTATCAAGGGGAACTATGCTGTGTGCACAATTGTGTGGGAAACCCAGCCAAAGACCATCTTATTAAATCAGACAAAGCTGAAGTGAATTCTTGCTTTAGCCATAAATTGCTCTTGGAGCTCATGGGGCACAGTGGATAGTGACATGGGAATTCAAGGCCTAACAGCCATTCATTCACTAGGTGGCCTGGGGCAATTCACCATTGCTTTCTACTCTTCAGGATCATTGTGTGGCCAAATAAGATGACAGCTAGGAAGTACTCTATGTATTCAAAGTACAGCCTAAATGTGGGGGCCAGGGGTTTGGGAGTTTTCTAAAAATGACTGAATTTTTTCCTTGAAAGGGATAAAATTTCAGACAAATGGGGGGCAATGACAGGGGAGCCAAGTCCTCTCATAAAATCTGTGGGTCAGGGGACCAAGTTGAGGAAAGGCAAAATTCTCCATCCTGGTATGGGGCACCTCACAGTGGCCACAGGTGAGAGCCACCATTTTCTTTCCCCCTCCCCTAATACCTGAGAATGACATTATATGGAGAAGCTGCTGCTAGACTGCTTGCTTGCTCACGACTAGCCTAACCATTCATCAGCCAGGATGGCTGGATGTTGACTATGGTAGGGTTACCAGACGTCCCCGGTTCCTGGGGACAGTCCCCAGATTTGCAAATCTGTCCTGGGACAAATTCCGTCCCTGGAATGTCCCCAGATTTGCAAATCTGTCCCTGGGAAATGTGGCAGCGGCAGCCTCAGCAGCCCGGAGCCAGCCTGGTAGCGCAGTTAGCTTTGGCTGGCTTCAGGAGCTGCTTACTGCCGCTGCCGTTGCCACAGGGGAACTGGGGACGTCCAGTGGTACAGATCTCCTGCCCCCTGCCCCCTTTGTTTTGACTGATCGGGGGAGGCTCGGGAGTTGCAGGTAGGCGGCCCACCATTGTCCAGGAGGGGCGCAGTTTCTCTGCCGGGCAAGGTGTAAAGCCCTTCTTTTGCACCCTGTGAAACATAAATGTGCAGAGTTTTTAAAAAACTGGGCAATGGCGCACCGCGCGCCTGTAACTCCTGAGCCTCCCCCAATCTCCTGCCCCCTTCCCCCTTTGTTTTGACTGATCGGGGGAGGCTCAGGAGTCGCGGGCGGCTGGCCATTGCCCAGGGCTTTGCACCTTTATACAATATGCATGTGTGCTTGGGCCAAGGGTCTTTTGCCTCACCATCCCCACTTCTGACTCCCTGTTGCTACTCAGCTTCAAAAAAGGGGGGGGGGAGGCGTCCCCGGATTCATTTTTAAAAATCTGGTAACCATAGACCATGGGTGTGTGTGGAAAGAGGCTGCAAGACTCTAGCCTCCTGATGATTGATGGCTTATATGCTTCAGAAAGAGTACAGTGGTACCTCGGGTACTTAATTCGTTTAAGAGGTCCGTTCTTAACCTGAAACTGTTCTTAACCTGAAGCACCACTTTAGCTAATGGGGCCTCCTGCTGCCGCCGCGCCGCTGGAGCACGATTTCTGTTCTCATCCTGAAGCAAAGTTCTTCACCTAAAGCACTATTTCTGGGTTAGTGGAGTCTGTAACCTGAAGCGTATGTAACCTGAAGCGTATGTAACCTGAGGTACCACTGTAATGGAAAAGAAAGACCTAAGAAGGTAGAGGCTGGCTCTTGAGGGGGCGGTATAGTAACTGGTGGTAAGCGGCAGGCTGCTTTATCTATCCTCTCCCCTCTTCTCAAGCAGGGCTTTTCTGGTCTGATGGGAGTACGGCGCATGGAGTGCAGCCAGCTCCTGAACAGGAACTGGGATACAGCACAAGATGTTAGCATAGCATTCCTCTGACAAGGCTGGCTGGGGGTGGGATGGGTGGGCATAAACACCTTCATCCCAAAGCCATAAGAACAATGCTATATGATGATGTAGCATTACTCTGACAGGGTAAAAAAATTTAGTGCTCCACTTTGGGCAGAAATATCTATTGGGCTGTCCATGGGTGGGTGCGGGAGAGGAGTTCAGGGCATCCCTAGTTATTACATTTATTTGAAATATGCTGTTTTTATATTACCTTACATCTCTCGCAGCAAAGTCCATAAAGACATTCAATGCCTGGTGATAATTTACAGTCCTTTTGGCAACAGCCATTCCTTTGGCATTCCTGCAAAAGAAGGAATTATCTCTCAATACTGTACTTTAAATGCAGTCTCTTAGACTAACTGTGCCATCGGGTGTATTCATTTATTACATTTGCCAAGCTGCCTTGACCACCAGATGTCCTCCATCCTCAGTCTAAACTTAAACTGCAGATTCCTTTTGAGGCAAGGGCTTGTCTTTTTTTTGCTTATATGAGGTCAAGAAACTGGGGATCGCGGCCAAAAGCAATTTTACCTGACTTCCCAGCAGGCGTACCATATTTTAATCAAGAGATTGTAAAATGTTTGGTCACTATTGCACTTGTAAGGAAAAGGAAAATGTTTTAAGGAATACAGATATTCCATATCTTAGCATTATAAAATTAATCTACAACTTACACTGGGCCCTTGGAATTCTGGAAAGTTGCTATCCATTAATGAACTGATGATCCCTGATTCACCCTCTTCCTATAAAAAAATGAAAGAGTTGTGGCATGGCTCATAGTATCTACTTTCAAATATCAGAGCAATACATATTGGTTTCCGAATGCTACATAGAAACAAGACACTGCAGATACCTTTCTTTAGCTAAACATTGAATGAAGGAGTAGACAGTGCAATTAAGCAACTTTAGGAAGGTCACAAAACCAGGAAGGATTACAGATACTTAAAAGGATCAGCCATAAACTAGAGGGCTGACATATCACAAGCGACACTACAAAATTCAAGACAGGCTATACTGAAGAATCTGTAAGAGCTAACAGATGAAGTGGGAGAAATAGTGGGGAGAGCATCCTGTGACTAAATGGGTCAGAGGTGCAATAAATGTATCATTTTATTTATTAAATTTGTATACCACCCTTCATCCATAGATCTCAGGGCAGTTCACAACATAAAAATACAATATAAAAAACACAAAATGTGTATATAATATAAAAGCAAAAATTAAACATGTACACACTGAACAATACCCTCCTCTCTACCCCTTCCTACAAACACATTTAAAAGGGGTATAAGATGTTAATCGGGACGCGGGTGGCGCTGTGGTCTAAACCACAGAGCCTAGGACTTGCCGATCAGAAGGTCAGCAATTCGAATCCCCATGACGGGGTGAGCTCCCATTGCTCGGTCCCTGCTCCTGCCCACCTAGCAGTTTGAAAGCACGTCAAAGTGCAAGTAGATACTGTATTTTTTGCTCTATAAGACTCACTTTTTCCCTCCTAAAAAGTAAGGGGAAATGTGTGTGTGTCTTATGGAGCAAATGCAGGCTGTGCAGCTATCACAGAAGCCAGAACAGCAAGAGGGATTGCTGCTTTCACTGCGCAGCGATCCCTCTTGCTGTTCTGGCTTCTGAGATTCAGAATATTTTTTTCTTGTTTTCCTCCTCCAAAAACTAGGTGCGTCTTGTGGTCTGGTGCGTCTTATAGAGCGAAAAATACGGTAAATAGGTACTGCTCTGGCGGGAAGGTAAACGGCGTTTCTGTGCGCTGCTCTGGTTTACCAGAAGCGGCTTAGTCATGCTGGCCACATGACCCGGAAGCTGTACGCCGGCTTCCTTGGCCAGTAAAGCGAGATGAGCGCTGCAACCGCAGAGTCGTCCATGACTGGACCTAATGGTCAGGGGTCTCTTTAAGATGTTAATCAGCCAAAGGCCTGGTTAAAGAGGAACATTTTTGCGTGGCGCCTAAAGGTGTATAATGAAGGCACCAGATGAACCTCCTTGGGGAGAGCATTCCCAAGCGGGGAGCCACTGCAGAAAAGGCCTGTTCTCATGTTGCTACCCTCCAGACCTCTCTCGGAGGCGGCACATGAAGAAGGGACTCAGAGGATGATCTCAGGGTTCGAGTCTGTTCATATGGGGAGAGGTAGTCCTTGTGGTATTGCGGTTCGTAGCTGTTTAAAGCTTTATAGGTCAAAACCAGCACTTTGAATTGGGGCTGGAAACTATTTGGCAGTCAGCGCAGTTGGGCTAGGATTAAGTACATTGTGGAGTACTGGGATATCCAAGTTCCAGTACTGATGACACCCCACCACAGCTGGAATGGCTCTCTTAACCAGGCTTGCCTGATAGCAACAGAGAGTCCCAACATCAACGTTGTCGTTTTAACGTTTTTTTCAAAAAGTCATTTACATTACATGAGTTACATAGTAGCAAACAGTCAATGAAGCATTATGTGTGACAAGAAATGAAATAATTTTAATAATATTTTACTAAAAACTTACAGACATAACTTTAGACCGTGGGTCATCAGCAAACAAATATTGGTTCTCTGATCTTTGCATCCACTGTCTAAAAAACTAAAAGGGAGTTACAAAACACTTTACTTCATTTACTCTTTTATACTGCTATCTGGCTTCTACCACTGAATCAATTTAAATAAATCTAAATATTGCAAAACCTCTGAAACATGTATTGGCTGACTAAATCACTTTCTTTTAAATATATTAACGTAACCTTTACAAGATACAGAAACTGTCATTCATTGTAAAGCCATTACTACAATTTTCATTAACTGCGTGAAGCAACTTCTGAGGCAAGTGCAATGCTTTTAATCTTCCAAGCAAGGCCATTAAAGGCAAGGCTAATATATTTAAAATAAAGTGATTTTTTTTCAGTCAATGCATGTCTCCTCTCCTGTGAAGATGTTGGCTGCTGATGTCAGTCCAGCTCTGTATCTGTTATGTTAACATTGGCAGAGTCACAAAGCAGCCCCAAAGTTCCTTCACAGCTTCCAGGGGTCTGTCCTGTAGAACTTCTTGGCAGTGGCTTAGTCACTCAATATGTTGACTGCTTTCTTACTGCTAAGGGAATTTTCATGTGTGAGGCTTTCATGACAAACAAATCCCATTATGAAACTTTGGAGACTGCTAGTATGGTCCACAGAACAGCTAATCTTTATGTGGAAACATGTAAATAAAGCAGAGCACTTCAATATCCAGCTGAGACAAAACAACTTTTTGTTATCGCATGCTTCAAAAGGCAGCCAAATTTCCTTGTACTTCCTTTCACACAGGGTAAAACTAAATGGCCTAGCTATGTGGTGTTAGCCAGCTGGCATTCCTCATCACACAACCAAAGACACTACTACTACTGGGAGACCCAAAGACATATAGCAAAATTTGATGTAGGAAACAGTGTAATTCTACTAATATTTTATCCACTCACCTGAGACTGTATTTTGGCTCCTGAAAGTTTTGTAATTGGCTGCAGAAATATATTCAGGATCCCTGCCTCTTCTAGTTCCTGATAAAAGATGAAAAATATACTGAATGCCACAGCTTAGCAGCTCTTTCATGGTTGTTGCCTTGAGAGATTTGCAAAACAGAACTATGTGGGGATGATGGGCGTCCTCTGTACCTGTGCTTTTCAAACCTTCTGCCTCTCAGGGACAGGGTGCCACTGCAATGAGTTTCTCTTTAAAGTCACCTTAAGTTGCATATGAATATACAGCCCCACACTCAAGAATCCTGGAAATTGTAGCTGTGTAAGGGGTAAACTGGGGATGTGGGTGGCGCTGTGGGTTAAACCACAGAGCCTAGGACTTGCCAATCAGACGGTCGGCAGTTCGAAGCCCCGGGACGGGGTGAGCTCTCATTGCTCGGTCCCTGCTCCTGCCAACCTAGCAGTTCAAAAGCACGTCAAAGTGCAAGTAGATAAATAGGTACCACTCCGGCGGGAAGGTAAACGGCGTTTCTGTACGCTGCTCTGGTTCGCCAGAAGCGGCTTAGTCATGCTGGCCACATGACCCGGAAGCTGTACACCGGCTCCCTCAGCCAATAAAGCGAGATGAGCGCTGCAACCCCAGAGTCGGCCACAACTGGACCTAATGGTCAGGGGTCCCTTTAACTTTACCTTTAAGGGGTAAACTACGGTTCCCAGAATTCTTGTGAGGGGTGCTTTAAAGGTATGGTGTGTACAGAATCTTAATGTATGTACTTAATAACACACACCAACTTACTTAATACCTCTTGTAGGAACATGTGGCGCAAGGGCAAGTGGAACCTGTGCTCTCTTACTTCTTGCTGTCTCCCTAATTATGAGTCACATCATTCCTTGCCCTATCAACCAAAGAAAGTGGGTGTAATCCAGTAATTGTTTTTCAGGGGGAAATGCCTTGACTCAATAAAACTGAAAATTGAGGCCCCTTTCTCAGTGATGTGGGAGCCATTTTTCTATGCAGCTGTGGAGTGTGGGTGGAGTATTCAAAGCCATTTTCTTGGCTCTTTCATACCTAACTGGCATGTTTTCATATAATAAATATACCCATTCTAAGAGAAAGACCTACGCTATTAGACCTGCCCATACTGCTGCAGGAGAAAGGGCTGTTATGTTTTTATAGTTATTTCTGTGTTTTGTGTTTTTAATGGATCTTTTAATACTATCTTAATTCTGTTAGTGTCCAATTACATTTTAATGACTTCTATGTTTTTCTCTTGTTCTATTTTATCTCTGTCACTGACTGGGGAAAAGGTGGGATATAAATAAATAAAATAACAACAACAATCCTTACCCAGAAGAGATTACACCATAGAAAAACAATTCTCACCCTACTCTGTTTTTCTCTTTGAGAAAAGGCCCTCAGACTAGCAGTTTTAGTGAAGTAATTTGGTCCTGAAAAGTAAATGATCTAGGCTGCATTCCTATATGCATTTCCTTGGGGAATAAGTCTCATTTAACATAACAGGACTTATATCTGAGTAGACAGTATAAGGCTATGCTTGTCTAAATTAGCTCTGTTAAGTTTGGTGGGACTTATTTAAGTATGATACAACCGTAGCATTGATTTGCTAAGAATACAGAACAGAAGATTTCGGAGCAGACTGAAAAGTTAGAATCAGTCATTGTCCTTCTGAGCAATTCCACAGCTCGGAAAATATATACATCCACACTTTATTACCGTATTTTTTGCTCTATAACACGCACCCGACCATAACACGCACGTAGTTTTTAGTGGAGGAAAATCCATAGGCATGCCACCCGTAGGCATTCCCTCCATAACACGCACAGACATTTCCCCTTACTTTTTAGGAGGAAAAAAGTGAGTGTTATGGTGCAAAAAATACAGTAATTCTTCTGTGCACATCTTTCAGAGCAGTCTTAATGCCTAACCTCATTGTGGCCGCAGTCACACTCTTCGTCATCCTCAATGACACCATTTCCACACTTCTTTTTGCTAATTACGTTGCTAGGAATGTCAATAAGACACTCTTTTCCTGGTTTTCTTATTGCATCATAATATACCTTCCTGCTGCAGTTACTCAGCCTTGAGCATGTTCTGTAACAGAGGAGAAATTATTATCCAGTATGATGAAATGATTTATTAAATATATTTACTATACTAATTTGTATCTTGCCTTTCAGGGTACAAATTCTTCTAAGGTGCTGTACAACAATAGATAGAAACAAAAATAAATAGTTAAATTATTTCAAATCCTCAAAATATTGAAACACACTAGGAGAAAATGTATAAAACCACTTATTCCTTAATAGAGGTTACAGCCAGATGCTTAGGCTAAGGAAGCCAGGAAATAACTGCGCCATGCTGCTACTCAGTGAGGAATACACTGTAAGCCCCTCTCACCTGCCATCTCATACCGGGTTCCTTTGTTCTAATGGCTCACTGCCCCACACAGGAGGCTAGTCTGACTTAATTAGCTGTTAACGTACGCTGATTCCAGATGATTTGGAAGTATCTAGTACACATCTTAATACACAAGGTCTAGCTATCACCTCACACAGGAGACTAGCTTAGCTTTTGACACCCCAAGCCTTAATTTAATTCTGTCATCTACTGGACCCAGGAATTTAGCGTGTCTACAACCCACAAACTCATAACAATACTTTGTAAACAAATATAGTTTTTTATTTCATCTAGCTGATAATTAAAGAGAATTCCTATCCTGCTTATCTTCTCCAGAGAAAATCCACAAAGGAGCTTAATGTGTGTGTACTGTAGAAGGTTCTTCCAGTGGGAAATCTACCAAGAAACTGTTCAGTTCTCCACAAAATTATTGAGAATGACATACTCTAGCATAGCTCCCATTTATTTCAAGAGGGATTACAAAATAACTTTCAGGTGGAACTGCCTACAAGTTACCTGAAGCACATAATTAGCAGCTTCGTCATCATGCTTGTTGATGGAAAGGGCAATTAAGATCAGGGTTGCAGTGGGGGAATGAACGTCGAGCACACAGCACTAATGGGATACTTAATGTAATCTGTAGTTTGACTCTAAGAAGGACAGCCAAGCAGAACGTCTTTAGTGGCAAGAAATGAACTGAGCAAAAATATAACATGACCAGCTTTTCTTTCCAAACCCAGACAAAAACACTAGAAAGAAAGAAAGAAATCAATTAAGGACTACTCACGGATTGCCGGTTGCTGCCATTATACACCTGCCAGGCTTGGTGCAATTACAGTCACAGCCCCGAGCTTTGTTTAAGGGTGTGTCATCATGGCCAAAGCCAAGAGAATGACCCAAGACATGCGCAATTGTTTCAGCATCAACTTTAGGATTTCTGTATGTCTGAGATACAATGAGGAAAAGGAAAGAAGGGACTGAGGTCATCAGAATATCAAACACTTTCAATAAATACACACTTCATTTACGTCCTTTGAGTATATTCCAACTGCTTTAAAAATATGCAAATTGGGTTCTACCCTACAACTATATTTTTTGGAAGATGATTTCAGCATTTGTGCTATTGAAAGGAAGTCGTTTTTCTCTCCCCCACCCCCCACGTTATGCCTTAATACATTTTGAGACCTGGATTTGTTTTGTCCTTGCCACTTTCCTCTTTTTCAACAGCCCACTCCGCCCCCAGTCCCAAGCTGAGTAGTTCACATGGAGGCCTGAAGAAGAACAGCTGATTCCTCCATTCCCTCAGCAGGATCAGCCATGAGACAGAAGACCAGAAGCCCCTGCTGACCTGCCTGTCCCATTCCCACCCCACTTCCTAGACCAACAACCACCAGATTTCATCCTCCTTCCCATCAGCAGCCCCTCAAGTTTGACAGAGGAGACACAAATCCAGTCATCCACCACCTCCTGTGAACCTTTCCAAACTACACAGCAATCCCCAATGATGCCAGCCGTAGTACCAGCACAGGCCTAACGCCAAGCTAAGGTCTGAGCCCTTTCCAAACACTCACCCACCCCACCCCAACCTATGCTCGAGGTCTGATGCCAGACATGGTCCCATCCTCCCGGTCAATCCCTCTTTTTCCTCTGCATCACCTTCACTCAGATGGAGCTGGTTGGGGCCTTTCCCATGGCACCGCAGCCTCATCACTTGATTAGAAGCCCCTGTGCTTGCCCACGCAGGCCACCTCCTAACTATGGCACTGGGCCAGGTTAGATCCAGCTGCTAATGATGGATGGACATTGAAGGCTGTAACCAAGTGCCTACTCAGCATAGGTCCAGTAAAGATGTTTTCAATGGTGTTGCACTCACCCTGAAGGATCAAGTGCACTGCTTGGGGGTAATTGTTTTTTGCCACTGGGTGTACAACTGGTCATATTGCCTTATACTAGCTTCAGCTGGTGGCCCAGCTGCAGCTCTGTCTGGATGGGAATAAACTCACTTCAATGATCTATGCCCAGCTAACCTCATGGCTGGATTACTGCTATGTGTTGTAGCCATAATGGCTCTCCTCTGCTTCCAGAGTCAGAGGCAGTATGCTTCTGAATAACAGTTGGAAACTGCAGGAGGGCAAGGTACCGCTGTACTCAGGTCCACTGGCCTGATCCAGCTGCCTATTCTTATATTGTTATGAGACATTTGTGTAAAGCAACTAATAAGTTAATTAAATAATAGTATTATATTTGTACAAGGGGTGAATGGTGATAGAACTATCACTCTTGCCTCAATCTACAGTCCACATTTGAGCCAAATCTCCTTTCCCTGGCAGCTGTGTTATTTGCATCTTTTTTAAAAAAAAAAACTGCAGCAAATTTCCTTTGGTCACAGGTAGCTTGGCCCCAATGGAATGCAATGGAATGGAAAGGAAGGTCTGGAGAACTAGTGGCTGAACCCCTATTTACCTTCCTCCCTCTGGCAGCCTACTAATTTTAGGAATATATTACAAAGACAAAAATAAAGATACTGATAATCACCTACATGAATAGCAGACACTGAAACTAGAGTGTAAAGACAAAACCGGTCCCCCCAAGAAAGTCCAGCAGGAAACCCTTTAGCCCTATAACATAACAGAAGATATTACTGTACATGTCATAGTTATAAAACACTGCAAAAGTTACAGAGTGGCTATCTTGCCCAAGTTTATGAGCAGAACATTTTAATCTTCCTTTAATCTACAGATTTAATGTAAGCTTCCTCCCTGTGTATACTTTGTAAGAAGCTGGAGTGTGAATGAACAATAATAATAATGAATAAATAAGCTAAGACCAAAGACAAGGGAAGGGTCCTTGCTAGGGTTCCTACTATAAACTGATACAGGTGCAAAGGAATTTTTTAAAAAAAAAAATTTCCCCCCATTACTTGTGTATTTGCCACTCTGGGCTTCTTTAGGATAATGATAATGATGATGATGATGATGATGAGATAATGTAATAATAATCTGGCCTTTTCATATTGTTGAAAAAGAAGGCAGACAATTTCAAGAAAGAAACTGTAGAGTCTTACGTAATTATTCCTGAATGATCAAAATGCACATTTGGCTGCAGCTCAGAGATGGCATATTGGTAAAATGCAACTAAAGTCACGCCAAGATTCTCAGTATCAATTGTTATGTAGTCTCTTTCTGTCCACAACTCCAATCCTACCAAATAAAGGTGAAGACCTAATGGCAAGTATATCTGAAAACAGAAAACACCAAATTGGGCAGTTATAATGCATAGTATTGTTGCCAAAGTGCCTCCATTTTGGCCCACCACCTCCAGTTTTCCCTTTCATAGTTGTTATGGTGTCAAGAGCCAACAGCAATGTTGCCTGGCGGTCAGGAACTGTGCCCATCCCTCGTGGCTATGATTAATCAAAGAAACCTAGAATTGTGGAGTTGAAAGGGACCTGTTGAGAAAGAACAACTCTTTTTTTAAAAAAATAAAAATATTTATTACTTTTCCAACAATTTAAACACTACAAAAACAATACAATACAATACAAAAACACTACATAACACTAACACACTAAACTAACAAAACAAAACAAAAACAGTTAAACACATCAAACAATTTCAATATCTTATCTTTCATTCACTTATTTCCACGACCTCCTCACACCTCCCTTTTTGTATTCCACTTCTGTTAATTGTTTCAGCAATTCCTTTCCATCTTCCTCTGTTTTCTATCCTATAATTATCTTAACACATTCTAACCTTATTTTTCCCTTTAATTCTCTATTAATCTATTTATACTTAATTCCTTATAACATTTCTACTAAAGCCATATAACTTCATTCCAACATTTTTTCTAACATTCATTAATTTTACAGTATTTCTGTAAATAGTCTTTAAACTTTTTCCAGTCTTCTTCCACCGACTCTTCTCCCTGGTCTCGGATTCTGCCAGTCATTTCCGCCAGTTCCATAGAGTCCATCAACTTCATCTGCCATTCTTCCCGGGTGGGTAAATCTTGTGTCTTCCAATACTTCGCGATGAGTATTGCTGCTGCTGTTGTTGCATACATAAAAAAAGTTCTATCCTTCTTTGGCACCAATTGGCCGACCATGCCCAGGAGAAAGGCCTCTGGTTTCTTCAGGAAGGTATATTTGAATACCTTTTTCATTTCGTTATAAATCATCTCCCAGAATGTCTTAATCCTTGGGCATGTCCACCAAAGGTGAAAGAATGTACCTTCAGTCTCATTACATTTCCAACATTTATTGTCGGGCAAATGGTAAATTTTTGCAAGCTTGACTGGTGTCATGTACCACCTATAAATCATTTTCATTAAATTTTCTCTTAGGGCATTACATGCCGTGAATTTCATACCTGTGGTCCATAACGGTTCCCAGTCGGCCATCATTATGTTATGTCCAACATCTTGTGCCCATTTAATCATAGCTGATTTCAACATTTCATCCTGAGTGTTCCATTTCAACAGCAAGTTATACATTCTTGACAAATTCTTAATTTTTGGTTCTAACAATTCTGTTTCCAATTTTGATTTTTCCACCTGGAAACCAACTTTTTTGGCCAAATTGTATGCCTCCATTATTTGATAATAATGGAGCCAATCTCGCACTTTATTTTTCAATTTTTCAAAGCTCTGCAATTTTATTCTGTCTCCATCTTGATCCAGAATTTCCCAATATTTCGGCCATTTGGCCTCCATATTGAGTTTTTTCTGTGCCTTCGCTTCCATTGGTGAAACCATCTTGGGCTTTTCTTTTCTAACAAATCCTTATATCTTATCCAAACATTAAACAATGCTTTTCTAACAATATGATTTTTAAACGCTTTATGTGCTTTTACCTTATCGTACCACAAATATGCATGCCAGCCAAATACATTATTGAAACCTTCTAAATCCAACACATCAGTGTTTTCAAGAAGCAGCCATTCTCTCAGCCAGCAAAAAGCAGCTGATTCATAATAAAGTTTAAGGTCTGGCAGGGCAAATCCACCTCTTTCTTTGGCATCAGTTAATATCTTAAATTTTATTCGAGGCTTCTTGCCCTGCCAAACAAATCTGGAAATATCTTTCTGCCACTTCTCGAAACAATCCATCTTATCCAGAATTTGCAATGTTTGAAACTGTGCTGGTCCTGGGGGGAAGGTTACCGTTGGCGTAGTCAAAGTTCGGTCCTGGGTCACTGGTCTGGAAACAGTTCACAAGGAGCGAGGTGAGGTCCGAAGCAGGAAGCCGGGCGGGGACAGGAACACTGGGGGAACAGGACTGGATGCTGGCCGAAACAGCTCATCAACAACGACATTGCTCCCGCAACCTGGGACCGGGCTGACTGGCCTTTATCTTCTCTGAGGCCAGGGGCCGTCCCGGCCCCCAGGAGACCCGCCTCTCCTGGCCTTAAGGCGAGCACTCCTCCTGGGAGAAACCAGTTCCCTTCGCCTCTCTGCCCTGAGCCTCTGCAGTTCAGGAGAGGCTGAAGGGTTACTGGGCCCAGGGGGAGACTCACCTGTAGGCACTGAGTCCTCAACCACCTCTGGAGCCAGAATGGATTCACCTGGTGCCTGCTCCTGAGGATCCGGCACAGGTGTAGGTGCCTCAGAATCAAGGCCCTGCCCCAGTTCAGCCAGCCCTGGAGGCGGGGACTCCTGTGCAGGCTGGGATTCCTCCGGTTCAGCCTCTGAATCGGAATCCCAGGCCATCACAGAAACAAAAACAACATCCTTGGCAACACATTCATTTTTATCACAGCAATTCGGCCTAACAATGATAGCTTCAAATTTGTCCATATTTCTAAATCCTTTTTCACTTCAATCCAACATTTTTCATAATTATCCTTAAATAAATTCACATTTTTGGCAGTCATGTTAACCCCTAAATATTTCACTTTCTTAACCAATGTTAGTCCTGTCTCCTCCTGAAACTTCTCTCTCTCATTCACAGTTAAGTTTTTCTCTAAAACCTTAGTTTTCATCTTGTTCAACTTAAAACCTGCTACCTGTCCAAATTCTTGAATCAGTTCCAATACCCTTTTGGTACTAGATTCTGGCTCCTGTAAAGTCAATACTAAGTCATCAGCAAATGCTTTCAATTTGTACTGTTTAGCTCCCACTTGTATACCTTTAACCTCTTGGTCCTTTCTAATCATATTTAACAAAACCTCAAGGACCGATATAAAGAGCAATGGAGAAATTGGGCAGCCTTGTCGTGTCCCTTTCTCAATCTTAAACTCTTCTGTCACTACATTGTTCACAATTAATTTTGCCTTTTGTTCTGAATAAATTGCACCTATACCATTTTCAAAACCTTGACCTACCCCCATTCCCTGTAGATTCTTCTTCATAAAACTCCAAGAAATGTTGTCAAAGGCTTTCTCTGCATCCACAAATATCAAGACTGCCTTAGTATTAATATTCACTTGTAGTTTTTCTAGAGTAGTACGTATAGTTCTCATGTTGTCAGACAAATGTCTGCCCGGAGGAAGCCCGCTTGGTCTTTATGAATTTCTTCTACTAACACCTTTTTAATCTTTTAGCCAAAATATCTGCAAAAATTTTGTAATCCACATTAAGCAGCGATATAGGGCGGTAGTTCTTGAGCTGTGTCTTTTCAGTCTCTGTTTTCGGTATAAGTGTAATGTAAGCTTCCTTCCACGACTCTGGTGCCTTTCTCCCTTCCAATATTTCATTGCAGACTTCCTTCAATGGTTGTATTAACCATTCTTTCAAAGATCTGTAATATCTTGAAGTCAAACCATCTGGTCCTGGAGATTCACCTAATTGCATGTTCTGGATGGCCCCTTCCACCTCCTGATCCGTTATTTTGTAATTCAACATTAGCTGTTTTTCCTGAGAGATTTTGTGTAGTCCATTTATTTTCAAAAATCGATCAATGTCCATTTCTTTCTGCTTCTCCTGTGTATAAAGTTGTTTGAAATACCTCTGAAAACACTTCCTGATCTCCACTGGATTCTGTATATTCTTTCCTTCCACTTCCAAATTCGTAATAGTATTGAGTTTTTGTCTTTTTTTCATTTGCCAGGCCAACAATTTTCCACACTTATTTGCCGATTCAAATGTCTTTTGCCTCATCTGTTTAATCTTCCATTCTATTTCCTGATTCATCAGCTTCAGTATATTGTACTTGGTATAACTTTATCTCTTTCAGGATCTCCTGTGACTTTGGTTTTGCTCTCAATTTCTTCTCTCCTTCCTTTATTTTCCCCAGGATTTTATCCTTTTTTTCATTCTGAGTTCTCTTCTTAATTGCATTCTGTTGTATTAGGAATCCTCTCATAACCCAAATTAATTGTATTAGGAATCCTCTCATAACCCAAATTACTCTTTTTTCCACTGTAGTATTCATGTTTATCTCGAAATAATCTCTTAGAGTTTTTTTGGCCTTCTTGGTCACCCTCCATCTAAAGGAACCAATTGGCGTCAATTTCATTTCCATCTTCACAGCATTATGGTCGGAACAAGTTTTGGGGCAAATCTCCACTTTACTGATCTTCAGAGCCAATCTCCTAGTTACCCAGATTTGGTCAATTCTTGTCCATGTCATTTTAGCCTCAGAGAAGAAAGTTCCCTCTCTTCCCAGAGGGTTCTTCATTCTCCAAATGTCAACTAAGTCCATATTTTCAGTCATGTCAAAAAAGGTTTTTGGTAGTCTACCATCTTTGGTGACTACCTGTCTCTGTGCCTTGTCCATATTTGTAGACACCACTCCATTCATATCTCCCATCAAGATCATATTATAGTCCATATAATCCATCAGAGTCTCGTGTAGCTTCTTAAAGAACTCCGATTTTCCTTCATTTGGTGCATAAATACCTACAATCAGAAATTTCTCTCCTTGTGATTGAATTTCAATTGCAACAAATCTTCCTTGGTCATCTTTGAATATGAATTTCGGTGATAGGCTCTCCTTTGCATAAAGGACCACTCCTCTTTTTTTAACTTTATCTGATGAGATAAATTCTTGGCCCAGTCTTTTATTACTCAATATCTTCCTGTGTAGCCTTATCACATGTGTTTCTTGTAAACAAATCAAGTCCAAATGTTCTTTTTTCAATAAATGAAAGACTCTCCGCCTTTTTTCTGGGGAATTTAATCCATTCACATTCCAGCTCAAAACCTGCAACGCCATCATGTAATTACACTGATATTCCTCCAACTGCACCCAATGCTTGCTCTTCTTCTGTTGGTGGTAGTGGTGACACGTTCACTGGGAGATCCAATCCAAAGGATAATGCTGATATATCCAATATTCCCTGTTTGGTGATCTTTCGATGCTTTTTGCTCTAGTCCTCTATCTGATGATCTTCTTTCCGATGCTCCTGGCTCTTTTCCAAGTCCCTTCTGCAGATCTTCTTCGTATTTATGCAAAAAACTTTATCTTCTACTGATCTTATTTTTATTTTCCTTCCTTTGAAACTGAAGGATAGACCTTGGGGGAATTCCCACCTAAAGATGATTTTGTTCCTTCTCAGCAGGGCAACAATATCTCCGTAGTTAGGCCTAAGATCCAAAAGATATTTCGGGACGTCTTTAAAAATTTCCACTCTTGACTGTTGTACTTCTAGGTTCTTCTGGTAATGCCAACCCAAGATTCTATCTCTCTCTTCTTTAGTTCGAAGGGTGATCAAGCAGTCTCTTATTCTATTCTTCTCTTTTTCCCTCCTCTTCCAAGTCTGAAGGCCCTCACAATTCTAAACTCTTCTTGACCCAAGTCCAAGTCCCAAAAGTCTGCAAATTCCTGTGTGAGAAAGTCTGTCAAACTTTCCTTCTCCAATTCAGGTAGGGCTCTGATCCTCAGATTCGTCTGTTTTTCTTTAAGTTCAATCATAGCAAGCGTCAACTTATGTTCATCAAGTTGCCTCTGTAGGGCTGGGACTCTCGCTCTCTCCAGTTGTGTTACTTTACATTCAGCAGCAACGGCTTTCTCCCTGGCTTCCTCCGCAGTCTGCCATATCAAAGTAGATTCCTGTATCAATTTCTGGATGGTTTCTGTATTGGTATTCACCTTTTGTCCCAGATTATTTATACTTTCTGTATTTAGGTCGATTTTAATGGTTGCAACATCCACTTTCGCATTTGTCGCATCTGCTTTCTTGTTAAGCTGTTCCAGTGAATCATTTATCTTATTTAATGCAACCGCTAAGGCCTCTTCTGTCGACATTCCTCTTGGTTTCGAATATACTGGTACAGAAGCAGCAGAAGAAGAAGCAGGGGGGCCTGATGTTGAGCCTCTCCTGGGTTGGTGCCAAGTCCTCCCAGACCTTAATGTTTTTTCAGCAGTTGACTGGTCTGTTTTTTCCTTCCCATTTGCCATAACACTTAAAAGATTCAAGGTCAGTCCCAGAGTCTCACAGTTTTTTATCTTGCAGCTGGAAATTTCCCCAACCCAGCTCTTATAAAGCAACCAGTTTCAAAGGCTTCCACTAGGGGGAAACAGTTTCTATTTATATTAGTCAGTAATGTCCTCTTTTAAACACAGTTCAAACAATCCAAAGTTAGTTTCAGTTTTTCAGTTACTTTTACTCCTTTTTAGAAGCAACCGGAGACAGTAGAAACAATGTATTTCTCTTATTTAGCTAGCTGTCAATGAACGTTCTAAACGCTGTCAATGAACATTCCAAAAGACGTCAGTCCTGCTAGCAGCCCGTTTCCAGGGTCAGAGCAGCGGTATTTTAGCTCTCTTCGCTCTCTCCTGCAGGCATACTCAGTCCACAACTCCCCCCCCTCTTCTCCTGCCTCCAAGGGGGGGTTTAATGTTCTTTACCGATTGAAATTTAGTCTTTTACAAAAGGCTTTCCAAGGCTTCAGCTTGCAGCCTCATTGCTTCAGTCTATTTACAAAAGGGGAAGGCGGACTTCCTGTATTGAGCCTCCCCGTTACAATACCAAATTAAACGTTTAGAAATCCAATTCTCCCACTTCAGCTCTACTCACGTGTAATTACTTTAAAGTCAAATTGTCCACAGGAAAAAGTCAGCGCTCTCCGGCAACAGCTATGCGTCTTCGCTCCGTGGAAGAAGCAGATGATTCAAAGCACCGCGCCGCTCACCCCACGTCGCTCCGGACCCCCGAAACTGGGTTTCCCCGCGAGTAGGGGAGGCGCAAAGGGTGCCCGCCGAATCCCACGTTCACAGGCTTCTTCCGCCTGTGATTTTTTGCGGGTCTCCACCTTCGCCATGGTGGCCAGACCCAAATTCCCACGGGGCAAATTCCTCCCGATCAGAGGAATTCCGCCATTACCGGAGGCACCAACCCGGAAGAAAGAACAACTCTTACTCAAGTTACAAGAAAGGAGATTCCCACTAAACATCAGGAAGAACTTTCTGACAGTAAGAGTAGCTTGACAGTGGAACGGACTCCCTCAGGAGGTGGTGGACTCTCCTTCATTGGAGATTTTTTAAGCAGAGGTTGGATCTCCATCTGCCAGTGCATCCCCAACTACACTCAGTTTTCTCTTGCCTCTGTATAATGAAACTGAAGAGAACATTATCACTTCCTCCCAAGGTTCCCAGGACTTCCACTTTGTCCAGCAGTTCCTTCTTGTTGGTGAGGACCAGGTCCATGAGAGATTATCCCCTTGTTGCTTATCCACCTTCTGGGAAAGGAAATTGTAAGCAAGGCAATGGAGGAATTTGTTGGACCTTACATTCTTGGCAAAGTCTGAGTTCCAACAGATATTGGGGTACTTGAAGTCTCCCATGACTGCTATCTCTCTCCTTTTTGAATGTTTGGTAATCTGCTCTAGGAAGGCATCATCTAAGTTTTAGCCTGGCTTGAATTCTACAGCAGACACCCACAGTAACACCACGATTTCCCTCTCCTACAGTTTTTACCTATGCACTCTCAACCTGCCTTCCATGCAGGTTCCAAGTCATGAATTGCTTCTCAAGTCTACACCTTTACATATAATGCTACTCTTCTTCCCTTCATGTTTGGTATATTCCTTTTGAATAAGTTAAACCCCTCAATTTCTACATCGATACAAATGTCACAGCACTTGGATGCTGCAGAACAATGTCTTGTTTGCATTCGGGTGTCAAGGAAATGGGACATTAGGGCTTGAACTAAATGACCCTTTGGGTCCCTTCCAACTCTACATTTCTATGAAGGCACCACTCTGCCAGTTTTCAATGAAGTATACCAAAACCTTATACAGTGGTGCCCCGCAAGACGAATGCCTCGCAAGACGAAAAACTCGCTAGACGAAAGAGTTTTCCGTTTTTTGAGTCGTTCCGCAAGACGAATTTCCCTATGGGCTTGCTTCGCAAGACGAAACGTCTTGCGAGTTCTTGCGAGTTTGTTTCCTTTTTCTTAAAGCCACTAAGCCGCTAAGCCGTTAATAGCCGCTAAGCCGCTAAGCCGCTAATAGCCGCTAAGCCGCTAATAGCCGTGCTTCACAAGACGAGAAAACCGCAAGACGAAGAGACTCGCGGAACAGATTAATTTCGTCTTGCGAGGCACCACTGTATAACAATTTATACTTTATAACAATTTTCAGAAATCATCCCTGGCACTTTCAACCCATTTGAATCCAGTGGACCTTCTTTTACAGCAGACAATTTTAATATACTTTTGTTTTCCTAAAGTTATAATTGTTTTTGGACTCCTGTATTTGATGTATTATTAAGAGCAATCTGCTTGATTGACTCTTGGAACTTCTAGCTGGGTGTACACCCTGCAGTCATGCCCACTGAAAATCCTACTGTGGTTTGGGGTTGCCTGCTCTCCCAGTCATGGGCATAGCTGGGGGGGCAGAGGGGGGCAGCTGACCCCCTATATCAAGTAAAACAATAAAAATATTTAACTAACTGACCAATCACATTGGTTCTGCCGCCCCCAACAAAGTCCCCCCCCCCAACAAAAATCCTGGCTACACCTATGCTCCCAGTCCTTCTGCTTCTGGTTGCCCTACTAAAGCCTGAGAACAGCTGGTCCAATTTTTGCATGTAATATGCTGCCAAGCATACTTACCGTACTTCATTTGTTTCAACAGATTAGGGACAGGTAACAATCCCCCTTATCTCTTTGTCTCTCTCCCCTCACATTTCCTTCCTCGCTTTCCAATTCATTCTCTCTCTCTGTCTGTCTCATTCACCCCCACTCTTTCAAAGATAGCTTTCCCAATTTATATTTCTAACAATGGTTCAGAGATTGATGCTTTGTAGTATTTTCCCCTTGTCTTCAAATTCCCTTTTGGGGTTAATCTCTGTAGTCTTGTGTCTTTTTTTTCTTTTTCTTTGTTAAACCCTTCTCTTCCAAAAAACCTGATAGTGGTACTCTAAATCACCCTAATCCCTCAATAATTTGAATGCTGATGCTGTTCTGTTTTTATAATGCTGTTGCTTTTTAAGTGTTTGTTTGCAGTATATTTTATGCTATTTTACTGCTATAAATTCTTTATTGCATTATGTTCTATTACATTATTTGTTGTGGTCTTATTTGTAAGCTACCTTAACAGCCCTTCACGACTGAAAATTCATGGTATGAAATAAAGTGAGAAATAATAAATAGTAAGTGCCCTACCTTCACAGGCTGTCTCTCCAAGTGCCTCCCACTTGCACAAATGGAAGGACAAAACATTACGCTTAGACTACTGGGGCACAATAATTCAAATAGGTCATTTTTGACTGAATCTCTCAAGAAAAGGAAATCACAAACAAAGGGATTAGAGACTCCCTGGTCAGTTATCATTCCGTTTCACATCTTTCTTTTGGAGAAAACAATGTAGTTAAAAGAGGTTAGCTCCAGTTTAAGGCACACCTGAATTTTCTAATCTTCTGGAAGTGTACCTGTTTGTTATTTAGACTGGATATGGCCTGAGGCTACACTTACTATATGCAAAGAAAAACATTATTTAAAAATACTATAAAATATAAACAATAAGTTTAAGGATAAGAAATAATTCTAGGGCACCACTAAATTGATTTTAAAAAACACAAGAATATTTGCAGGGTCAGGGCCAAACAACCATTAAGAACTCTACCTGATGAACTAGATTTCTAACTACAAATCCAGAAGAAAATCACATTTCTGTGTGTAATGAGACGTGAATTAGAAAGATCCTAAGACCCATCTTTGCTGCCAGGGGCGTAGCTAGCTGCCCCGGCACCCGGAGCGGCATTGGCGGGGCAAGGTGCGCACGGAAGTGCTGCGGCGAGTCCGCCTGGCGGACGCAAGCCCCACACTGCTGTTTCAGGCAGTGTGGGGCCCTGAGCCACCGCATCACTCCCAGAAGAGGCGTGTGGCTTTGGCACGCTGCAGGTGGTAAGTGCTGCCCCCCACAGTGTGCCATTTATTCACGCCCTCAGGGATGACACCCGGGGCGGACCACACACCCCTGTTTGCTGCTACCATTTGTGTCTGGGTAGACACACTACTCCCCAATCAAAGCTAAACCAAAATATTGGATATCTGATTTGTTTTCTATTGGGGCAGCAATCAGTTCTCCATGAGATTCACAGAAAAGGTCTTATAAAATATACTCACGCTGTGAACATCAGAGATCATACGAAGCATTATCAACACTAACTGAGTTTCATTGCGATGATTGAGAATAAACTAAAGGAGAGAAAAGGAAAGACAAAATGTTTAGCTATGACTTGGGTTCTTCAGATGCATTCAAATTCCCTCCTCATCATTAATACCCCTTTGGATAATTTTCATTAAAATATCGTATGTTGAGAGTTTCATAAACCTAAGATTCTAAATGAATACAAATACTCCATACTATTAGAAACTACAATCGATATAAAAAAATGTGTGCGATATATGCATCTTTCAACAACTATTGAAATTAGTAATGTAATTCCCCCCCCAATAAACTATCCTGATTATTCCATTTAGCTAGCCAAGGATAACTATACACATCCTAATAACTCAAACTCTCAATATGTTTTAACTGGAAGTCTGTAGTCCTGAAAACAAACTTGAAAGAGATCTGTAATATTTATGTTGATTGGTGTGGGTGTGGGTGTATGTGTCAGTGTATGTATATGAACACCACAACACACACGTAACTAGCTGTAAAGTAACATAAACATGATATGTAATAAAACTGTAATTTTAATCGTCAAATTTTTAATCAAAAAGCACAGTTCCTGATGGCAACATATCATATCTTCTATATGTATTGGTATCGTACAGTCCAAGGATTGTCAAGTCCAAAGATTACAATGCAGTTCCTGTTGCCAATGCCATTTCATAATGATATCTTCCTTCTGTATCATCCTACGTCTTAAGAGTGTTACAAGCAAAACTACCTTCTGCATCGTCCTATGTCTGAAAGTGTGACAAAAAGAACTGATTGGTAACAAAAGGCAGCTAATGGTAGAATAGTTCTCAGGACACGCCCTTGTTTCGCCCATCAGGCTTCTTCAGCGACAAAGTTTCCAGGAAATTCCTCAGTGGGTTTTTTCCAGCCGAAAGTAGAAAGTGGTCCTCAGGAACGCAGAAGTTGCCGGTCAAAGATGCTCAATGTCAATACAGTGGTGCCTCACAAGACGAAATTAATCCGTTTCGCGAGTCTCTTCGTCTTGCGGTTTTTTCGTCTTGCGAAGCACGGCTATTAACGGCTTAGCGGCTATTAACGGCTTAGCGGCTTAGTGGCTTTAAGAAAAAGGAAACAAACTCGCAAGAACTCGCAAGACGTTTCGTCTTGCGAAGCAAGCCCATAGGGAAATTCGTCTGGCGGAACGACTCAAAAAACGGAAAACTCTTTCGTCTAGCGAGTTTTTCGTCTTGCGAGGCATTTGTCTTGCGGGGCACCACTGTAACCATTAAAGCTATGCTTATATAGAAGCAACCCCTAAAACCCACTGAGGAATTTCCTGGAAACCTTGTCCCTGAAGAAGCCCAATGGGCGAAACAAGGGTGTATCCTGACAACTATCCTACTAATAGCTGCCGTTTGTTACTAATCAGTTCCGTTTGTCACACTTTCAGATATAGGATGATGCAGAAGGAAGATATCAGAATGAAATGGCGTACCTCGGGATAAGAACTTAATTCGTTCCAGAAGTCTGTTCTTAACCTGAAGCTGTTCTTAACCTGAGATACCACTTTAGCTAATGGGGCCTCCCGCTGCTGCTGCGCCGCCACCACACAATTTCTGTTCTCATCCTGAAGCAAAGTTCTTAACCCGACGTACTATTTCTGGGTTAGCGGAGTCTGTAACCTAAAGCGGATGTAACCTGAAGCGTCTGTAACCCGAGGTACCACTGTACATATAGAAGATATGATATGTTGCCATCAGGAACTGTGCTTTTGATATGATGATTAAAATTACAGTTTTATTACATATCATGTTTATGGTACTTTACAGCTAGTTACGTGTGTGTTGTGGTGTTCAAAAGATGGTTCACATAATGGCAATAGTGGTGTTTGTTGACTTAGTGTATGTATATGTGCATGTGTATTACTATACATATGTTACTTGTAAGCCACTTTGGCATGATTTATATCTTGAATGGCAGGATATAAACAATGGTAATAAGCCTACCATATATTTTAAGGTGGAAAGGTCTGCTTGATATGCATTTGAACACCTCTTAATATATAACAAAATTTTGCATTAGGAGGTTTTTGTCTATGTTTAGATACAATTGGACAACATTTTGACTCAAGACAGTGGACATCAAACCTTTAAAAAGTGCATTGATTTTTTGGTTTCAGAATTCCTGAGCAACACCAAATATGAGGCTGCTAGTAAATAAATATGGCAACATTTACTATGGCAACATTTACTGTGCTTTTGTCAACAACAGCATAATATTCTAGATATCTGACAGGCGGGTCATATTCAAGATCATCTAGCTGAAACAAAATATACATAAAACAAAGTTTCATTGCAGAAATGTACCATGAATATTCCTTTAGAAGAAACCTAAACAGGCCTATCACCTAAAATTAACCTTACAATAAACAACTATACCCATTATTCAGCTAGAAGCTCTTACCCCAATAATTCTATTTCATCCATCCTTTACCCTAGTTAAAATTATTGGTTTAGTTATTTATAACCTGATAAGAGAAGTTATCTAGGTGGCTTACACAGAACCAAACTTAAGTATCACCCTTACAATAAAAATACAATTGTATACAACAACAAAATCGCAACAATAGATTGAAATGAATAATATTATTATTTTAATTTATTACATACCCTTAACTCATATTCCCAGGGCAGGTTACAACAATTGAAAATGCAGTATTAAAAAGTTTAAAAACATTTAAACTGTTGTTTTAAGCTGTTTTTAACATTGTATGTTAAGTGTTAGAGATCTTCCTCTTTCAAAAAGTTTCTTCTGCAGATACAATAACCAAATGTGCCCCTAACTTACACTATAGTCTCCCTTCTTCTCCTTTCTCATATTCAGAGGCATCAACTATACAGGGTGAAAGGGGCTTCGCCCCCTTAATATTTGTGGGTAGGGGGCCAAGCCCCCCAATATTGAGGGCCCCCCAAACAGATCAGCCTCCCACCTGCAAACACACCCTCCACGCTCCCCATCCCCCATTGCCAATGGGCAAGCGCTTGTGTGTCGGCGGGGGACAGGCACAGAGGGTCATCTTCACTCTCCGTGCTCTCCAGCCCCTGCCGCTGGCAGGGTGCAACGGGGATCTCTGCAGGGGGTGCCTGGTTTGCATCTCCCCAGATTGCACGCTCAGGGCAACGGCCCCCCTGGCACCTCCCACCCAGCGCATGATGTTGTGCATATGAAGTCATGTGACGCCGGGCCCCCTCAATGTGGGGGGCAAGTTGGTGCCCCTGCTCACACTCCACATCCTTCCCGGTCAAGACTACCATCCCTACTCTCTTTCAAAGAGCACCATATTCAGCAACAGAGGATGTCACTAATATCTATTCTAATAAAAATATCTTTTTAATATCTATATGAAGCCGCTAGGAGAGATCATCAGGGGGTTTGGGCTGGGTGTTCATCAATATGCAGATGACACCCAGCTCTACCTCTCTTTTAAATCGGAACCAGTGAAGGCGGTGAAGGTCCTGTGTGAGTGCCTGGAGGTGGTTGGAGGATGGATGGCGGCTAACGGATTGAGGTTGAATCCCGACAAGACAGAAGTACTGTTTTGGGGGGACAGGGGGCGGGCGGGTGTGGGGGATTCCCTGGTCCTGAATAGGGTAACTGTGCCCCTGAAGGACCAGGTGCGCAGCCTGGGAGTCATTTTGGACTCACAGCTGTCCATGGAGGTGCAGGTTAATTCTGTGTCCAGGGCAGCTGTTTATCAGCTCCATCTGGTACGCAGACTAAGACCCTACCTGCCCGCAGACTGTCTTGCCAGAGTGGTGCATGCTCTGGTTATCTCCCGCTTGGACTACTGCAATGCGCTCTATGTGGGGCTACCTTTGAAGGTGACCCAGAAACTGCAATTAATCCAGAATGTGGCAGCTAGACTGGTGACTGGGAGTGGCCGCCGGGACCACATAACACCGGGCCTGAGAGATCTGCATTGGCTCCCAGGATGTTTCCGAGCACAATTCAAAGTGTTGGTGCTGACCTTTAAAGCCCTAAACGGCCTCGGTCCTGAATACATGAAGGAGCGTTTCCACCCCCCATCATCCAGCCGGGACACTGAGGTCCAGTGCCGAGGGCCTTCCGGCAGTTCCCTCATTGCGAGAAGTGAGGTTACAGGAAACCAAACAGAGGGCCTTCTCGGTAGTGGCGCCCACCCTGTGGAATGTGAAGGAAATAAGCAGCTATCCTATCTTTAAAAGACATCTGAAGGCAGCCCTGTTTAGGGAAGTTTTTAATATTTAATGCTGTATTGTTTTTAACACTCGATTGGCAGCCGCCCAGAGTGGCTGGGGAAACTCAGCCAGATGGGTGGGGCATAAATAATAAATTATTATTATTATTATTATTATTATTATTATTATTTCCCACCAAGCAGCAATGTGGAATGGCTGAAACTATCAAAATTGATGGTGGGAACCGAGCTTTTCCATTTCCCTTCTACCCACCCCAACAGTCAGGAACATCTCTTTCTACATCTCCAAACAAGTAAGAAGGATCTTAGGCTTAGACTATTTAAGCCACATTTGGTACATAAAATCAATTTAATGTATAGATTCAGCAAAACCAAAAACTACTTACTTCCATGGCAGAAGGAATTGGGCCATCACTGTCAACTATTCTTATTTCTCCAGCTTCACTTCCTAAATATGTTCCATCTTCAATTATTCCTCTGCACGGTTCAAGGTGCTCTGGAGTCTTTCGATAAATAAGGTGTTGAAATGTGGAAGAGTTCTCAAAAGGTTCAATTTCATAGCATAAAGTCCCAATTTGCACATGTCCCCTGGGGGGTTGGGGCGGAAACCCAAAAGACAGACTTAGAGTCAACAAATCAGCAAATGCATTAAGCCAGGGAAAGGCAATTGATGGTCCTGGATCATATTTATCTGGCTGGCCCAATCAAATTTTAGCTTGGGTGAGTTCCCACTAAGCATAGAACAGTAGGTTTTGCTGTATGGGTTGCATTGTCTAATATATTTATCATGGCTTGTATATTATCTTTGAGAGATATTTCCCTAATAAAGCCCTTTGATGTTCATTGATGTACTGCCCTATAACATAGCTTAATCTGTTTGCCGTTATAATTACCAAAAATTTATAATCCACATTTAAGATGGAGAACAGCCTGTGGCATTCAACTTTATGTATATTGCTATGAGGTTTCATTCCATGTACTTGGAAGATTCATAATTTGAATCATTTCATCATATAGCTCCTTAAGAATTGATGTTATTTTGCTACTTAGAATTGAAAGTATAATATATTTAGAATTGAAGGTATAACAAGTATGTCTTGGGTCCCAAAAACTGCCTGCTTTCCACAGTGCCTTATCATTGTGTTTGCATATACAAGATATGAAAATTAAACTAAACTTAGACAGTTGCTTTACCCAACTCTTCTAGAGGGAGGTCTGCATAAAATCTACTCTGAGAATAGCTGTAGAGGCACAATTATTCACAACTTAAGGCTCATGGTATATAGCTCTCTTTCAGTTCTACCCCAAAATCTTTATTACCAAAGCCCAAAGCAGGTAGAGAGGAAGGCCTGAGAGTCTAAGGCGTCTTCTACATATCCACCGTAATAGCAGTCATCCTGCAAGGACCAAATACACATCCTTGGGAAAAAATCAAATGAAGTTGAATAGAACAGCTTGACAAAATGATTGAACCATGCTCAGCTCAGGGTTAATAACTTTGACATCCTGCACAAATCCAGGTGATTCATCATAAAACCCACACATTATTATTTCTGAATCACTTCTCATGAGGCATCTTGAAGCGATTTACAGTATGATATATATAAAACAGTTCCATATATAAAAACAGTTAAAAACAATTACATATTAAAAAATGTAAAAGGAGCAAAATGCAGAACAGTTTGAAAAAGATATTGGGTTTCAACCAGAAGTATTGATACTCCAGACATTGAAAATAAATCTACCTGAGTTCTACATAAACTTTCAGAATTTACCGTAAAAAAATTACATTTTCACATGCCCATTTTTTAAAAAAATGGGCACATGTCTCCTAATGCCTTAAACTATTGGGGTGCATATGAATAAAATTTACCTGAATATATGGATAATCTGCAATCCGGTCTCCCTTCACATTATATGTATAAATAGGCATATTTGCAGTTATAAAAGATCTGAAAGTTTTAAAATAAATTAAATGGCAGAATTATAGTTGGCTAGTTGCAATCTCTGAGGCATGGTAAAGTATTGCAATGGATTAAGATAGCTACTCCTCTGAAAGTTACTTTGTTCAGCGATGGGCTCAAACTTTCATTTCTATTTTCACATCTTATTCTTATATTATATCTTAATAAGAAAAAAAGAGAGTAGTCTTCCACATCTACAGGGAATGCCTCTTGGGTCAGAAGTCGCACATTCAACAATTTATCAATGGATGCAGGCACTTACCTCTGTTTAAGATGAACAACTCTGTCATTTTCTTCCATTTTAATAATATAAGATATATCTGTCTAAAGTTAAATAAGGGGGGGAATACAGAACAGTTAATTAATTCTCATTACCATCCTCCCTGAGAATTTACTCTTAATTTATCATGTGTTCAAGCTTGGAGAGGGTGGAGCTTATGAGAAAAGCTTAATCTAACAGTTATGTACTTATTTATATAAATCAGTTGGTTGTAAACTTGATTAGACCTATTCATGTCTATCAGTGTTCTGACTATACCTCTATGTACCACATTCTGGGAGCAAATGATGTCAAAACTAGCAATAAATTTTGATAGGGAAATCAGACACCGATTATCTTTTGTTGTTACTTTTTAAAAATTAGTGTTCGTACAGAGAAGAAAAGAATTCATTTTAGTTCCCCCTTCCTTTCTCCAAACTTGTTTCAGCAAGATTATGCTATTGTGATTTAAAGAAGAACAGGCCTGGAAACAGCCAAGGCACGATTTCCCAAACTCTCCAATAAGATTTTTGAAAGGGAGGTGAAGTCATGTCAGACTAGAGACTGTGTCAGGGGAGATAGGTATAGTAAATGTTAACTCACAGCCATCCAGCAATTAAAATAGAAAAATAATATTCTATAAGCAATGAACTCCATCAGTGTGTATGCATGTATGCCAGTGGTCAACAAAAGAGGTTTAAAGACTTTCTCAAGGCAAATCTTTTAAAATGTAGTATAAAGGTAAAGGTAAAGGTACCCCTGCCCGTACGGGCCAGTTGTGTCCGACTCTAGGGTTGTGTGCTCATCTCGCTTAAGAGGCCGGGAGCTGGCGCCGTCCGAAGACACTTCCGGGTCACGTGGCCAGCGTGACGAAGCTGCAGCTGGCGAGCCAGCACCAGCGCCATACACGGAAACACCGTTACCTTCCCGCTATAAAGCGGTACCTATTTATCTACTTGCATTTAGGGGTGCTTTCGAACTGCTAGGTAGGCAGGAGCTGGGACCGAACGACGGGATCTCACCCCGCCGCGGGGATTCGAACCACCGATCTTACGATCAGCAAGTCCTAGGCACTAGGTTTTTACCCACAGCGCCACCCGTGTCCCTTTAAATGTAGTATAAACACCAACAATTGGGAAATACTTGCCTGCGAGCGCTCCAATTGGAGAACAGCCTTGACCAAAGGTGTCATGGGCTTTGAAGACACTCAAACTCAGGACGAAAGGGAGAACGTGCCAAGAGGAAGGCACGCGTGGCAAATCTACACCGTGATCAACTCCCGCCCAGAAGCCTATGTCCCCACTGTGGAAGGACGTGTGGGTCCAGAATTGGCCTCCACAGTCACTTACGGACTCATTGTTAAAACCGTGTTTATGGAAGACAAACTTACTTGGTTATGAGTGATCACCAAAGAAGAAAGAAGATATGTATATGTGTGAGTATGAGTATAGTATATATCACACACACACCCCAAACTCTAGTACAGAGCTTTCCAAACTATGTGTCGCAACGCTGCAGTGTGTGTATCGTGTAGACACTCCTCATGTTCCTCCTGGAGCTGGAAAGGGTTTATTTGAACCTCCGGTTTGCTAGTAAAACTGAATTACTGAGACCCCCAGGTATAGGGCGGTATATAAATTCAATAAATACTAATAATAATGACTGTGTCACGATATGATGCATGTCTAAAAGTGTGTCACCAACATGAAAAGTTTTGAAAGCTCTGGTCTAGTAAGTACTAGATCACTGATTGCATTTTTAAGAAATTAAGTTTTAAGAAATATCTGGAGCAACTCAAATGGTATTCAAAAGGAAAATTACTTTGCTACCCCTTGATTCCAGCCGCTTTGGCACTATTACTTCAGAGTAAATGTATCTTTGTGTTGGTTGTACAAAACCTATAAAGAAACAGAACAGTGAAATCAACATTTGCAATCCATGGAATATCTTCTTTCCCATTCTGATGCTTTAGAGCCAAATTTAGTTGTAAATTTAGTTTTGAATTTTATTTAAAATGTTTTAATGCCACCTTTCAGTGAAGGACAGCTTACAACAGCATGATAAAACAAGAGATAGCAATTAAAGCAACAACATGAAAATCAACAAGTGAATAGATAAAAGTAAGCAGCAAAAAAATCTATTAAAAACAGCCTGTGAAATTCAGCAGAACAGATAAACCTATAGCCATCTTAGCTAGATTGTTTATTTTGTTAAAGCTAAGGCAAATAAAACTGTCTGGTGCCAACTGTAGGCATGGCACCAGAATGACACCAGAGGGGGCAAGATGGACCTGCCCAAGGAAGACTTATCACAGATGGTGTGCCCTGGCCTGCTCCAGCCACCACATGTGTGACTATAGATGGTGGGATTGAGGCAAGGAAAGAAGGGCTACCCTTATGCTATTCATATAATCAGTTATCAGTAATCAATATATTCACATATGCTCACACATAATCAGGGCTTACAGTATTTTTATAATCCATTTTGAATCAAAGGAAAGCTTTTGCCTTAGCTAACTGCAAACTGCTTGGAACAGCAACTTTAGAACCGACCTTTCACCTAGAAATATCCTTGTACCCTGAACAAAGGGGAAGACATGAATCAGAGACACTGGTACAAAATCCCCCTCAAATGCAGGCTAAAATAATCCACAAGAACAGGAAGGGCCAAACCACAAAAACTCCAAAACTCCCTGTTCTGTCAGAACTGGGGAAAAGGTCAGATTGTGCATCATTTGTGCAGACAACGGAAAGCAGAAGTTGGGAGTAGAACTCTGCGCTTGACCAGGAGCTGTAAGCATGGCAAGAAGCATGCTAATTGGCTAATTTTCGCTGGCGTCGTGACTGTCTCATGACTGTCTCATGATCTGTGATTTGCTGTGATTTGCTCAGGTATAAAGACCTCAGGATTTGTCTTTCTCGGGGTCCCAGTTCTTTGGAAGAGATTCCAACTGGGTCCTTATTGCTCAGCAATAAAACCTCACCTTCTTTTTCTCCAAAGCTGTGTCTGCCTGAGCCTTGTTCACTCTAAGTGGGTACCTACCTTACTTTCACGTACTTCAGGATAACAGAGAAAAGGACTAGGAATAAGGATTGGGAAGGCTGGCATGGTAGGAAGCAGTCTTTCAGCTGGCAAGCCATTTAAGGCTTATCAGAAATACTTATCAAGCCCTGATTCCTGAAATGAAGGGGCAGCTCAGTAAGAGCAGTGGCGGAGAAAGGGGGTGCAGTGTGGGCGGTCTGCCCTGGGTATCATCCCTGGGAGGGGCATGACAAAATCCCCCTTGGGCGGATCATCACTGCGCTGACTGCCCCCGTGGGTGGAACGCCACCGCACCAATAGGGACACCCGGCGCCCATAAGGATGGGGCGTGGTGTGGGGCCTCAGCTGCCCTACAGCTGGGGGGGAGGCAGCGGGCGGGACGCACAGAGTGCCCAAAAGGATGGGCCATTCCTATGGGCACCACGCCATGTCCCTATCGGCACCATGCCACGTCCCTATGCCCCTATGAGTGGTTTGCCCCACCTCTATGGGTGCACCACCCCAGGTGCCCACGAGGCTTCCTCTGCCGCTGAGTAAGAGCTCTTTAAGAACTGGCCAAGTATCTGTTTTGGAGTTTCCAGGAAATCTTGAAAGGAAGCCCCATGTGCGAACAAATTGCAATAGCTTAATCCTCTACATGGTTATACTGCTTCAATCCTTTTGTTCCAGCAGTCCAACTGCACAAAGGACTGCAGGGCCAGCCAGCCAAAGGTCTTCCTCGAAGAAAGGTCTGCATCTTCTGCTACTACGTTCTGTTGCCGCAAGCCTACTTTGTTCACGCCACTTTGCCTCTAGGTGTCAGGAGTGCGTGCAGGAGCCAGGCCCTGTGACCAGTAGGGCTTCCCAGGACTGGGGCTTTCCTAAATTTGTTCTGAAGAGGCAAGGTGAGGCCACACAGGTGAGGCCACTTGGTAACTCACAGCACTTGGTGGCAAGAGCCGGGAAGGGATATAAGGTCAGCATTTCCCTTTGGCTCTTTGCCACAGCAACACACTTCCTGCCTTGCTGAGTTTGGCTTCTTAACTCCTTGCTTCCTGATCCTCGGACCTTTGGCTTCTTGATTCCTTGCTTCCGGATCCTCAAACCCTTGGCTTCTTGACTCCTTGCTTCCTGATCCTCGGACCCTTGGCTTCTTGACTCCCGGCTCTCTGACCCTCAGACCCTTGGCTTCCGGACTCGTGGCTTCCGGACTCCCGTTCCTGCTCCCACCCCGCTGTCTTGCCCCCGGTCCCGACGTCCTCAGCCGGGACTTCGACCGCCCATAAACCAGATCGTGACACTAGGCTGGCAGCTGGAGGGCCGGTTAGCACACATTTGGCCCAAGGCCTTCCAGTTGCCAAAGGAAATGCCACCGGCAGCTGAAACTTGCATCTTGAGAGCACCTGAGGATTTGTTGGTTGCTCAGCTGCAAAGAATCGAGTGCCGTCGCTTAGGTGCAAAGGGAAAGCCCCATGGAGGAAGGGAAAGGAATGAAGGAAATGAAGTGTCCTAGTATTTTTAATAATAATAATAATAATAATACTGGATTTTTCCGTGTTTAAGACGCCCCCATGCATAAGATGCCCCCTATTTTTGGGGACTCCAAATTAAGAAAACACTCCTATGTATAAGATGAGCCCCAATTTTAAACCTAATTTTTTGGTATAAAAACAACCTAGTCTTATACACAGAAAAATACGGTAATAATACTTTATTATTTATACCTCGCCCATCCGGCTGGGTTTCCCCAGTCACTCTGGGCGGCTTCCAACAAAAGTTTTAAAATACATTTACAATTACCATATTTTCTCGTGTGTAACACACACACACCCTATTTTGGGGGACTCCAAATTGAGAAAATGGGGGAAAACTGTATCCGTGTATAAGACAACCCACAATTCTGAACATAATTTTTAAATAAAAAAACCCCTAGTCTTATACACGGAAAAGTAGGGTATAGCCTTAACTGCCCCCCATCCCAGCAGCAGCACATTCATAAGAACATAAGAGGAGCCGCAGGATCAGGCCAATTTCATTTCATTTCATTTAAATTTTGTACATCACGTACTATACGCAAGGTGGTTTACAAGCTGAGGAAACAAGAAAATACCCAGCAAAAGACCACACATCTTATAGCAATCAGATCCAATACCAAAAAAGTCATAATAAAAACCTAACTTTGAGATTATATCAAATAAAGCAACATTCAACAATCCATTGGGATATAATAGTGCAGAATAAAACCAACTCTCAAAATATCAGCTCTTAACAATCCACTCTTAACAATTACCGTAAATGATTACTAAACTATAATTCACTCTTAACAATTACAACAAATGATGACCAAACTATAATCCACCGTCTAGTCCACGATCCTGTTCTCACAGTGGCCAAGCAGGGGCCTCAGTGGGAAACCCGCAAGCAGGACTCGAACGCAAGACCCGTTTCCTCTCCTGCAGTTTCCTGCAAGTGGGATTCAGAAGCATTGCTGCCTTCAACCCGGGAAGCACAGCTCAGCCGTTGCGGCTAGCAGCCATCCATAGCTGTCTCCCCCTCCGCAAATTGGTCTAAAAACCCTTTCGGAAGCCATGCAAGTTGGTGGCCCTCGCTGCCTACTGTGGCAGGGAGTTCCACAGCTGAACTGCGCAAATCAGGAGTTTATTTCCTCTGCCCTAACTCTTCCAACATTCAGCTTCTTCCCACCTCCACAGGGCAGCAGGTGGGGAACCTGGTGCCTGCCAGATGTTGTTGGCCAGGGATGACAGGACCTGGGGGCCACATCTGGAGGGCCACACAGAGGTTCCTCATCCCTGCTTTGTAGGAGGCACCCTTTATACTGAGGGTATGGGATTTTATTCTATTTTTAAGAAAAACACACCAGGTCCAAGAAGGAGGAGGAGGAGGAGCATCTCTAGCACCACCTCAGAGCAAAATATCCCCAGCCTCTGTGGGGAAAACCAAGTCAAGGCCTTGAGCAGCTTCTCCTCAGCCATTTCCCACCAAAACATTCCCCTCCTCCCTCCTCAAGTGGTCCAACTGTCATTTGGTTTCAGCATCCCAAGCTCTCTGCTGCCACTCAGCCCGGAGGCCCGCCCCCTCAAAGCCCCCATTGCACCGTTCGAAACTCAAACTGCCTCCTCAGACTCAAGAGCTCCAATAGCAAGCGGGCTCAGTTTCGAGTCCCTCCCTCCCAGCTCTTCGGTTGGCTTGTTGAGCACTCGGATCCTGCCCCCTCAGAATCAATGTCAATGAACGCACCAATCCGCTCCGGTCCTGCCAAATGCCACTCCGCCCAACAACGCAGAGTGTGCCAAATAAAACCTTAGCGACAGCTGCAGCTGCTCCAAGCCCCACCCCTTTAGAGCTCAAGCTGTCACTCGGCTCCAAACTCCGCCCCTTTCCAGGTACTTCCTGGTGTGCCCTTTTAAATGAAGGGCCGCCATATTTCAAAAAGTAAAAACCAACAACTTGTTGAATATTCAGACATATGGCAGCCCAATTTAATGTTCAGTGTTTTACTGTTTTTTATATATGCTTTCTTGGGAGAAAAGCAATGACGAACCTAGGCAGCGTCTTAAAAAGCAGAGACATCACCTTGCCAACAAAGGTCCGTAGAGTTAAAGCTCTGGTTTTGCCAGTAGTGATGTATGGAAGTGAGAGCTGGACCATAAAGAAGGCTGATCGCCGAAGAATTGATGCTTTTGAATTATGGTGCTGGAGGAGACTCTTGAGAGTCCCATGGACTGCAAGAAGATCAAACCTCTCCAGTCTTGTACTCCACCGGGAGCCAGTGCAGTTGGTATAGTACCGGATGAATGTGATCACGCAGTGAAGACCCCATAAGGAGTCTCGCCGCGGCATTCTGCACCCGCTGGAGTTTCTGGGTCAGTCTCAAGGGCAGCCCCACGTAGAGCGAGTTACAATAATCCTGTCTGGAGGTGACCGTCGCGTGGATCACAGTGGCTAGGTCAGGGCGAGAGAGATAAGGAGCCAACTGCTTAGCTTGGCGGAGATGAAAAAATGCTGCCTTTGTTATAGCTGCAATCTGCGCCTCCATAGAGAGGGAGGTATCGAAGATTACACCCAAACTCTTAACGGACGATGCTGGCACTAATTGCACCCCCGCAAGAGATGGGAGTTGCCCCCTCAATCCCATATTGTCCCGTCCCAGCCAGAGGACCTCTGTCTTCGAAGGATTTAACTTCAACCGGCTCCCACGTAACCATCCAGCCACAGCCTCCAGACATCTGGTCAGCGTGTCTGGGGCCGAGTCAGGATGGCCATCCATCAACAGATAGAGTTGGGTGTCATCGGCATACTGATGGCAACCCAGCCCAAAACTCCGGACAAGCTGGGCGAGGGGGCACATAAAGATGTTAAAAAGCATTGGGGAGAGAATCACACCTTGAGGCACTCCACACACCACGGAGTGGCGCGATGACAATTCCCCCCCAAGCGCCACCCTCTGTCCCCGACCAGAGAGAAACAAGCGCAACCATTGAAGGACTGTGCCCTGGATCCCCACGTCGGCAAGGCGGTGGTCCAGGAGTTCGTGATCGACCATGTTGAAGGCTGCTGACAGGTCTAGAAGAATCAGCAGCCCCGACCCGCCTCGATCCAGCTGCCTGCGGAGATCATCTGTTAGGGCGACCAGAGCCGTCTCAGTCCCATGACCAGCGCGGAAGCCGGACTGGAATGGATCCAGAGCCGATGTTTCATCCAGAAACCTACCAAGCTGTTCAGCAACCGCTCTCTCAATCACCTTACCCAGGAATGGAAGATTCGAAACCGGGCGGTAATTGGAAAGATCTAAGGGATCTAATGATGTTTTCTTTAAGAGCGGGCGCACCACTGCCTCCTTCAGTTCCCCTGGGAATATCCCGGTGCCAAGGGACAAATTGATGATATCACCCAGGGGGGCCCTCACCTCGTCTGCACATGCTCTAATCAGCCAAGACGGGCACGGGTCAAGAGGACAGGTGGTGGGCTTTCCAGCTCGGAGGAGTCTGTCCACATCGGCTGGGGATATCCGGTCAAAGTGGTCCAATACTGGACCCGAGGACAGTCGAGGGGCCTCCAGTTCCTTTATTGTATCCAAATTGGCAGGGAGGTCATGGCGGAGCAACAGGACCTTCTCCGCAAAAAGCTCGCAAATGCCTCACAGCTGTGTGTCAAATTGTTATTTAAATTTGGCTGTCCTTCAAGGGACGTTAAAGACCTAATTATACTAAATAATTGCGCCGGGCGAGAGCTAGCGGAGGCAATGGAGGCCGGGAAGTAGGACTTCTTAGCGGCCTTCACTGCCATCTTGTAGGTTTTCATTAAAACCCTATAAGATGTTCTTGAGGCTCCGTCATGGGCACCCCGCCATACTCGCTCTAGCCGTCTGAGGTCCCGCTTCATTTTCCGAAGCTCCTCGGTAAACCAGGGAGCCGGGTTTCTGTGGGGTCGCAGGGGCGCCTAGGTGCGATCTCATCGATGGCTGCTAGGAGCTGGATATTCCAGCCCTCAACAAGCTCAGTCAATGAGTCACCAGGGGGAGCAAGGTCCCGCAAGGCTTGGCGGAATCTCTCAGGGTCCATCAGCCTCTGCGGGCGAGCCCAAATTGGCTCGCCACCTAAGCAGGGTGGGGGTGGAAAATCAATCCTGGCTTTCAGAGCGAAGTGATCAGACCATGGCACCTTCATCGAAGGAGACATGATCACATCTATACCGACACCAAAGATCAGATCCAGCGTGTGGCCTGCTTGATGTGTGGGACCCGAAACAAACTGGGACAGCCCTAGTGTTGGAAGGAAATCAGCCCTGAGTTCTCACTGGAAGGACAGATCCTGAAGCTGAGGCTCCAAGACTTTGGCCACCTCATGAGAAGAGAAGACTCCCTGGAAAAGACCCTGCTGTTGAGAAAGATGGAGGGCACAAGGAGAAGGGGGCGACAGAGGACGAGATGGTTGGACAGTGTTCTTGAAGCTACCAGCATGAGTTCGACCAAACTGCGGGAGGGAGTGGAAGACAGGTGTGTCTGGCGTGCTCTGGTCCAGGGGGTCACGAAGAGTGGGGCACGACTAAACAACAACAAAATATATGCTGTAAGCCACCCAGAGTGGCTGGGGAAAACCAGCCAGTTGGGTGAGGTATAATAAAATAATAATAATAATACCACCACCACCACCACTGTGATCTGCTTCATGGTGTGTGTTATAAGAAAAAAACCCTACTCCTTTCCCGTGGGCACCCAAGGGCCCGTATAGACAGTGACAGAGCTTCATGCTCCGGCACTGGAGGGCGGAGAGCAAGCAGGGGCGGGGCTGGCGAGTATTATGGGGGCGTGGTGCTCTGCCTGCAGGGCGGGGCTCCCAGCGCGGGTGGGGGGAACAGCCACAATGGCACCCTACTGGGGACGGTGCGCTCCCCCCACACTCCTCTTCCTCCGCCAGTGCGTATAGAGTAAGGTTATCAGATTTTTTTTCAAATGATCCGGGAACACTTTCTCTTTTTTTTTTTTTGGAAAGAGAAAAAAAAGTTGTTAAAAATAAATAAATAAATAAATAAATAAGAAGTAATATCTTCTCTTCTGTGGTCTCCTGTGTCGCGTGGCCTTCCTCTGGGCCCCAGCCTGCTTTCTTGGGGCGCTAGCCGCTGTGGAGTAGGCTCAGGTCAGGCCTGGGATCGGCCATGTATCTTTGCCCTCCCTGTGCTCTCCTACCTCTCGTCTTCAGCGGCGACGCGGCAAGGTCAGGGCTCCCCTCTTTTTTCTCTTTCCTCTTTCTCTTCCTTCTCCGTCTCCTCTCCTCCTTCTCCCTGCATCGGCTCCAGGGTTTTCCTGGCCCCAGAGTCAGCCGGGTGGCCAGGCGCTCTTGCTCCTGGCTCGATTTAGGTGTGGGGGGGTCAGCAGTTCCCCCAATTGACATGCTGGGTGTCCCCGGTTCCCCATTCGGCAGTGGCGGTGGCAGCGGCAGTCTCCGCAGCCCGGAGCCAGCCTGGTAGCGCAGTTGGCTCTGGCTGGTTTCAGGAGCTGCTCACTGCCGTGGCGCCCACCATTTTGCCACACCAGAAGTCCCCATACGATGTGTCTTGTGCCACTGAACCAATCACGCTTCATTCCCTACTAATAAATCTACAACAATTAAAATATAAATCCGGGGACATCAAATGAAATCCTGGGACATTCCGGGGACGGATTTTTGTCCGGGGACAGATTTGTAAATCCGGGGACTGTCCCCAGGAAACAGGGATGTCTGGTAACCATAGTATAGAGTCCTTATGTAGGTTCTCTATCGGTAGGAGAAAATACCAGAGGCCAACCAGAGAATATTGAGAAGCAAAGCAGCTAGTAAGCCTGATCTTTATTGATCTGTTGCAACAGGGTCGCCACTCACCACACGCCGGAGGGAGGAGAGAACATTGTTATGCAAGCCCTTATATAGACTTTTGAAATTGCCTCCCCCGTAGCTCAAGACCATGCCCCCAAAACATCATACATACAGCACAGAAAGAGGTGGTCCCCAGCAGAAATTTGAGTGTATTGCTTCTTTGCTGTCTGCCAGGATACCTGATAATGCCTTATTTGACTGCCTTTTCTGGGTAGCCTGGCCATTCCTTTGAGTTGGTAAATACTTAGTTCCTGAATCCCTTACACATATTGATAGTGTGCTCACTTGCCAGACTGTATTTACAGGGAGGTCTAAGCTCCTACAGTCCAAAGACAATTGGAAAGCTTTTCCCATTTCCTTTCTCCTTGCAGAGAAATATTTGAGGTCAATTTGGGAGAGTCAAATTGGCTTCAGGATTGTTTTCCTGTACTATTTCAGACACATGGTTCATATACTTCATGTATGTGTTTGCTTTGTACATTTATGAACATTTTTTTAAAATATATATAAGACCTTAGAATTCCTACAACAGTGTGTGCTAAATCTTTTTGATTAAAATAAAATTGTAAAAAAATAATAACGTGAAAGTTAATTTCCTAAATATGTCAGTGGTTTTCTGGAAAGCTTAAATACTGAAGCACCAATATAATGGCCACCACCAAGGAGGCTGTGTCTGTCCTGCAACCCTTCTTCTCTGCAGAGGCTTTTGTCCCGTCCTGGAAATATCTCAGGCTGGGAGGAAAGCAAGTGGGAAAGGAATACAGGAAGGTAAGTCATGAGAGGGTGGAAGGATTGTGTTGCTAGTATCACCTGCACACCCCTTTTACTTTTAAAAGAGATTCCTCCACACCTTTCTACTGTGCTTGTGGCAGTTCTGTGTTTGAGCATGCAGGATTGATGCCACTGTATTTATTTATTTATTTATTTATTTATTTATTTATTTATTTATTTATTTTATTTTATTTTATTTTATTTATCGGCTTTCCTAGATTGTTCTCTGGATCTATGGGCCTCTCTTTTGGAAGAGATTTTGCTAGAAGCTGCAAATCACTGACTTCATTCTCAGATGGTCATAAGGCTCAAGTGATTTGCTTCCGCTGAGCTTCCATGCAATTATGATCTTATTATTCATAGCATTATTTATATCTTGCTGCAATAACCAACTCTCCACTCTGCATCATTTTCTTTTGAAAGGTATGGACCATATGATGTTAAACAGGCAAGCTATTGCTTATTTAGGAAAAAAATAAAATTACTATTCCCCCTAATAATAATAATTCTTTTCAGGGATTGTGACTGAAATGACTCAAATTTGCATTTTGTGGTTATGTTGAATTTTAATTTTAACCCTGTTGCATTGTTTTTGCTTCCTCCCTCCCTTCTTCTTTCTTTCTCTCTTGCTTCTATGCTATTGAAATGCATGTCCTTTCTTAAATAATTAAAAGTTTTTTTAAAAGTAGAAAATACACAGTGTACATTAAAAGCAAAACTGCAAGGATAAACAGATTTGTTTATCAGGACAAACAAATCAGATGGTAGGTAAGTTCCAAACACAGTTATAGCAGCCTGCTGTTTAATTCCCCACAGACAACTTTATAGCCAGTGTTCCCAATCTGAATTGTCATTGAGAGTAACTGGATCAGTTAGTCACCGATAACTTATGTCTGGGGCGTTTATGCGTCATTCCCAAGCACTGCCTGCAGTGCCTGAACAGATTCCATCTTCAGCCCATGAAGGAAAAAAATCTGACGATAAGAAACTTCTTCACAGCGCTTTTCACTTCCTTATTCCTGAGGGTATGAATGAGAGGACTGACCAAAGGGGTTGAAATAGCAAAAACCGCATTGCTCATGACATGGACATCAAAGGGTATATTGGCTTTGTAAGAGAGGTACGCCATGGCAATGGAGGCGTAGTAAATACTAACCATAATCAGGTGGGAGGAGCAGGCTAAAAAGCCTTAGTGCGTCCTTCTCTGGAGTTGAGGCGCATGACAGAGATAATTATGTGAGTGTAGGAAATGGAGAGAAGTAAAACGGGACGCGGGTTAAACCACTGGCTAGGGCTTGCTGATTGGAAGGTCAGCAGTGGGTGAGCTCTCGTTGTTCGGTCCCAGCTCCTGCCAGCCTAGCAGTTCGAAAGTACACAGTGCAAGTAGATAAATAGGTACCGCTCCGGCGGGAAGGTAAAAGGCGCTTCCGTGTGCTTCACATGATCCGGAAAAACTGTCTGTGGAAGCAGACAAATGCCGGCTCCCTCGGCCTGTAAAGCGAGATGAGCGCTGCAATCCCAGAGTTATTCGCGACTGGACTTAATTGTCAGGGGTCCCTTTACCTTTACCTAAAAGGGAGACAATCATAGCAATAGTAAATTCTAAAAAAATTTGAAATTATGTGTAGGAATTTGGACAAGCTGCTTGGACAACAGCCATGTGGTCACAAAAGCAATGATAAACTTTGGGCGTTCCACTAAAGTCCAGCTGGGATCGGGACCAACAACGCAGAGAACAAGGCACTTGCTGCCAACCAGATATTCACCCTCTTTGTCATTCGGACTGTGGAATGCAAAGGATTGCGGATGGCTTCATAGTGGTCATACGACATGACAGCTCAGAGGAACGTTTCAGTCACCACTAGCCCATGGAAGCAATAAATCTGCAGGAAACACCCCTGGGCAGAGATATGCTTAGAACTGACCAAAAACATGTCCAACGTTTTGGGAATAGTTGTGGTGGTGAGCAGAATGTCTAAGAAGAGAGATTAGTTAGGGAGAAATACATGGGCTTGTGGAGTTTTGCATCTGTGGCCACTGCCAGGATGATGGAGAAGGTACTGGCAAGGATTAAGAGGGAAAAACCAAGAAGAAGAAAAAGAGAGGGGTCTGCTGATCTTGAAAATTAGGAAAACCAACAATGAAGAAGTACTGAACCAAACTACCAGTAAAGATGCAGTTCTCCATTGTTTGAATGCACAAGGTGTCTAGAAAAGAGATCATAGAGGTATACAGTGGTACCTCTGGTTAAGTACTTAATTCATTCTGGAGGTTCGTTCTTAACCTGAAACTGTTCTTAACCTGAAGCACCACTTTAGCTAATGGGCCTCCTGCTGCTGCTGCTGCGCCGCCGGAGCACGATTTCTGTTCTCATCCTGAAGCAAAGTTCTTAACCTGAAGCACTATTTCTGGGTTAGCGGAGTCTGTAACCTGAAGCATATGTAACCTGAAGCGTATGTAACCTGAGGTTCCACTGTAATGTCAGCTGCATCACTAAAGAACATAGGGCTATATTTAATAATAATAATAATAATAATAATGAATTTCATTCATTTCTGTGGGTCTCTACTATGACTACCTTTGTATACAACCTTCAAGATTGAGGTTTCTTAAAGTCTTATTATATAATGTTGATGAATATATTTACTTATTTATAGGCATATTCATAAAGCATCTCCATGACCTAATGACACTTGCATCTCACACCAGGTCCTTAGTGCCACTTAGTGTTAAGTCTTGGGTCACCTCCCCCCTGTTTGGTTCTAGGACCTCACAACTCAGATTTCCCCACATCATTGTGGTTAATGTTCAACTCAATGGATGACTTCTTCTCAGCACCAGCCAGTTCCTCTTGAGTCTCAACCTTTGTAACTAGGGGAGACAAGTCAGTATTCAGTCCTAGCGTCCATCACAAACCCATCCCTAGATAATGATCCATTCACCCAGAACTGTGAGCCTCCTGCCTACCCAAATCTTCCAGTCTGACATATGGACATTATAATACAGACCTACCCTTCTAGGAATATGTTTGTGTGAAAAATACAAGAAGAAGATAATGTTTCTCAAAATATATATTCTGTACCATGAAAAATAAATTTAAAAACATTATTTAAAAACAACAAGAAGAAGAAGAAGATAAGGTGCATGAAGAACTTATAGATGCTAAGCAATTATAATAGATGCTGTCAAGCTCTACCAATATGTTGTATTTTACAGTAATTGCATTTTCATCCTGGCAGAGAAATGCTACTCATGCAAATGCAACTGAAATAGTGATGGCAGAATCTAAAACAGGGATCAGCAAACTTTTTCAGCAGGGGGCCAGTCCACTGTCCCTCAGACCTTGTGTGGGGCCAGACTATATTTTTTTTCGTGGGGGAATGAACGAATTCCTATGCCCCACAAATAACTCAGAGATGCATTTTAAATACGTTTGGCCCTCAGCTGGAACTCCCATTCTGGCTTTATCACACTTTCCCCCATTTCTCCGTAGTGCTGCTACTGTTTACTGAACCTGCCTGCTGTTTGCATATGTTTGCAGAGATGTTTTGATTCATTTTCAGGCCCACGGAGCTACACAGCCAACAGAGGCAGCCTGCGTATATTGTGCCGCTGCTGGCTTTCCCTGTTTCATAGCTGTTTTTTATTGCTCTCTGTCTCTCTTTCTCTTTATGTGTGGTGATTTTCTCTCTCTTTTATGGCCTCAGCTACTTCCTGAGCCCCACTACCTGTTCTTTATTTTCTGAATCTTATTTTTCTATCTCTTGCCTTTAACCGCTTTTCTATTCTTTCATCATCATTATCAACAACAACAACAGCAACATCATCTTTCTTTCTTTCCCCTTCTCTATTTCCCCCTCCCTTTTTTGTGTTTCTATTGTATCTATAGCAAAGTCTTGATTTGGTTCAAAAAGGGGGGGGAGAGATATTAACACTTTGTATTTTTCTTTGTCAATGGACTACTTTTAAAATGAGGCTGCATTTTAAATTGCATTTTAACCTGTATTTTAAATTGGTTTTTTTCCTTTTCCTATTATGTTTTTACTGTAATTTTGCTGGTGTTAGCCGCCCTGAGCCCGGCTCTGGCTGGGGTATAAATAAAATTTATTTATTATTATTACAGTGGTGCCTCGCAAGACGAAATTAATCCGTTCCGCGAGTGTCTTCATCTAGCGGTTTTTTCGTCTTGCGAAGCAACCCTATTAGCGGCTTAACGGATTAGCGCTATTAGCGGTTTAGCGGCTATTAAAGGCTTAGCGGATTAGCGGATTAGCTGCTAAAAGGCTATTAAAGGCTTAGCAGCTTAGATAAAGGGGGGGGAAAGCGGAAAAAAAATCTCTAGACTCGCAAGACATTTTCGTCTTGCGAAGCAAGCCCATAGGGAAATTCGTCCTGCGAAGCAACTCAAAAATGGAAAACCCTTTCGTCTAGCGGGTTTTCCGTCTTGCGAGGCATTCGTCTTGCGGGGCACCACTGTATTATTATTAGAATTTATTTTGGAAAATAAAGAACACATTGCAAATATAACAATGAATAAACCGACACTGAATGAATAAACACACACACACACTGGCCCACTGCGGCCTTCTCTGGCCCAGGCTCTGAGGCTCCGCCCCTTTCCCACATCTGGCCCCTCCCACAAGGAAACAATGGCTTGGCCTTCCTCTTGCTGACATGGCCGTCGCCCGCGGCAACCGGGCCGCAGCCGAGGGAGGTGAGGCAGCGCACCAGGCCGCAGCCTGAAGCAGGGGGTCTGGCGAGACCCTTTCCCGCCTCTCTTGCTCCCCTTCCTCTTCCCCCTCCGAGCCAGGATTTGTTCAGCAAAACAAAACAAAACAAAAAGAGAGAAAACAAGCCAGGAAAAGACCCTTGCGGTTGGTTTCCCTGAGGTGTTTCCACCCTTCATGCGCGCCTGTGGCTCGGACCCCCCTCACGGCTGCCCTTCTCGAGGGGGGCAGAGCAGCTCCCCCCTGCAATATTGCCCCCTTGCCCTCAAGCAGCTTGAGGATCTGCATCGGAAAGGGGCCTTTTGTTGGAAAAGGACACTTCCGACCTCACAGGCCGGGCACCTCTGTGCATGTGCAGAGTTCCTGCCCTTCCGAGGGAGGCGGGGTGGCATGCATGCTTCTCTTGCTCTGGAAAGGCACGTCGGGCAAAGCGCCACCTGCCATGTGCAGAGGGCCTTTTCCCTTGCGAGGAAATGCTCCTTGGAGGGGTGCCATGGGGCGGCACGTCCCGGATTTCGCCCCCAGCCAGCCTGCCTAGGGTGATGGTCGCCTCCTCACAAGCACCCTGGGAGTAGCATGGGACATGTCAGGACGAAAGAGGAAGGCATAGGCACCACTTAGGGCCATTGGGCCCACCTGACAAAACATACCGTATTTTTCCGTGTATCACACGCCCCCATGTATAAGACGCCCCTTGTTTTTGGAGACTCCAAATTGAGAAAATGGGGGGAGACTATATCCGTCTATATCCGACTATATAAGACGACCCACAATGCTGAATATAATTTTTAAAATAAAGAAACAGTCTTATACACGGAAAAGCACGATACGTACGGTCTCTTGCAAAACGGTGGCGACATTGTGTTGTTTAACTGTTTCCACCGATAATTTAATTGCTTTATTCGTTTATTGTAAACTACTTTGGTGGTTGCTGTTTCCTTACAATCAGGTGCATGTAAACCCTGTGAAGTAAATACATAATGAATACATTGTAAAGGGTAGAAAATGGAGGAAATCAGAGAACGCAGCCCCACAGAATCTCTGGAATGGAAGACAATGCCCCTTTGATGGAAAAGTCTTAATTATTATTGTGTCGTGCAGCTCGCATTCATTTAGGTGGTGACTGCGAAAGAGAAAATTCCCATTTTTGGGTCACCGCTCTTTAATATTCCATAGGGTGTGGTACGCTGAATAGACTTTCCCACCACACATAATTTAAGTGATCATATAGGTCTATAGTAGGGTAGGCCTTTATTAGTTGCTTCTATATACAATGGAAGTTGGTGTCTTTTCAAAAGCATTTAGACAGCTGAAACAGCAGCAGTTTATCAAAGGAAACCTAAGAAGTCCACTTTTTTTTTTAATGAAGCTAGGCCAAAATTTCTCATTCAACTCCTAAAATTTCAAATTTGCAACATCTATAGTTCTAGAGCACAATCCACTAAAATATATGAGAAAATTAATTTTCCGCTAATGCCCCTTTACTATGGAATTCCCTTTCTCCTGCCCTGTGGGAAACAGCAGCCATCAGTTTCCCCAGATGTTTCATAAAAACATGCCTTTTTGCCCAGGCTTTCCCTGACCCATAATATTAATTTGTTTTTATATGCTTCATACTGCTATTTATTGGTTGAATGTTATATTTTTGTGTTAATTATATTCATTACTGCTTCCTTTATGCTGTATGCTTCTTGGAGATTTTTAAAATACTACATTTTAAAGCATTGTAAAGCTTTGAAAAAAATATCATTAACAGGAGCATTGTGATCGCTAAAAATATTTTGCTTTTGTTTTCTTCTTTTCAGGGCCGTTCTGTCCCTTTTCCTCATCTCAGGACAAGAAAATATGTTGAATGATCAAGGTAGAACCCATGTCTGAAATTGGGACTGGCTGTTAGTGGAGAGCACTTTCCCTTTCCACCTCCACCCCCCCATTGATTCAACCCACCCTTTTCCAGAATCCTTTCACCTGTGGACTGGAGTAATTCAGTTGAGTTGGTGTGCCAAGGAAGGACTTATGCCTTTGACGTTTGGAGTCAAAAAAGTTGCTCGAGGACACTTGCCACAAGGACATGCCTCATCATCCAAGTGTAGACATAAGTAGTGGCGACACCTGAGGAGGAAGCAGCTACTGGTAGGTGCAAACCTTCATTGAGTTATGAATGCTGGGGAGGCTTTCCTATGTGTCTACCTTCAGCAAAAGTGAGTAAGGGTCTGTTGAGAAAGGAGGGCAGGGTTGCCTGGCCTCTCAGGGGGTGCAGCCTTTGAGACAAGGGCAAGTGCACATTGAGATGGTGGCAGGTATGGATCCAGGTTGGAGAACCTGTGACACTCTCTGGAGTCTGGAGTGTCTGGAGGCGGTTGGAGGATGGGTGGCGGCTAACAAATTGAGGTTGAATCCTGACAAGACAGAAGTACTGTTTTGGGGGGACAGGAGGCGGGCAGGTGTGGAGGAATTCTTGGTCCTGAATGGGGTAAGTGTGCCCCTGAAGGACCAGGTGCGCAGCCTGGGAGTCATTTCGGACTCACCGCTGTCCATGGAGGCACAGGTCAATTCTGTGTCCAGAGCAGCTGTCTACCAGCTCCATCTGCTCCATAGGCTGAGACCCTTCCTGCCCGCAGATGAAATTAATCCGTTCCGCGAGTCTCTTCGTCTAGCGGTTTTTTTTGTCTTGCGAAGCAACCCTATTAGCGGCTTAGCGGATTAGCGCTATTAGCGGTTTAGCGGCTATTAAAGGCTTAGCGGCTTAGCGGCTAAAAGGCTACTAGCGGCTTAGCGGCTTAGAAAAAGGGGGGGGAAAGCGAAAAAAATCTCAAGACTCGCAAGACATTTTCGTCTTGCGAAGCAAGCCCATAGGGAAATTCGTCCTGCGAAGCGCATCGAAAAACGGAAAACCCTTTCGTCTAGCGGATTTTTCGTCTTGCGAGGCATTCGTCTTGCGGGGCACCACTGTACTGCAATGCGCTCTATGTGGGGCTACCTTTGAAGGTGACCCGGAAACTACAACTAATCCAGAATGCGGCAGCTAGACTGGTGACTGGGAGCAGCCGCCGAGACCACATAACACCGGTCTTGAAAGACCTACACTGGCTCCCAGTATGTTTCCAAGCACAATTCAAAGTGTTGGTGCTGACCTTGAAAGCCCTAAACGGCCTCGGTCCAGTATACCTGAAGGAGCTTCTCCACCCACATCGTTTTGCCCGGACACTGAGGTCCAGTGCCGAGGGCCTTCTGGCAGTTCCCTTCCTGCAAGAAGCAAAGTTACAAGGAACCAGGCAGAGGGCCTTCTGGGTAGTGGCGTCCGTCCTGTGGAACGCCCTCCCGTCAGATGTCAAGGAAATAAACAACTACCTGACTTTTAGAAGACATCTGAAGGCAGCCCTGTTTAGGGAAGCTTTTGATGTTTAATAGACTATTGTATTTTAATATTTTGTTGGAAGCCGCCCAGAGTGGCTGGAGAAACCCAGCCAGATGGGCGGGGTATAAATAAATAATTAGATCAGGGGTCAGCAAACTTTTTCAGCAGGGGGCCGGTCCACTGTCCCTCAGACCTTGTGGGGGGCCAGACTATATTTTTTTTGGGGGGGTGGAATGATGCAAGAGCACCATGAGCCCCGGTGGCTGCTTACCTGTGTCTTGCGAGCGGCAGGGGCTGGGGGGTGGGCGGTAGAGGGGCGATGAGTGGTGCACAAAACGGCTGTGGAGAGGGGCTGCTTAAAATGGTGGCCGCTCGAGCTCTGATGCTGCGGGTACCAACAAAGCCCAGCCTCCTTCCTCCTCTAGGCAGGGTGGGGAGAAGCCGGGAGGGAGGAGGTGCCGCCGCCGTGTGAGAGAGAGGGTAAGAAGGCGCATGCTGGCGATCCATGCGGTGATTCCCGGACTGTCCAGAGGTCGGATCCAGAAGGCAATTGGGCCTGATCCAGCCCACGGGCCTTAGTTTGCCAACCCATGCTCTAGATGTTGCTTCACTCCAACTCCCATCAGCTCCAGCCTACATGGCCAGTGGTCAGGGATGATGGGAGTTGTAGTCCAACATTGTTGAAAGCCAGGGATTCCCCATCTCTGTGGTAGATCCCCAAACGGCTAGTGTTCTGCCTCAGTTTGAGCAAGATGGTACTACTGTAGTGGAGGAGCTTCTGTGACATTGTGAGCTGGGGAAAAAATTGAAAGCCCATTTTGTGCCTAAATGTCTGGTGTATAATGCTCTAGGAGATGTACTGTTGGATGTGTGCTGGGCCACAATGTATGGGTGGCCAGTAAAATGTAATTTTTCCCCTTTTTTGCTGAAGGATACTGATAAGATGGTGACCTATAAAGCAGAGTTATTCTGAACAGATGAAGCCATGATTTAAGCGCAAGTTTAATGAGAATAATGAGATATTAGACTGGATTAGGAGATGGTCAGCTTCTCCTGCTGTGCAGTAAACAAAAATCACTTGAGTTAAGTGAGATGTACACCCAAGTCAGCATGTATGGGATTGCAGTCTGAAGGACCTTCTTTTATATAAGCGTACACAAACACATACAGTGTTTTCATATTTATAAGTTAACTTTCTTATTCATTTTATTTGTGAATCATTTACCATGAAACATCCTGAAGTGCTTAATAAGAAAAAAAACATTTTCCCATCCTGGAATCTGAAAACTCCAGTTAAAAGGCTTGTTGAACAATTACCTTAACTAATTCTAATTTACTCCATATAATATATCTACCATTGTCATTTGCCCATTCTTCATTTTTCAGCAGTGAGAAAACTCTTACTTCTAAATTAAGGGCAATACCCAATGTTATACACAACTCTTTATTTGATACATGAGATATATATTTTCAGGACCCATTGTTAGTTTTTAAACGGTTTTTAACATTGCATTTTAAATTGTTGTGACCTCCTCGGGGACCTCACAGTGAAGGTCTATTGGTAAATAAATAAATAAATATATATATAATCAGAGTCGACAAGTGAAATTTAATGTTGACTAAAGTGTACTGAATTCAGTGGGTCTCAGTTCTGAGTATGACTTAGCTGGCTTTCATCCTAAATCAGGAGTGGGAAACAATTGACCATCCAGATGTTGCTGGACTCCAACTCCCATCAGCCCCAACCAGCATGTCTAATGGTCAGAGATGATGTGAGTTTTAGTTTTACTCTCTTAAATGTACAAATTCTGTAAGTCTGGATATCATAGCAACATACCATTTTGGTTAAATCACTCATTTTCAGTGAGCGTGATCAGTATTTTTGCTGCTATTATTAATTTGCCAATTCAAATAGAATGTTCTAATTGTATTTCAGTTTTCAGATAACCTAAGCTATGTATAATGAGTTTAGTGTTATGGAGCAGCAAACCATATTTGCTATATTTTTTACAATTTCTTTTCAATAACTTCTGACAACCTACTTATGTTCCACCATACCTCCAACACCTACTGCTTACATTAGGATAAATATTTGCTAACTGTTGTGGAGTTAAACGACATATATCATCCTTCAAATCCCATTGATTTCAGTGGGAGTGTTAAACACCTGCTTAAATTTCCCTCAGCAAGACCTGGCAACAGTTAATTTTAGATGGATCATACTCATTGTATCTTGGTCTCATATGCTATGGACTATACTATTACATATATTATATTGATCTACTGTATATAAAAATGCAGCAACACGGATCGTGGACACAGCTCAGCAAGCATTAGGCATGCCTAAGCAGTACAAAGTACTAGAATGAGACTTAGCTACTGCTAATTTCTGTTGGAATGTGATATATCGGCTTGCCATTTTAAGGCATGGTCCAGCAGAGGGACCCAAGAACTGTCAATGACTGAGCTCAGAACAAGTTTGTTATAGAAAGTGCTAGTGAAAGGCTGTTTGTTTCACACTTTAGTTAGCCCTGGGCAAGGAGGGACTCACTGAGTTAAAGGGCCAGATGGTTAAATGCACCATTCTGTTGGACATGCAGGTTCTTACAAATGCAAATAGCATCAGCAGGAAAAGGGGGCTGATTATGACTGGGATCAGGGTGAGGTGGAGGGGAAATCTAACACTTTCCTCCTTGCTGTTTGCATTGGGAGGAACATCCCCATTTGTACCAATTTGTACCCAGCCAACCCCCCTCTGCACGAATACCAGCTTCCATACCCTCCAACGGGAGGGACCCCCTAAGGAAAAGCGGGACATTTGGGGATCAAATCAGAAACCGGGTCAGTTTCTGTAAATCCGGGACTGTCCCTAGAAAATAGGGACACTTGGAGGGTCTGGAATCCCCATGGGCCTAGAGGCTTGGAATTCATGCTGCAGGAAGTTTAGGATCAGAGTTGTAAGAGACCAGCATGCTCTTCTGAGATCTGGGAGAGCCTCAAGGAGTGTGGGCTACCTTTACATGTTGAGTAACTTACAAGGAAACTGTCTGGGAAACGCAGGGTGTGTTGGTCTCAGAGTTCCTGGGTTTTAGGAAGTTTGGGGGTGTCTGCTAGGGCAAAGCGAGCCCTGCTTCCCCCAGCAATTTGTGTAGGGTGGACTGAGGAGTGCTGAATGCGCTGGAAAAAACTTGTGAAATGCCATGTCTCCCCTGACTACCTCCCCACAAAATTATCCATCTCTTTTGTTTAGTGTTTTCATCAGAACAATGTGAATAGTACCAGAAGGCTGGTTTTAAAGCATTTAATTGCAGAATATAATTTTAAGATAATTTGCATATATATAAGGCAATAATAAAAGAGGAGTTAATCCCTTTTTCATTATTTCTCAGATTTAAAACCTCCAATAAGAACAAAATCCAATCACATTTTTGACAATCAAACGAGCAGTATTACAAATGCAAAGATATAATCTACATCTGTATCATGGGCATATTGGAGAATAAGATTCTATCACATTGCATTCTACAATCAATTGGAAATTGGCTAGCAGCAATAATTTTACTTGAGTTTTTAACAAAATAGTGCAGAAGGTTTGCTTTAGAGTGTTTAAAATAGAATATATAAGCAGAACCTTCAACATGGACCACCTGATAGAATGACAAAAAGTGAGATTAAAGAAAGATCACACCTCTCCTAAAACAATGGCTGAATACTAGGGATGTAAGAAGGTAGCGATATTTGTCAAAATCAGCACTGTTTTCTTTCTGCTACAGTTCCATTTTTGTCAAATACTATTAGAGCGACTGATTTCCATTCTTGACCACGGATAAACACATGAATTGCAGCAGTTTCCTCTTCCTTTTCATTGGAATTCTCCAACAACTTTAACAAATGCGAACATCTTTATGTTGTTGTAAACCACTGTGATATGTTTCTATGGTACAGCAGTATATAAATATCTTTACAAATAAATAAATATAAATAAAAAACTTGATTTTGCAAGAGACCTCCACAGGCCACCCAGACCCTAGTTTCATAGAATGGAGCAGCTACATATTTTGGCCTGCATTGATTCTGTTTGCAGCAACATGACTGATTCCTAGTTCTTATACGACAGACACTAAAGACTAAGCACATATTAGTCATTGTTTGGCAAAGAGCCTCTTCAGTGTTATACTGTTCATATGGATTGTGTACAATAATGGCACCAGAAAGAAATTTCTTGGGGGGGGGCACAGAAGGGGCAGAGCATATTTATAGGTGGGTGAGTTGTATCAAAAAATTTAGGATCGCTGAAAGAAAAATAGCAGTATATGTTCATGACAGGGGTTCAGCAATGGAGGGTAAGTTGGGGAAGCAGCTTCTGGTTTGGGGAAGGCGGTTGCCCCCCCTCTGCCCCCCCTCTGGAGCCACCCACGAGTGTCTGCATGAATAAATGCTTTCCATAGTGCCCATTTGATCACAATCAGCTTGTATTTCCAAGTCAGTGCACTTTTTGGATTGCCACTGCAGCAGCAACCTGCTACTGTGCACACAATCACTCCGTCCCTGGATTTTAATTATGGCACCAACACTGTTGGACAAATCCACAGCACTAAGAGACAACCAATTTGCAGAGTTGTTTCCTGCCAGGATGCCCAATTGAGGCAACTGAAACAAACATGTTTTGAAACAAATGTTCCAATTACAAAATGTTTACAGCTGCAATTGTTTCCTTAATGTAGTAGGAGGACAGCAGGCTCTCTGGTGCCAAATTGTTCAATTAAAAATAGTTGAGAGTTGTTAATGGTCTCTCTCAAGTTTGATGATAGTCTCAGATCTGGTGATGTAGTAAATAATGAGGACAGAGGCTGAATGCAATGCTTACCTAGGCCTAGGCACTCTTGCTCCAAAACATTTAAATGCTGCTGTTGTAAAAGTAAAATACATATGGAACCTTCAGATTCAGTATGCCACTTACAATTTATTCAGAAAATGTATATACTGCTTAACAAAAATCTGCAGCTGATTTACAGAAAAAGAATCAAAGTACAATAAGATATGAACAAAGTATTAATTGTATTCTGAATATGGGCAGCCCCATATAGAGCACATGACAGTAATCTAAATACCAGTTGCTGGAGAGCATTGATGGGATGGTATTATGGCTTCAAGCCCTGATTACCATATTGGCCTGAATATAAGCCTCACTTTCCCCCCCAAATTCCAACCGTGAAAAGTTAAAGTGCGGCTTAAATTCGCAACCTTACATAAAGTGGCTTTTATGATATCACTGCTGAAATAGACATACAGTAAAACGGAACGGGTGTGAGTACCTGCGGAATTTTAAGGGAGCGGCTTATATTCGGGTATTGTCTTTTTTTCTCCACCCCCCCCATTGAAGTTTAAAGGTGCAGCTTATATACGTGCCAATACGGTATGTGTTTCCGAGCCATCAGCTTGGCCATTGTACAAAACAGAATGCTGGATAGGATAGCTCAGCCTCTAGAGCATAAGACTCTGTGGGTTCGAGCCCCAAGTTGGTTAAAAACTTCCTGAATTGCAGGGGGTTGGACTAGATGACTCCCATGGTCCCTTACAACTCTACAATTCTTTGATTCTAGGTGTAAGTAGGTGAACCCTCATTTGTATTCAGCAGGGCTCTTTGTATGACACAGAGACATCTCTAAAAGCATATTTCCATAATGTAAAAGGTAAAAAGGACCCCTGGATGGTTAAGTCCAGTCAAAGGCGACTATGGGGTTGTGGTGCTCATCTCACTTTCTGGGTCATGTGGCCAGTAGAACTAAACTGCTTCTGCCGCAACAGAACACCGTGACGGAAACCAGAGTGCACGGAAACACCTTTTACTTTCCCACCACAGCGGTACCTATTTATCTACTTGCACTAGTGTGCTTTCGAACTGCTAGGTTGGCAGAAGCTGGGACAGAGTTCACCTCATAGCACGGATTCAAGCTGCCAACCTTGCAATCGGCAAGCGTAGGAGGCTCATTTCCATACATCAACCCTAACACAATTAAACTAAAAATATTAAAATTGAATAAGCCAGCTAGCATGCCGCTATAATCCATTTCAATTTATAGTACAGTGCAACATTAAGGGCTCATTACAGCAGCTAACGTCCCATTAACAGAACATTGTTCAATGCAAATGTTTGTGTGGGCAGAGCATTGAAAAGCAAGGACAGCAAGTAATACTTGGCCGGCTTTTGGATATTAATGAAAATGAGCACCTGCAAGCTGCCTTGGAGGACCTTGATAGTCAGAAATGCTTTAAGTAACTTAGCCCACATTTGAGGAAGGACTCTAAAGGTTACAGTTGAAAAGGCCTCGATGCTCATCCTCATTGACACCCCCTTCCTTGGAGTCACCTTTCGGAGCAGGGCTATTGAGCAGGAGAAGCTCTTCTATAAAGTTGGCAGGGCTGAAAGCAGGCTCTGAGGGATTAAATCCAAGAACGTGTGGAATTTTTCTCAGAAATGTTGCTTGCTTTTTTAAAAACTCTGTATCCCTGCTAGAAATATTTTTGACGTCTTTCCCAGGCAGGAGGGTTCCAAGTCAACTCAATATTTATGTTTGTGGGCAGCTTTAGTCCCAGATTATTGTTATTTTTGGTTGGGGGGGGTGTCATTGCAACAAATAAACATTGTCTTCTTTTATAAACTTTACCAACTTAACAAAGCTATTCCCATACAATCCAACATTTCTCCAATGAAAATAGGGACGTCCTATTCCATCATCATCATAATTTTATTTTACCCCACCTTTCTGACTAGGTTGCCCCAGTCACTCTGGGCAGCTTCCAACATATATACAAACATAATAAAACATTTAAGATTACAATAACTTCCCTATACAGGGCTGCCTTCAGATGTCTTCTAAAGGTTGTACAGTTACTTATCTCCTTGGCTTGGGGATCGCATAACTACATACCCTCCAACATTTCTCTGATGAAAATAGGGATGTCCTAAGGAAAAGCAGGACATTCCAGGGTCAAATCAGAAACCAGGATTGCTTCTGTATATCTGGAACTGTCCCTGGAAAATAGGGACACTTGCAGGGTCTATATTCCATGCTCGGTCCTGGTTTGTTCTAGTTTCATTACCTTTACACTACAACTCTTTATTTGTTTAGAGGCCCTGTCAGCCCCACTTCCTGATGATCTCTCCACACCCTCTTGGCCGTTTTGGGAACTGAGCCTGACTCAGCTATGTCTCATCGTTTGATTATCTATGAAGGATAGATCTACCATTAAGCCCTGACAGATATTCCTGTATCTCTGAAAAATAATGGTTATTAAAGAGCAAATGATGGGGAAGGGATGTTGTCTTCATGCTCTGCACATGGGCTTCCCATTGGGGCATCATCCAGTTGGCTGCTGCAGAAAAGAGGATGCTGCTGGTCTAGATAGGCCTTTGATCTGATTCAGGAGGGCTCTTGGGTTGTTAGATGCCTTGGCCCAAGCAAACAGTGAAAGGCTAGGATACATTCAATGGGTGAAACTGCAAGAAAACAGTTTTGTTTTGTGTGTTTTTTTGGAAAAAAGACAGTTTGCTAAGTTGTTATGTAAATTAGCATTGAAGCAATGTATTCATTATTGCCGTAGAGTTAGAACTTATGTGTTCGCATAGGAAAAGTAAAGTGCTCTGTATTTGTTGGTCTTTCCAAAGTTGGGGGAAATTTATGGTGTGATCATCTAATTTCAGCTGAGCTTTTATCATTAGTTCTCAGATGATTTCCAGCCAGTATTATAAATCAGATGGAGATTAATGAAGAGAGGAGTAATAAGAGAGCAATTTAATATGGTTGCATGAATTATACATGTATAACTTTAAACCCAGAGTTCATAAAAATTACATCAGACACCTTAATGGTTGAAATATATCTCAATTCCCAGCTTGTAACTAGAATGACTTGTGAGAGGTGCAGGTGGAAGATGGTACATGACAGAACAAAATGTCATGCCCCCTTTCTGCACTGAAAAACAGCTCTGATTTGTGCAGAATGGCTTCTAGGCCACAGGGTGTGACTTCACTGCTACTTCTCCTCGGATGTATTATTCTTTATAGTTTTCCCTGTAGAATGACCTGCTTTATATTGGTCTCCAGACATTTCACCCCATATTGCCATGTGCTCTGGGTGCATGATAAATGGCTCTACAGAGCAGCCAACTCTCTAAAGATGCACGGTTTTAATGGAAATGTTACGCTGTAATGGGAGGAACAGGTAACTGAGAATAATCACAATCTTGCTAGTCTATAATAAGTAGTCATAATGAAGAATCACTTCTGATGCTGTCAAGAGACCTACTTTTCTTCTTCTTTTTGACCTAATTTATAATGCAAAACTTTCTGTTGGAAGTTCTTGTGCAAGCATAGGCAAACTCTTAGGGGCCAAGGCACTTTCAAACACACCATGTTTTTTGGGGGGGGGATGGGCCCCCTCAATGTTCAGAGGGTGTTCAGCTCTGCCCCCTGGTTCCTCACCATGTCAGGTTGTTGCGTTTTGGCCCCCTCAATCATCTTGAGATGTTGGTGCCTCTGTGTGGAGGATAATGTTGTGGCCCCAATAATATGGGAGTTATTGTGCCCCTTATCTCAACTTCAGGAAATAATTGCTCTGTTTCAATCAACGCAGCTTAAGGATGTAGGTAAAGTGCTTGTGTTCTCATTGCCCATTTTGTCTATTTACATCTTGTGGGAAGGCATTGACTGCGTGTGTCCGGGAGATTATTAATACCACTTTAAGGAAGGGAGTGTTCCCATGTGCCTTGAAGAAGGCAGTTGTGCAACCGTTCCTTAAGAAATCTTCTCTGGATCCAGTAGATTGCTCAGCCCAAAATATCTCCTCTTTGGACAAGGTGGTCTAGATGGTGGTAGCAGCTCAAGTCCAAACACTCTTGAATGAAGCAGATTATCTGAGCCCATTTGCTGTAGGTTCCCCCCTGGCATCTCTCAACTGAAGAGTTGTAAATGTGACTCCTGGTCTTTAGGTGGCAGCATTCGCGAAAATAAAAACCGAGGAGCGCTCTCTGAGCCTGCAGTTCTTTCTCCTGCAACATTTTTGTTTAATTTTTTTTTTTCTCCTGGCAGAAGCACTGCTCTTCATTTCAACTCATTGTTTCCTGTTTTGATTTAGGAGGCTTCCCTTTTGTTTTTGGTGCAGTTTGTAACACTCGCCCTCTGGTGAATTCATTATCACTTTTGTGACCTTTCCCAAAATGCTTTATCCTATATATCTCTGTCCTTCCTGGCCCATCAAATAAGGTTGCACAATCTCTCCCTAAGCAGACTGCAGGAAGCAGCACAGAGAAATAATGAGAAAATATAGTGGATGGTCATTGAAATCTTACATAGGCTGATGGGAAGCACTGCACCTGCAGGAATCCCAGGTGGAATGATGTGCCTGCCAGCCATATTTTAATCATTTAGTTTGGTTGGAGAACATTAATGTAAATTTCTCCCAGTCAAGTGCAAATTCTAGTGATGAACCACAGCAGATACAACCACAGCGTTGCATTCAATGTCTTTTAGTGTTTCTATTGTACTCTACTCGTAGCCTGTGGGCGAGATTGCTTGGGAGGATTGATTTGCTATTATAACTTTGTTTTTATAGCCTCTTAAAGCATTGTTCTGCTCTGCTATTCAGTATGAGGTTTTGCAGCAAATTGCACAGGCAAGTCCAACAAACCTAACTTGTCCTAGTACGTGTAGCTTAGCGCCTCAGCAGAGGTTGAGACAGGCAAGCAGTTGCTTTCCTGGAAGGAAGGATTTGTTCTCTTTTTCAAACAGGATTTCCCCTTTTCTCACTTGGAACTGGGTGGAATTACCTGTCAGGATCAGCTGAGACACAAACTGGGGGCCTCCTGGTCTGTGTGTGGATGCCACTTGTCAACAATTTATCAAATTTGTTACCTCAGTTGCCAGGAAGCAACTGCTTATGGGTTTGTCCTTCTTATGGGTTTGCCAAGGGCATCTGCCTGACTACCATGAGAAACAGAATACTGGACTGATCCTGCATGGCTTTGCTTATGTGTCTGTGGGTGACCATTCATGGCAATGTTCTCATGGAGAAGCTGCTAAAATGTGGACTGGACGATGTAGCTGTTAGGTGGATTTGTAGCTGGTTATCTGACCAAACCCCCAAAGTGCTCATGAATGGTTCCTCATCATCCTAGAAAAAAGTAGCAAGTGGGGTGGCGCAAGGTTCTGTCCTGTGCCCGTTGTTGTTCAACGTCTTTATAAATGACTTGGATGAAGGAATTGAGTGGATGCTCATCAAATCTGTGGATGGTAAAAAAGGTACAAAGGTAAAGGACCCCTGGATGGTTAAGTCCAATCAAAGGCGACTATGGGGTATGGCGCTCATCCCGTTTTCAGGCCGAGGGAGCCAGTGTTTGTCCACAGACAGCTTTCTTAGTCATGTGGCCAGCATGACTAAACCGTTATTGGCGCACGGAGGACCATGACGAGTGCCAGAGCACACGGAAAGAAGACAGAATTGGGATCCAAGATGACCTGAACAAATTGGAGAATTGGGCCCAAACTAACAAAATGAATTTCAATAGGGACAGAAACATCATAGCCAGACACTGGAGAGACCTGTCAGCAGTAAGCATGTATCAATGAAATCAAACAGTATAGGAAACAGCCTTATTAGAAAAACTAACCAATAAACTGAATGTGACACGGAGACAAATAGAAGAAGACGTCTTCACATACACAGCCCAACAAGACAACAACAAGAATCTGCCAACAGCATATGAATCAATATGACTAACCTGATACAAAAATACCCACCCACCCCACTCACACATGGAAACAAAGTTCACCACAGCCAATCACAAACAAACAACCACACCCTAGGCCAACCCCAACCGCTCTCACCACCAAAGTAACACAAGTGAATAGTAGAGAGAACCTGCACAAGTGACGTTGACACAAAACCCCACACATACATTAACTAGAATAGAAGCTTTGCCACCCAACCCCAACCCCACTCACCATGCCCCCTCCACCTCTTTCTCCCTTTTCTTCCTAAAGTAACACTAATGTCTCAAGAAATGAAACTGATCTGTAGAAAATGTAACTTGAAAAAAGAGACATTGCACATACTTTTGTAAACCAAGAAACCTTTAATAAAAAATATGTTTGAAGCTGGAAAAAAATAGGGACAAATGTAAAGTTCTGCATTTAGGCAGGAATAACCAGATGCACAAATATAAGCTGGGGGGCGGGCACCTGGTATCAGCACATGTGAAAAGGATCAAGGGGTCTTAGTAGACCACAGGCTTAACATGAGTCAACAGTGTGACGCAGCATCAAAAAGAAAGAAAGAAAAACTAAGACTATTCTAGGCTGTATCAACAGAAGTACTGTGTCCCTATCAAGGGAAGTAATAGTACCACTCTAGTCTGCCTTGGTCAGACCACACCTGGAATACTGTGTCCAGTTCTGGGTGCTACAATTTAAGAAGAACATTGACAAGCTGGAACGTGTGTAGAGGACAGGGACCAAGACAATCAATGAGGAACGACAATCTGGAAACCAAGCCTTATGAGGAACAGTTGAGGGAGCTGGGTATGTTTAGCCTGGAAAAGAGACTGAGAGGAGATATGATAGCCATCTTCAAATATCCTAAGGGCTGTTACATGGAAGATTATACCCTTTCTCCCTTTCTAAAATGGCACAGACCATTTTAGGCAAAATTGTCTGCTTTCAGATGTAGCTGTGTGAGGCTTTTTGTCTGATAAATAAAGCTCCCAGATGCAGGTAATGTTTAGAAAGGTCTTATATTCAGAATAAGATCCAAATTATTCAACTCTCCAAAGTTTAGGAACAAACTCCAGTTCCTGTTAGGATATAAAAAGCTGCTGCTGTTGCTTTTTTACTCGTTTGCTATTTCTCCCCTGATTAGGCACTTCTAATCTTGGGAAGCTCAGAAAGCCTCCTCCAGAGGCTGTGAATGAAGAGCAGAACGGCGTGTTCCAGCAGAAAGCAACAGGGCAGCCATCCACTCCTCTACCCTGCAGACTCCTTAAGAAGGGAAGGGGAAGAATCTACTGCTTGTAGGTGTGTTAATGCTCGGAAACAAGAAGCTAGGGAGTCAGCAGGAGTCTAGTGAAGCGCTGCTAAGGAAGAAGAATCGAAAGTGTCTTGAGTGCTTTTGACCTGAAAAAGGAAGGCGAGGCGATGGGCTTGACTTTTGCAGGAACCAAACTGTGGCTTGTTTAGATCCACTTCGTTGAACCTCGGAGTTGTGCAATTCAAGATTGCCATTTTGTCTCTTTTCCAGAATCTAACCTAAGGCTTCCAGTCTGTTTATCTCATAATAACCATGGCTGCAGAGGCTAAAATCCTTGCACGATCTCTCAGGCTAAACAGGTGCTAACAGCTGAGAATCCTCGAGTGGAGGAAGGAGGGATTTGGATTCAGGGCCAAAGCTAGGCCAAGACTAGGGATGGAAAGATCTGTCAATTTTGGTTCTCTCTCTCATTTTTCCAAGTTTTCAATCTTAAATTCGGTTCTCCATATTTATACAGGTGACATATGCATGCAGTTGTAAACGGCACTTTTGTATAATGGCAAAAGTGGCTGGTTGCTATTAAAGGTTCATTGACCAGTCCACATTCATGACAGCTAATCAAGTCATGCCCTTCCTCTAAAAGGGCCTTAACTGTAAGTAAGCATTTGCTAGCATCACCACCGCCTCCAAAGCCCTCCTTTTAAGCTGTGAGTCCCTGCTGCTGTGTGTCACCTTGGTGCCTGTCCTATCCCTCACTCTCTATCTTGTGCCATGGTTAGTTGGCATCTATCTTTTTCCACTGCTGTTTCTCTTTTAAGATGCTATCCCAATCTATGTTGGATGCTCCCAGCTCTGGTCTTGACTAGGGATGGGAGCAGGGCTCGTCACATCTATCAAATACTGTATGCACTTTCAGGAACAATATGAGAACTGAAATACAGCTATCCCGCAATATTTGCATATATCTGAATTTTGCAATCCAGTTCTCCAACCAAACACGGTGTATGAAACCATATATATTAGGGGACAGTGTGTATAAAATGGAGATACTGAAAATAACACAGAATGCATTGTATTAGGAGAAATTGCTGTTAAAAAAATTGTAAATAAGTCAAAACGGCAAACAAAAATATATTTCTTAGGAGACTTTCGCAATACAATGCTGGAAATTTCTTATGGACTTTTTATGTGTGAGAGAAAATTAACTTGTAATATCTGGATTTAAAGATTGAAAAAATACTGGTTTACAGAAGATAGAATGGCTGGATCTTAATTAGTTAGCTGCAGGACAGAGACCCAGAAGTCCTTTTATCTTCCCTTTATCTTTCCTCTCTCTTTCTCTTCTTTTGCTTTCTCTCTCTTTAGGTCTGTCTTTTCCCTTTTTTTGAATTCTTTCTGCCCTTGTTCTTTTTAAGATTAAGTAGCTGTTTTATTTCAGCATATTATAAAAAGATACTTTGTAATAGGTTTGTATTTCTGTATATCTTTGAGTAAACACACACACACACACACGAGACATCAGCATATTGTAAGTTCAAACCCAACATTGCTAGCTGTGGAAGCTGCTGTCAAAATTTAGAGCCATAAAATGAGCTGTGGGAGTGAATTATGGGATGGAGTCACAAGCAAACCAATATAGTTTATTCGTTTCTTCCTCCTGGAGTGACTAACTGCAAAGATCAGCTCCTGCTTCTTTTGCAAGATTGCCGAGTGATGGTGGGTGGATGGAGGAGCTACTGGCTGTGACAGTGGAGGCGCTGGTTCGATCTGAGCTTTGCAGTGAAGCTTGCCAGGTGACCTTGGGCATGCTGTTTCGACTTGTCCTAATCTGCTTCACACGTTCATGGTGTGAAAAATAAAGGGGACCAAGGTCTGTCTTGAGCCCTTGCGACAGAGTGACAAGACAAGAAAAGCCTTTAAACATAAAGGCTGTGAGGGGAATGAGGAGTCCTTGAGTGTGGGCACAGATCCAAAACTGAGCAGGAAAGCCTGCCTTGCCTGCTCTCTTGCCTTTAACAGCTTCTTGATGTGCAGAAATCAGCCACTGAAGCTAATTTCTTAGCATAGAGATCAATAGCATCACCTGCTAATGTCTTCTCACTGTACTTAGGGATACCCATGTATCCATTTGCCAAATTTCCAGGGACCAAGTGCCCTTGTTGCCCGCTCAGTACAATGAGGGGATCCTTTCCCCTCCCCGGGCTCTGGAGGGGGCCCTCTCAAATTGTGCCAGGCCTTGGAGCAGGCAGAAGATTCTTACACTGAGACTTGGGCTGCTTCCACCTGTTTCAAAGCTCAGTGTGATATGCAGGATGCTTCTTCCCCTCTGCCAAATTGTCCAGCAAACCAGAGGACTTGTGAGGTAGGGTGTGGGGAAGGAGACAGTGGTGACCACAAATTATGGCTGGCACATAAGTCTGAATTTGAGGAGCGCTTTCTTCTCACCAAGCTGCTGCTAAAGGACAGCCCTACAGAGTTCACAGTGGTTGCTTCAGTGCTGTGGTTTACAACCAAATAAACTAGTATAGCCTACTAACTCCACCTCTCTGAGTTCGGTTCCAAAATGTTGCTGGTAAATGGGAGGGAACTGGCTCTGCGTACTTTTAAGGGGAAGAAAGGCAGTGCGGAGATCCTGTTCTAACTGGGGCTAAAGTGAACATCCAGCCATAAACTGCTGGCTGAGGCAGCTGTAAGACGGTGAAAAGCAATTGTAAGTATCAGACAGAATGCTATTCAATTTCCTGGTTCTTAACTGAAGAGCCCCACTTCCCAAGCTGAAAACAAGTCCTTCTTTGGAGGTCTTTCTAGGTCTCTAATCTGCCTTAACTGGCTTTTCTTTATTATTATTTTTAATTAATTTTATTGAGAGTTTTCAACATAAGATACAATGAAAACTAAACCAAAGTAAACTAACTGGTAAAACTGGTAAATCTAACTGGCTTTTCTTTATAGCGCCTTTTAAAGCTGTTTGTGGCTTGGGTTTCTTTGCTGTCCATATGCAAGAGAGCAAGCATATCTTTTCAGTCTGTGTAGACTTTCAGGGAATGTTTCTTCAACTGCTCTGTCCTATCTAGTCTGACACCCCCAAAACATTAATAGATCTGTTTTTAACATTCCCGTTTGTTCTACCTTACAGAACTCACCTGGAGTGAAAAGCATATAGTGAAATAGGATAGAACACCCCCCCCCCCTTTTCATTCGGTAACTATTGGACTAAAATCTACATAGGAAGGAACATAGGAAGGTGCCTTATACTAAGTCAGACCATTGGTCCATCTAGTTCAGTATTGTCTACACTGACTGGCAGAGGCTCTCCAGGTTTTCAGCAAGGAGTCTTTCCCAGTCCTACCTTGGGGTACTGAACCTGGGACTTTCTGCCTGCGAAGGAGATGCTCTGCCACTGCATTATATGGCCCTTCCCTTCTCTAATCTTTGCTTTCAGAAGTTCCACCAAGTTTCCAAAAGGCATAACCAAAAGGGACCTTCTCCGGAATCTACCTTCCACTGAGTTGGGTTATTGATTCACCTTGCCTCTATTATTGGAAACTTTGTAAGGATTGTTATGGCTGATATCCATTCCATAACTTTTATTAATCTTTATTAAGATCTTTATTAAAAAGCACATGTGTTCTTACCTGATTTGCCTGGAAATGCATTTAGAACGAGGCATGACAGCTGCTGTGCCAACACAGTCTTCAGCCCAGACTCAGCTGGGGTCAGCAAACTTTTTCAGCAGGGGGCTGGTCCACTGTCCCTCAGACCTTGTGGGGGGCTGGACTATATTTTGGAAAAAAAATATGAACGAATTCCGATGCCCCACAAATAACCCAGAGATGCATTTTAAATAAAAGGACACATTCTACTCATGTAAAAACACGCTGATTCCTGGACAGTCCGTGGGCCGGATTTAGAAAGTGATTGGGCCGGATCTGGCCCCCAGGCCTTAGTTTGCCTACCCATGGGCTAGATGATAGGTCTGGCAAATGACAGAAACACCAATGTACTCAAGAGCTGGTGGGGTTTGGGGCATTTAAAGGTGAGCCTACCTAATTTTCACTTTTCAGAACAATATGTGAATGGCACAACCATTCTTCTAAAGCCACAATTATTCTGAATTTTGCAGTCCTGTTCTCCAGCTGAATAATGTATACAGAAATGCATATACCCAAGTAAAGTGTGCATAGAAATGCATATATTAGTGAACATAACATACCAAAAGCATTTTACTGAAGTTGCTTTGCAAATATGTTTTTTTTAATTAGGTAAAATTTCATGCAAAAATGTGTATAAATTATATTATTATATTAGAAATTAGCATTAAAATGCTGATTAATTTTCATGAGGACTTTTACAAATATGTATTCACATACTGTTATGGAGAACTAAACCTAAGGTTGGAAATCTTAGAAACTAAGAGAAACCAAAATTGACAGGTTGACCTATCCCTACTCTGAATACCAGATGCTGGGAACCACATGGGAGCAGAGCACTGCTGTGGCACTCATGTCCAACCCAAATGTTGTTTTCCACTCTGGCGCTGCTCAGGCTGCTGCTCTGTGTGCACCCTTACCTTTCTCCAAATAACTTCTCAAGCCACATAAGGTAAACAGGAGAAAAGGGGACTTTCAAGGGAAATGCAAAGGGCTTTGGGTAGAGCTGAGAATAGCAGATATTTATGTAATTCTGTGCCCTCAAACATTTGTACAATGGCCTCAGCAAAATGACCACCAGCCCCCAGAGGAGGGCAAAGTGATTACATGTCAGAGAAAGCACAAATTAGCAAATACAGCAAAACCTCCAGCACTGATTTTGCTAAACTCAGGCTGTGGTGATAACAACAGCTGTGTCAGCAGTTAGAGGGCAGCTGTCTATACAGTTTCCTCTACTTTTAGAAAACGACAACACTATACTGTAGACATTTTCTTCCGTTTCAGTGTTCCTATGAAGGTAGCCCTGGTTTGTAGCCAATTATCCCAGGAGCTTGTGAAATGGATAATTATTCTGTTCCTGAATGTTCCTGAAAATGCTTCCTTTTGTAACAAGAACTCCAGTTTGTATTAGGGAAGCTTTCTGTTCTGTTAAGAACATGAATGCTTCCTTCAGTGCTGGAGGAAGTATGGCCCTGAAGAGCAGTTGCTGTTACACTTAGTTCCTGCTTTCAGATTTATTTTGGGGGCACCTGGTTGGCTACTGAGAGAACAGGATGCTAGACTAGACAGACAAGCTACTTCTTTTTTTATTTTTCCTTGCTGCACATGCCTAATTATAATTGATTTGATATTCCATATATAATGCAAAATTTTCTTCTTTTATTATTTATGTTTCCTATTTCTGGTCGTCGGTATCACTCACTGCTAATCTATATTGGATGTTAACCTAGACGCATATTCGTAAAGGCTGCTTGCTGTTTTGCCAGAAGATTCAGTAATGTTCTTTGCAATATCTGAATGGCAAAAATCTGTTTTTAGCACTTTTGATTACAAAGATACATATACAGTGGTACCTCGGGTTAAGAACTTAATTCGTTCTGGAGGTCCATTCTTAACCTGAAACTGTTCTTAACCTGAGGTACCACTTTAGCTAATGGGGCTTCCCGCTGTTGCAGCGCCGCCGCCACACAATTTCTGTTCTCATCCTGAAGCAAAGTTCTTAACCCGAGGTACTATTTCTGGGTTAGCAGAGTCTGTAACCCGAGGTACCACTGTAGTTTGTTTTTATGTAATGGGCAATGAGCCCTTGGAGTTTGTGGGAAATCATTCTTCCTGGTTCTCAGTTACCTTTCATCCAATATTCCAGAAACTGTCAACTAGTAAAGTAAATTATTGCCCTCATAAGGAGAGATGATGATTTAAGGACTAGGGAGATAATGGTGGTCTGTGGAGCAGGGAGCACAACCGTAGTCAATTTTGCAAAACTAGGAATGTTCCTCATTAGAGACATACAGCAACTAGGACTGTGGTTTAATCAAATTCTGGTTACCAAGAGCTCTTCAATTGAGAAGATCACTAATGGCAGACAAGCTTCCCTGAAAGGCAGCCTGTCCACCACCATCAGTATCATCTTCAATTATTTTGAAATTTTCACAAATGTCAAATTTGCTCTGTAGGTCTCCCTGGAGCATGAAATATTTTGGCTGATGATAGTTCACAACATTACAAAAGCATACAAAGTGCCAGATAACACAATTCAATTGAAAAATGATTATTATTTTATTTGGCTACAGTCTTATGTTTGGCTGCCACTCTGCTGTCTCTCATTGCCAAGGACAGCCCTTGTTTTCTGTTACCCAACTCCGGTAAATCACAATCACTGCTCCTATTTCTGTCTCCAAGGAAAGGCCATGTTGAAATTCAACTAGCAGTAATTTGCTAACATTGTCATTCTTCAGGGTTTAGTATCCCTGCCAGAGTCTCTAGAAGTTAATTCTCTGCATGGGGGATGGATGCATCTATAGTGAATCTGTTTTAAAGCTTGTTTTTGATGCTATTTTTAATGACTATTTTATACCATTTTATATAAACTCCTTAGAGGGTTTTTAAAAAAGTGATATACAAATCTTGTTAAATAAAATTTATTTTTTTAAAAAATGTGCATGAACCCTAATGCTGTAATCCTAGACATGCTTACCTGAGAGTAAGTCCAACTGAATTTTAATCTGAATACTGTATAGGGCTTTGTGCGCTGGTCCTAATATCTTGAACTGGACACAGTAGCTCACTGGGAGCCAGTGTAGTGCTGTGAGTATCAGTGACACATAGTCCCATTAGACTTAGTATTCTACACTAGCTGCAGTTTCTGGACCATCTTCAAGGGCAGCCCCGCAGAGAGTGCATTGCGGTAGTCTAGACATGTATAAGATTGCACCGCAAAGTACCATGCAGGGTTTAGCAGTGGCCAGAGGATTTGAGAAGATCAGTCTACATCCCAATCCCAAAGAAGGGCAGTGCCAAAAAATGCTCCAGCTACCACACAATTGCGCTCATTTCACACACTAGCAAGGTTATGCTTAAAATTCTACAAGGCAGGCTTAAGCAGTATGTGGACCGAGAACTCCCAGAAGTGCAAGCTGGATTTCGAAGGGGCAGAGGAACCAGAGACCAAATTGCAAACATGTGCTGGATTATGGAGAAAGCTAGAAGCTTCCAGAAAAACACCTACTTCTGCTTCATTGACTATGCAAAAGCATTTGACTGTGTCGACCACAGCAAACTATGGCAAGTTCTTAAAGAAATGGGAGTGCTTGATCACCTCATCTGTCTCCTGAGAAATCTCTATGTGGGACAAGAAGCTACAGTTAGTACTCGATATGGAACAACTGATTGAATTCTGGTGCTGGAGGAGACTCTTGAGAGTCCCATGGACTGCAAGAAGATCAAACCTCTCCATTCTGAAGAAAATCAGCCCTGAGTGCTCACTAGAAGGACAGATCCTGAAGCTGAGGCTCCAATACTTTGGCCACCTCATGAGAAGAGAAGACTCCCTGATGTTGGGAAAGATGAAGGGCACAAGGAGAAGGGGACAGCAGAGGACGAGATGGTTGGACAGTGTTCTTGAAGCTACCAACATGAGTTTGACCAAACTGTGGGAGGCAGTGGAAGACAGGAGTTCCTGGTGTGCTCTGGTCCAGGGGGTCACGAAGAGTCAGACATGACTAAACAACTAAACAACAGCAATGCAGCTTCCTATGTTCCTTTTGCGGAAAGCCCTTCTCACCTGCTGTATTTGTTTATTCTTTATTGTTGTTACGAGATATGCCTGAAAAATAGAGTTACTCTGCGATATGTAATCAACAGTTCAATATATTCTGCAGCAGCTACGGTATGTGAAATGGCATCACACGGGGTCTAGCCGGCTGTTTTGCATTCTGCAGCTGCTGAGGAATATTTTGAGCGGTCGATCAAATCTGCCTTATATCGATCAAATCTTCCTTTAGCCCTCCAACCTTAGTATTACCTGCAGTAACTGGCAATGGCTCTCCAGGGTTTCATACAGGAGTTTTTCCCAATCCATAACACGAGTTGCAGGATACTGAGCCCAGTAGCTCTTCAGCATGCAAATGAAATGCTCCGGCACTCAGCAAAACCCTTCCCTAATGTGTATAATAGCATATGTGTCTTGGGCAGCAATTCATGGTATCAAAATTCAGGTCCTACACAAGCATGTCCCTAGATTCATCTGTGAATCGTGGGAGGGAGCAAATGTGCAAATAATTGAAAGTAAGCTCTTTTGAAAGCAGACCAAATATACATAGGATTGGCCACTAAGGTCTGAGTATGCCAGCAAGCACATTCCTGGGGTCTAAAATTTTCTCAAGTAGGAGCTCTGCCCTCAAATGAAAGGGGATGGCCTAGATTTCTTCTTCTATAATATTTCTTAAAATTCCAAAACAAGTGGACTGTGATCTGTGGTTAAGATCAAAATGTGCTTATTCCATAACATGAAACATACCACAGAGTGCCTCACTCGACATTACCTGCTTTCACTGTTCATACTGAGACTAAAGTTCCACTGTCAAGAAAAGTGTGTGTGTGTGTGTGTGTGTGTGTGTGTGTAAAACAGCATCTATACATAATTAATTAGCATTTTCTGCATCCTATTAAATAATGCTGGGAGGGCACCCATTTGTGACATGAATTAATTATGGCACCAGCAGATGAACAAATTGTTTTGCAGGAGCTGCACAATATTTCTGCCACAAACAGTACAGAGTGCCTGCCCTATCATTCATCCAGATGTCGCTGAAATCACATGGCAGAGCAAATGTCGTAGATTAAGCTGGCAGCTTCTGAAAATTGCACTACAGTTTGCAGCTCCTGCAGCAGTCCGGTTAGTGGCAAATGGGTCTCCCTGTGGAGGAAGTGGCTTGAGGATCACAGTCACTGGCAATTAGTTCTTTGCAGTTCTCCAGGGCTTGTTGTGTAATATTGCGGTTTAGTGTAAAAAAAAAGTTTTGGATTGGGACCCATGGGGCCAGAGTTCAGATCAGCCCACATCCAGACTCATCTCTCAGTCATGGAATAAGCACAACTACCTCCAGTTCAGAAATCACCACTTCTGAGGTTGAATTGACCCAGGGGCTTATTGGACTGTGTGGTTAAAGGATCCTGGATTCAAGGTGCATTAACTGAGTTAAAACAGTTTTAAATCAATTACTTTTCTTTCCTATGCCAGTAAAAGGTTAAATGCAGAATGTACCATAACCTTTCCCCTGATTTGTAGTGTAGCTATTCACTGCTGTTGTCTGCACTGAGCCATTGTGCCATTGAGATGAATTTCTTCACAATATATTTTATCCAGAGTTCTTAAAAGGAGTGATTTCTCCTTTCCCCAGTTAATAGCAGCACCCAAGAGCAAGTTGTACTATATGTTTCACAAAAGGTGGCTTCATTAATTGATGGAGCTGTCTGGATCACAGATAATCTGTTGAACTGGCTTCCTTCCTATAGTTTAGATTGCTTGTAGAAGCTGCAGCAGCTTTTGGGCAGGTTGACCTGATCCACGTGCAATTGCAGAGTATTTCCAGTCCACCTCCAGCGTAAATTCAGAATATCTTGAAGGCAGACTGGAGGAAAATACTGCTGTTATGATTTCTTGCTTGCTTTTTGTTTGTTGGTCAGTGAAATTCTAAAATGAAAGGGTTGGGCTCTGTGCCTGTTTGGGTATGACTCTGCATGCCTCTCCAAACCTGGAATATTTTATCCCTAACCTCAGACATAAGAGACTGATTATGATTACTCTAGTGTAATATACTCTGTACAAGAGTAGAGATTATTGCTTTACATTTTTCAGGACTGAGCCACGCATTACAAATGTGTTTTGCTGTGCTCTGAGGTGCCCTGACTCATATGAAACAATTTTTTTTGCCTCTTAGGTTGAATACGTCATTCTTTAATTTTAGAGAAAAGGAGGGGAAGCCCAAAGGAGAAGCATGGAGACTGGGAGAATGGATGGGTGATGGCGAATGCCCTTCCCTCCTTCGGAGGCCTTGGGCAAACTGCTGGGCTGGGCTAGAAGCAAGTCTCAAGTATCTCACAGGGACGGTGGGGGGAGTTGCATCCTAAACACCTAAAATTGATTTCTTCAGAGCACATCAGCACATGTCCCACAAGGCAGTGGGTGTGGATTTTTCCTTGGGGTTTACTCCCAAAGCGTTTCTCACGAGTAAGTATAGCCACAAGCTAGCAAAAGTTTAGGACCAGTGCCAGATTTACGTATAAGCTAAACAAGCTATAGCTTAGGGCTCCGCTCACTTGGGGGCCCCCAAAAATATTTAAAGGAAAAGAACCCCTGGATGTACATTTCCAAAATATAAGATAAAAAACAAATAAAATAAAACCTACAGACAACAACCGTGTTTTGTGTTGTGTAGGCTCCTTTAATGTAAGCAATGGGCCCCGCCTGCTAGCCTGCTCCCTGAAATATCACTGGTTTTCTCATTTCTATATATAGGGTGCCTACATTCTGCATGGACTGGTTGTATGGCAACCTGTACAAATGGCTTTAGATACCCATTAGGTCCATAAATTACCATATAGCATATATTCAACACAAGAAACAGTGAAAACTTGTTGTTGACAATGGACAGCTGGACATATAAAGGGCCCCATTACCTTCAGTAGCTTAGGGCCTCACCAAACCTCAATCCGGCCCTGTTTAGGACCAGAGTACAGTGGCAACTCGGGTTACATACGTTTCAGGTTACATACGCTTCAGGTTACAGACTCCGCTAACCCAGAAATAGTGCTTCAGGTTAAGAACTTTGCTTCAGGATGAGAACAGAAATAGTGCTCTGGAGGCGTGGCAGCAGCAGGAGGCCCCATTAGCTAAAGTGGTGCTTCAGGTTAAGAACAGTTTCAGGTTAAGTACGGACCTCCGGAACGAATTAAGTACTTAACCCGAGGTACCACTGTATTTCTTCTCCTAGATGGGCTGCCTTCCTAGGTTAACAAGCCCCATCTGCCCGTCATTTTCCTCTACATTACAGCATGTGCAGAAACTGCCTTCTTGACTGTTTGACCCACTCTTGGTCTCATCCACTCAATCTGCCAGAACCTGTCTTTGCATGCAGGGGAGTCCCTAACTCACCAAGGTTTTGAGAGCCATCACCTGGTTTAGCTGGCCAATTGAAGCTGCTCCTGGGGTGTGGCCCCTGTCACATGTGGACAGCTTCTAGGAGCCACAGATGAGAGCTGAGTGGGCACCAAAGGTGGACCAACTACCCCAGAAGAAGCACGATGTGCCCCTCACCAGAGGTGCTACCCCTCCCCTAACCCCCCCCACACCCATGCACACATCCACATACCCACCCGCACCTACCAGTTATGTTCAACTGTGGCAATGAAATCTATGAATGAATTATGAATGCCTTCAGGATTCTGATATGGGAAGTGCTGACAAATCCCATATAATTCACACAGGGAGTCCTTGAGGATGTTCCACACTATTTATTTGATTGTCCTGTTTTTGACAGTGTATATGCAAAATTTCTCATCTCTGCAGAGGTCGTGAATATTGGTCTAATTTACCAGGGGGGGGGGAACAAATTCCTGTTCCCTAGTGATAAACAAGTAGGTAATGCAGCAAGCAACTAGCTACCTTTGCTCTGGCAATAGCAAACAAGCATCCAGTGCATTTTGATATTTGCGGATGAATGAAATTTACATGCATTCTATAAAATGTACTTTTGCTATCTGAATAAATGAAATGGTGACCGAGGTGGAGTGTGAAACCCATGTCTGAAATACTGGAATTTTACATCCTTGAAACTTCATTATTTATTTGTCATTTTGACTTTGATTGTTAATTGCTGTTACACTCCGTGGCCAAACAAATAATTTAAACTGCAGATTTGTCACTGTTATGCTCCACGGCCAAACAAATAATTGAAACTCTGTAACTTTGTTAATTATGTGTTGAAGTATATGTTGCATGACTGAGATGCAAGTTATGTTCTTCCCATAAAGAACAAACAATGGGTGCTTTGCTTATCACAGAGTCGTTGGCTTCATTGATTGCAAAGAGGAAACCACTCACTTTTGTCCTTCAACAAGGAAACCTTGTTCTATAGAACACTTCTGAGAAGTTAAATTTGATTGCCCTTTCATGTTTTTTTTTTTTAATGTAACTTTCTTTGCTACCGTAACCCCTATCAAAAATGTGGAAAGTCCCACTAACTTTTATGGCAGTTGAACTTTATTTCCCGGAGCTCCAGTTGACTTCAAAGCGTGTGATAAGTAAACAGTTTTCAACGTCTCTTAGAAACTTTGTCCGCTTGAAAGGTCTCTGTAATAGGGTCAATGTCTTCATTTGAAAGGAATGACCCAGCCGCTGCTGCCATTTTGATGTCTCCCACTGTGAGAGTTTCTTCCTGATTACATTTCCAAAGTGAGGCAAGGTGAGGCAAGTCCTTTTGAGCATTGCAGTATTTAGTCCTTTATCCAGGGCTATGTGAACTCTATACTACAATCAAATCAACATTTTGCTATCCAAATACCGTGGTACCTCGGCTTAAGAACTTAATTCGTTCTGGAGGTCCGTTCTTAACCTGAAACTGTTCTTAACCTGAAGCACCACTTTAGCTAATGGGGCCTCCCACTGCTGCCGCGCCGCCAGTGCGCAATTTCTGTTCTCATCCTGAAGCAAAGTTCTTAACCTGAGGTACTATTTCTGGGTTAGCGGAGTCTGTAACCTGAAGCGTCTGTAACCCAAGGTACCACTGTACTGCTCCAGTAAAAGCAATTCTACAGAAATAGGCTTCAGAAATTAACTAGTGGACTCACAGGGTCTTTCAAGATGATCAGTTCAAGACACAGTAAGTGGGCAACACAGACAAGAGCAAAGTTCTGCATTTAAGTCAAAACCGCAAAAGTAGGTGCACAGGCATAGCAAGCAAGCAGGGTACCTGACTGGGGAGTAGCATATGTAAAAAGGTTGTTGGGGAGGTAGTCACTTTCAACTGAACATGTGTCAGCATTGTGATGAAGAGAGAGAGAATGTGAGTTTGAGAACAGCCTTGACCAAAGGTGTCATGGGCTTTGAAGACACTCAAACTCGGGATGCAAGGGAGAAACGTGCTAAGAGTAAGGCATGCTTGGCAAATCCACACCGTGATCAACTCCTGCCCGGAAACCAATGTCCCCACTGTGGAAAGACGTGTGGGTCCAGAATTGGCCTCCACAGTCACTTACAGACTCATTGTTAAAACCGTGTCTATGGAAGACAATCTTACTCGGCTGCGAGTGATCACCAAAGAAGAAGAGGATTCGTTCACAGAACCACGGTTTTGAAGTATTGGCTCTACTATATTCCATTTTACAACGTCATCCAGAGGTTGTGTCCAGTTCTGGGTGTCACCCTAAAAGGAGTATAGAAAAGTTGGAGTGAATTCAGATGAGGGGAACTAAGATGGCAATGGATGTGGAAAGCAAGTCCAAAGAGCCGGGGTAGCTCAGTCAGTAGAGCATGGGTCTCTTCGGACTCAGCAACACAGGTCAATTTGTAATGTTAAAAACGTGTTCTAAAAATGTGACACCGGTTGGCGCTGTAGAGGAGAATCCAAAGTCAATGGCAGATTGCCTGGGAACGTCTTTTCTTCATATAGAGTTTTTAATAGCGGTTTGTTTTTTTTAAATATATCTGTATAGATCTAGCCTTAATCTCAGGGTCATGGATTTGAGCCCCATGTTGGGCAAAAGAATCCTGCATTGCAGATGGGTTGGGCAAGATGGCCCTCATGGTTACAGCTCTACAATTATATGATTCTTTGAGGAAAGGTTGAAAGAACTGGGTATGTTTAAGCTGGAGAAGAGGGCCAAAAAAGCAGGGTTGTTGCATAGAAGAGGGCAAAGACTTGTTTTCTGTTGTCCAGAGGGTGTAAGTGTAAGGATACGGGAGGAGAGATTTCAGCTGAACATTAGGAGAAAGCTCTTGATGGCAAGAGCAGTCTGACAGTGGAACCCAGTGACCTAGGGAGATGGTGGTGGGCTGTCTGTAAAACTGCAGGTGTTGAAGAAGGCTATGGAGCCATCTACTAGGGATGCTTTACAAAACAGTGAAAATCCAACAGGGAAGGGACCAAGTGACTTCCACTATCTGGGTGCTGTGCCTGAAAATGTCCTTTCCTGTATCCCAGGAAACTGGTCTTTGGATGGCAGTGGGATGTGGAGCAAGACCGCCAGTGAAGAATACTGTGGGATAGCAGACTTATGAAGAAGAAGGCATTATTTTGCTCCCAAATCCTTCAAAGCTTTATAGGAATAGACAGCCCAGCTCCTACTTCCTCTCTGTCATTACAGCTGAGCTGTTGTCATGCAGTTGCTGCAGGAAAAGGGGTAGCGGGACGCTGCACTCAGAGTGAAGCTACGGTTCTTGCTTCTTTGAAAGGATCTGAACAATCTCTCAAGATTTATGTTCAGTTCTTGAGGAGAAGCCAGAAATTACAGGCAAGATAAATTTGCAGTGCTGTGTAGAGCATTCGCCATCTGAGCGTTGCAAAGCGATTTATGTACAAACATCTAGGTAATTAAGCTTCAATGTGAACATTCTCTCCCTTTTTAATTAGCTTCATGTGAGTAATTTGTTGATACTTGCACAGTCAATTTAATTACATTAACAAGTCGGAGTTGCTTGCTGTTTTGACACTGCAGGGCAGTCCTTGGGGAACTTTCTCCCAGTGGCAAAGTATGTATATACACGCAGACCTACTGTCAGAGAAAAGGTCTGTCATTTTTGGTAGCTCTGGTGACTGAATGGTGACAAGGCTGGTCAACATTGTGCTAGGTAGACTCAGCCTCTGTGTTGTCCATTGTGGGGTGCGGTAGCCAGAACTGCACAAAGCACTCCAAGCGAGGACATAGCATTGTGTAGCGGTTAAGGTGTTGGGCTGGAACTGGCTAGGCCCGGGTTCAAATTCCCACTCAGTCATGAAGTTCATAGGTGACTTGGGGGTAGTCTTAGACCAACCCACCTCACATGCTCGTTGTCAGGCTAAGAGAAGAACCACGTATGCTGCTTTCAGCTTTTGGTAGAAAAGAGGGGATGCAAATTTAGTGAATAACACTAAAAAAAGGCTGATGGACTGACTCGTTCTAATAGGGCAGCTTCATAGGCTCATATGACTGCAGGCAGTAGTTTGTGGGGAAGTGGAGTGATTAGTTAAAGCCATTTCCATTTCAGTCCCTCTTCTGGATTTCTCCTATAATTGAATAGGTTTGAAAGAGCCACAGCTCGCTATTCAGGAGTTGATGAAAACTATTTACAAGTGTCAGCTGATGCCATACAGCGTGTGTTCTTGGATTGATGCCTTGTGCTCATTTTCTTTCTCCTAAGAGTTACAGAAGCATCATGGTTTAATCCAGCTCTGCTTGTCTTGACAAGATCAAGCCTGACAGCAGAAATGTGATCAAATTGCATTAGCTTCTCAATTTTCCTCATTCTTAGGGGGCAAAGAGAATTATAGAGAAATAATGAAGTATAATATATCAAATATTCCTCCTTCCACATTCACATTAGTGCTTCAGATGATGTCCTTATAGAAATACAACAGCATTCTTTATGGGCTTCAGAGTTCTTGCAATTGTGATTATCAACAGCATTGATTTTTCCATGACACCTTAACCCATGTGAGTCTGTATTGGTGGATAAGGAAATTGCCACTGTCGTTCTACAACTGGGTGTGTGGGGTGTGTGGCCTGACCCACAAGTGCTGGAACAAATTCCTCTGTCCTCATTTAATTCCACACCTTCCAACATTTCTCTGATGAAAATAGAGATGTCCCTTCCAAGGAAAGTGGGACATTTTGGGATCAAATCAGAAACCAGGACAACTTCTGTAAATCTGGGACTGTCCCTGGAAAATTGGGACACCTGGAGGGTCTGTAATTCATCCCTGAGGCCTGAGAGATGCAATGAGAGCCAGTTGCTCAGGGATCTGTGAGGCCTCAATGTCTCTTGGACAAGGGTAAGACTAGTCTCCACCCACTCGTAGTGTAGCTGGTCCAGGCACGTCCAGGCACGTCCTTCATCGTCACAAACCAGATACCTATAGCAACTCTGCAAGCAGGGCATGACCACAACAGCACTTTCCATACTCATGGTCCCCAGCATTTGGCAGTCAGAGGCAAGGCGGTTCCGGTACTAGAAGTATTACTCAATGGTAATGGATAGAAACTATTGAGATTCGAGTACTCTGCTGCCGAAAGCTTTTATAGAAATGTGATTTGTCTCTTTCCAGGTTCTCTGTGCATGGTGGAGTTTGGTGTGCTTAGGGGCAAAGTGCATGTTACATGCTAGCATGTTTAACCAAAGCCTACTGCCATTTTTTTTTTTTAACTTAGGGCTTGGCCACACTTCCGCTTGTCCCATGCACGGGTCCGAGAGGTCTTCCATTTCTCCTTTGCTTTCTAGGTACGTCTCTGAGCGGTTTTGTGTTTGTTCTGCCACTTTCCCAGGGAAAACCCACTGTATACTGCTGAATTGGAACAAGCATCAATCCACAGAAAAACTAATTCATGATTTTTTGATTTTTCCCCGATTCAGCAGTAAACAGTGAGTATTCCCAGTGGGACAAGCACCCCTTAGGTAAAGGTAAAGAGACCCCTGACCATTACGTCCAGTCGCAGACGACTCTGGGGTTGCGGCGCTCATATCACTTTATTGGCCGAGGGAGCCGGCATACAGCTTCCGGGTCATGTGGCCAGCATGACTAAGCCGCTCCTGGCGAACCAGAGCAGCGCACGGAAATTGCATTTACCTTCCCGCTGGAGTGGTACCTATTTATCTACTTGCACTTTGACGTGCTTTTGAACTGCTAGGTTGGCAGGAGCTGGAACCGAGGAATGGGAGCTCACCCCGTCGCGGGGATTTGAACTGCCAACATTCTGATTGGCAAGCCCTAGGCTCTGTGGTTTAACCCACAGCGCCACCCACATCCCTAAAGCACCCCATAACCCCCAGCAATTAATGGGCTCATTCTTATTGACAAATATGTTTGTTGTGATTGCCCATGAGTCCTGTTGATGCTTACAGTCTCCCTCTGAACAATGTCATGCTGTGCTAAACCAGGTGGAGAAACTTAGGTACGACTTTTAACAGCCTGATTTCTCTTTTGCAGAGACACAAAGCACACACTTAAAAAATGGCAGACGAAAGGAGCAGTCGTCTCTTCAAACGAATATCTCATGCAGGCTCATTTTTCACTATCAAAGTAAGTACCAGGAGCCAGATTAATCCCTTCTGCCCGATCAGAGCTCCAAGGAAGAAAAGTACACTGAAGTGCAGTTTCCTTTCTGCCAGTGGGTGCTTCCAAATGGCAGCTTTGAAGGGGTGTATTGTTCTAATCCAGCAAAAGTTTTTTTAAAAAAATGATATTTATTGAAAAAAGAGTTTTTTTAAAAAAATTACACAAAAGAAAAAACAAGACAGAAAAATAAAAAAATAAAATAAAACCACCATTCTCCAATTCTCCACTTTCAATACCTTCTTTCCTTGACCTCCTCCTCCTCCCTTTTCCTGTATCCTGTTTTATAATAATCACAGCAAATCCTTTCCATAATTCATAGTATTCTGTCATCACATTACCTTGATCTATTTCATCTTATCTTATAGAAAACCTTAAAGTTTAAAACTTAAATCTTAATTTTTACCAACTTCTCCTAAACCATAACATTCTTACCTAGTTCTTTAGACATTTTTATAAGAGCCAAATAGTTTCATTTCAACATTTTCCTAACATTCATCAATTTTATAAGATAGTCCTAATGATAAAAATAAAAGAAAAAAGCAATCCAGTCTTCATCCAACGTCCCTTCCTCCTGGTCCCGGGTTTTGTCAGTCCTTTTTGTCCTATTAATCTAGCACATTAACCTGGCAATCTTATATCCGAGGCCCTCAAGTCTCTTCCATGTCCCTTCCGTAACTCTTCTTTATATTTCCCTTTTATTCGTGGGAACTCCAGCTTGGTAGTGTTTTTGACCCTTTTCAGCAAGACGATCCCTTTTCCATAGTCCAGGATAGGCTTGATGTAGTATTTACAAGCATGCTCCAGATTCCCTTCAAAATTGAGAGCCCCCACAGCTCCAAACATCTGACGGCCCCTTTCCAGACTTGAAAAGTCCAAATCTCCCTGTAAAGGGGGGTCTATCCAACCCCCCATTTCCAAACCAAACCAGATTTTATCTTTCCAAGTCTGGTTTTTTCCAAGTTCATTTATCAAATCCAAGAGTTTATATTCCTGCTGGGCCGCAGCTCCCTCCGTCTCTGGCGCCCAAGATTCAGCAAGGTCCTCTTCTTTCAGTTGTTCTGTCATGGCATGCTCCTGTTTTGATTCCTGGGTGGGCTCCATATAGTTTCCCACTACCTGTTCAAAGGTTCTGGCCGCATTAGTCATGAAATCCGTCTTCTGACTTAACTGATCCAATAGGGCATTTATTTTACAGAAAGCACCCAACAGTGCTTCCAAATGGCAGCTTTGAAGGGGTGTATTGTTCTAATCCTGCAAAAGTTTTTAGAAAGGATAAGCTGAATAAAAAGGGATGCACAATGGAAACCAGCAAAGGGTGAAGGGAAGTCAGGGGATTCTGAGAATCCTAAATATAAAGGTGATTGATATGTTTAAATGGAAATACATCATGTAAAATTTAATTTAATTTTTTAAAAAAATAATAATAATAATGTGATTTTCATTAGAACCATAGCATGCCAGGGCAAGGTTAACCAATCCCCTCCTGTAGGATGCCTGCTAGTTATAGTTTTGTGTTTTCAAAAACATTTTTAAACGATGCACACAATTTCAAACAGCACATTTAACTTCACGACTGGTTTGGTGATCAGTCCCCAGAATTGCAGGCTTGAAAGGATTTCAGGAGGTAGGACTGGAAAGGATTCCTGCTGGGGCCCCTGGAAAGCTGCTTTCAGTTAGAGAAAGCAATATTGAGTTCAGTCGGCCTTCCCCAAGCAGGTACCCTCCAGAGGTTTTGCACTACATCTGTCAACCCCAACCGGCACATCTGCATGGTGCTATGACTGATGAAAGCACAGCCAGGCTGGCTGGGGATGGTGGGAGTACAGAACAACTGGAGGGTACCAGCTTGGGGGAAGACTAGGCAAAACATCAGTCTGGTGCAGCATGAGGCAGCTTCACATGACATGTTTTAAGTTTCTTCTCAAACTTCCAGAAGAGCTCAAAATGAGAATAAGCAGCTCATGCTGTGGCCTTTTTGTGCCTGAGCTCTCAGAGCACATCTGTTACCTGCTGGCTCACTTGACCTTCAGTGCCTCTCTTGCACTGGAATCCAGAACTTGCTTCTAGGCACTTCAAAGCCACCTGCCCACCTGACCCTTTCCTGTGTCAGAGAGGAAGCTTGGCTGTTCCGGCAAGCTGGCTGCAACCCCAGGAACTCTTATCTTTGCCTTTGTGAGCAAAAACATTCCAAGCAGGTTGGAAGCTGCTGCTTCCAAGATAGTGGACTTTTAAAAATAGATGTTCGTTGCATGTGTAAAAATGTAAAACACCCCGGGGTTGGCTCCCTGCTTCCCCTTTTCTTTAAACTGGGGTGTGGGGGCGAACTGTGGAGAAAATGTTATTCAGTTTGCAGTGATTATAATTAGTTTCCACCTGGTATTCAAAACTTTCCAAATTTTGTGCCATGTGCAGCGAGTGAGCAATGAACGCACTGAGATAAGGAATGGGTTAAACATGTCCACCATTTTCTTTTTAAACAATTTTTATTGGTTTTTAATCAAATACAATAACCATTAAACACTTATCCAGCAGTATAGCTAATGGTGTTTGTTTTATCCATTGTCCCTAAACATACACTTGCACATTCAACATTCAAACATATTACTTAACATCACCTCTCCGCTGAGAATATCCAGCGTTTGGTATAAGAAGATGTTGATTTTGGTCATTAATATAGCTAAAGAAAGGGGTCCACGTTTCTTGGAAGGTGTCTCTATTTGTTTTGCCTTTAATTGCCCTCCTTGTGTCTGGGATACAGACATTGCTGTATCCCAGATATTGTTTCCCTATATGTTCAGGGATATTTCAATCTGGCACCATTTTCATTTATTATAATGATAGTAGAGGTGTGTATGGCATAGGGCAAGGATCCTACTCTCGGGCAGTGCCACTGCTGGCTGCTATCTCACATCCCACCCTGCTGACTCAGTCACCATCAGGGAATTGCCAGACACCTGGGCCCACCACTGAGTAGATCATTCTGGTGGGACCCTCCCCATGCTGAGGATGAGGCCTTTGTGCAGCCCCACTCAAGTCACCCTATGGGGGTTCCCCCAGTCGATTATGGTTCCTTGTTAATGACACACACACATCCTGCCATTATTTCAAGTTGCAACAAAACAAATCTAATGATAATGGCACTTAATTGAGTGTTCGATAACCTGGCTGTTTTTAAGTCTTCCAGATTAGTTGCTCACAACAGTTTAAAAGCCCACAAGAATAAGTGGCATGAAATTAAAACACCTCTGATCATTTTTTTTAAAGCCATGCACACAGGTTTTAAAGTCTGTGTCAAATCATCTTCTAACTTTAAGAGGGTATCTAAAGTGATGTTTGTAGGGAGCCACCCTTGATTGTTGAGACTTGGTGTGTGACAGCAGAAAAGCACCACCATTTTGAAAGGCAGCGTCAATATGTAACATTAGTGTGACTATCACACATGCAGGTTCCCATCTTGTATTTATTGCTCACAAGCAGTCTGTTTTTTGTGCATTTGCACACACAGTTAGTGGCAAAAAACAAAAACCGCACTCATTCCTTGAGCTCCCAATCCCTCTATTTTGCCTCAGACTAAGAGCCATATTACTCATAGAATTGTAGAGTTGGAATAGACTGCAAGGGTCAACTAGCCCAACCCACATGCAGTGCCGAAATAAAATTACTCTTTGGTCAGAGAACCCAAACAGAGATTTTAAATCACAAAACATGCAGCAAAATAAAGTGTGGAAATGTAGGATGGAAGACCTTTAAAATAGGCCCTTGTGAGTTCCCAAACTTGCCTTTTCCCTGAGCACAGAAAAAGGCCACACCTTTGGTAAGTTAAAAATGGTTTACTTACAAACCCTCCGAAGGTCATATTCTTGTGCTTTTCCATACAGCATTCAGAAAAAGTTGCACAGGCAGTAAAACTTGGCATATTTCCAAAGTGGTGAAAGTTCCTAAATTATTGGCACAGGAACTCAGGACTGGCTTGTAAGAGCCATGCAGTCTGAGCTGCAGCAACTAGCTGAGACCTCCTCACACATTGAGCTTCTCTGGAACAAAAGCTTGATTAATCATTTCATCCCAAAGTGAGGGGAGTGGATATAGCTAAGCCAGGCAGGACAGTGTACAGTATTAACCCCTTCATGCATTAATTAGACCTAAGCATGTTGGTTATTTGAGACTGGTTATCCCACAGATACATCACAAAACATGATAGTTAGAACTGGGGTTTGGGACCACAGGTATTTGTGACAGGGAAGGGAAAGGAGGCAGAGACTTGGCAGGTGGGTTGGAGAGCAGCTGCTGTGTGCCCTGCACAGACTACCTAGTAAGGAGCGAGTCAGGACTCGTTACTCCCAGTGCGGCAGAACAGCCTCAGGTTTCTCAGGTTCCATTTTGATTTTTGTTCATTCTTTTTCTCTCCTTCTGCAGTTCTTCGTTTTTTGCCAGGGGTTTCTGCAGTTCTCTCAGCTGATGACGTCTAGCCTTGTGAAAAGCTCCATTTCCACAATCGAGAAGCGCTTTGGACTGTCCAGCCAGATGGCCGGCACCGTGGTCTCCTTCAACGAGGTACCACCTTTGCTCCTTGTCCATCTTTCCTCCCCTGCTTTTATCCTTTCATAAGGATGTGGCTTCCCCAATGTCCTAAGAGGCCTCTCAACCTCTCATCTCACTACCCAGGTGGGGAACACGCTGCTGATCATCTTTGTGAGTTACATGGGCTGCAGAGTCCACAGGCCCCGCTTCATTGGCTATGGGGCCGTCCTCGTCTCCATGGCTGGTCTGGTCATGTCGCTTCCTCACTTTATCTCAGGACCCTACGAATATGATCGCTCCGTTACTGGTAAGGACTTCCTATGTATGATTTCCTTGGGTACCTTTTCACCACGGAGGTTCGCAGTTGGAATTGGGGAAACTGTTGATTCATAGAATCATAGAAACATAGAGTTGGAAGCGACTCCAAGGGTCATCTAGTCCAACCCCCTGCAATGCAGGAATCTCAACTAAAACATCCATGGCAGATGGCCGTCCGATCTCTGCTTAAAATCACCACCTCCCGCGGGAGACCATTCCCTTGTCAAACAGTTTACTGTCAGATAGTTGAGGTAGGTAGCTGTGTTGGTCTGACTGTTGCGTTCGCAAAGTAAAGGAAGGATTGAACTCTGATTAATAAGAATACACACAGAGGCTTGAACCAGCAAGACTCTGGGAAGGGTGAGTATAATCGTGTGTGTCTCTGTGCCTGTCCCGTGTGCAGCCCCTGGCCCAGGTAGTTTTATTCACAAAAGAGCTTTTTACAGAGTGTTCATAAGAACCAATCAGATTTCTTCTGAGCATTTCCACAAACCCACGTGGGGAGAAAGTTAAACTACTAAAACTAATTAAGCACAAATATTTTTGGGGTAAACAAAGAACAGAACTACAAAGAAGAGCATCTGGCAACCCCGGAGGTAATAAACAAGCAATACATATGATAAGAAGGATGGCCAGGAGGACAGTGACCATTATCCCCTTAATGTGAGATCTGCTTCCTGGCCCTAAGATTAACATCCTACATCAAATAAACTTGCCCACTATCTTTATGCCCCAGGATGCCTGCCTGGCGAAGCAACTGCTGTGTACATGACTTATGAAGAGAGAGAAATGGGCAGCAGAGGGAAAAGGGCATGAAAAGGGCATGAATGTAGAGTCTTATGGGATTTAATCAGAAATTATCGTCAATATATCAAACCCAGTCAACACAATGCTTTCATCGTGGACACGATGGCTTGATGTATATTTTATAATTCCTCATGGTAATCCCATCTGATCCCTACACTGACGCAGTCGAAATAAATTAAAAAATTGTCCAGTAGCACCTTAGAGAACAACTACCCGGTAAGTTTGTTCTGGGTATAAGCTTTTGTGTGCATGCATCTGAAGAAGTGTGCATGCACTCAAAAGCTTATACCCAGAAAAAACTTAGTGGGTCTCTAAGGTGCTACTGGACAATTTTTTATTTTGTCAGATCTTCCTGATGTTTTGTTGGAATCTCCTTTCTTGTAACTTGAAGCCATTGGTTCGAGTCCTATTCTTCAGAGCAGGAGAAAACAAGCTTGTTCCATCATCCGTAAGACAGCCCTTCAGATATTTGAAGATGGCTATCATATCTCCCCACAATCTCTACCCAAATCTCCTTGGCTAGCTTTTCAGTATGGAGGTTCACATTTGGAATTGAGGGGGGAAACTATTGATTCCCACTCTCATTTTGCATTAGAAAACCACAGACGATCAAGCCAAGAGTTGGACATTGACACACACCCAATTCCATTTTTATTTTATTTTATTGGTTTTTCAATTATGTTTTATTATACTTACTTACAGCTGTACAACATAAACTTAAATTCATTGTTACCAATAAACTAATACATTTAAAAACACACACACAAAAAAAACATTTTGACAATAAATTCTCTTCTCAAGCTAAGTTAGAATCTATTGCCAATTTCAGCTAGTCTGATGGGGGGGCAATAATGAGGGTCTCACTGCACATTCCATTAAACGAATAGCTTGAGACAGTGATGAGAGTGGGTTTTCCCTTCTCTCCCGGTCCATGATTCATAAGAACATGGGAAGAATCTGCTGGATAAGGCCAGTGGCCCCTCGAGTCCAGCATCCTGTTCTCACAGTGGCCACCCAGATGCCCATTGTGGGAAACCTGCAAGCAGGATTCGAACACAAGAGCCCTCTCCCCTCCTATCGTTTCCAAGCAACTGGTGGAGGCACAGCCATAAGGGCTAGTAGTCATCGATAGCTCCCTCCTCCATGAATCTGCCTAACCCTCTTTTCAAGTCATCCAAGTTGGTGGCCATCACTGCCTCCACCAAACCTTCAACAAGCCTGCTGTTCCAGAACCGGATGTGGAGACTGCAGCTGAATGAGTCACAGCTCTAGGCAGAATTTTGGTGCCGGCACAAGGTGTCACTGTATTTGAGACCCAAAAGTCCACCAATGCAGGGCCTTCTGGGCCAGTCTCAAAGACTTGGCAGTTTCTGAAGTAACCTGGTCATAAGCCACCTATCAGAATGCTCCTCCTTGCACGACTGTGTGCTGCTGTAGCATCCTTCCACATAGAGGCTGGGTAAGAGAAGATGGTAAGAGAACAGAAACCAGCTTTGTGTTGTTGTTGCTGTTGCTCAATAGCTTTGTTTGCTGTGCCCAGTTCCAAAGGGAGTTTCATCCAGCAGTAAAACAATAGATGGGTGTGGCAGTTTGATAGCATCTCCTTTTGCCTCTACAGGTTCTGAAAGTACCACTTCAGACATATGCCTCCCAAACCGGAATGAGACAGAAGTATGCACTAAATCCGAAAAGAAAGAAACCCAAGTGGTTGTGATGCTACTCTTACTTGGGCAGACCCTGCTGGGGATTGGCGGGGTCCCCATCCAGCCCTTTGGCATCTCATACATTGATGATTTTGCCAGTAAGAGCAACTCCCCTCTCTATATAGGTAAGATGCTAGAAACAAAGGCTAGCTGCCCAGGCTAGTGCCTTATACCATATAGGCATCTTGTCTTGAGTTGTGACCTGCAATGCACCTGAGAATGGATGAAGGAGGGCCCTGAGCCAAGGAAAGAAGAGATAAAGCAGCGGTTCCCAAACAGATTGTCTGGATGGACCACAAACAAGAGGCTTATCCACTAATCCTCTTGTCCCGCTGTTTTTCCCTGGGGAAAACCGCTTTTCAGCACTCAGAGCAAATGGCAATTCGAGTTTTCCCCAGATGGATGTTTGCTCCAGTTGAGCGCTAAAGAGCTGGTTTTCGCTGCGAACGGAGTGGATCAAGGGGGAAACTGAAAGCTCGGGACAACTGGAAGTGTGGAGGAACCCAAAGGCCAAACTAGATGTGTTAATGTTAATGTTAATGATGTTAATGTTAATAGCTGGGAGGAGGGATTTTCATCAGGCCTGCAGTGAGTAAGGAGTTAAACTTTTTCTTCTCTGTTGCAGTCCCAACAAAAATTGCTCCCCTGTCGCAACCCCCGCAAAATGATTTACAAAACCAGCAGTCAAAGCATAAAATAAATTTAATCATAAAATAAAACAGCTGGCAGGAAATGAACCTTGTAGTGGGTGCTACAGTTGAACATGAGGCTGCAAGAGGCCTGTCCGGAGGCTGGCTTTACAGTTTACTTTTTGGGTTGAAAGGGACCCTTATCCCCAGGCAATGGTGGTATGTGTGTGTGGCTTTTTCTAGGTGATCTCCTTTCCTTGAGTAGATGCTGACTATGTTTGTGATTTTTTCATTTTACCACCAGGCCTTTAGTTAGCAGGAAGCTTCCCACCACCGCCACCATACTAAATTTACCTTTTTAGTTAGCCTGGGCAGGAATTTGCCACCTTTTGGTTGGGTGGGGGTACAGCAGCCTCTGTCTGGAAAATTTAAAACATGGCATGGACTTGCCACTGACCTGGATATGCATCTGCACATACACCGAGCCATCTACAAGACTGGGATGATGCATACATACCCAAACCGAATCTAGGGTTGGAAATCCCCTGGAAAAGTGAGTTGTGTGAATCCACCTCATTATTCCAATCCCACTTAGAGGATAAACTGTTTAAATATTTTACCACAATCAGGGTGGTATATACAGTAAATGTTAAATAAACTCGCTGGGACAAATTTTGAAAGATGCTTAGTGGGCTTGCTACTTGAGCAGAAGTTCTGTTTCCTTTTTTACAGGAATCCTCTTTGCTGCAACTACAGTGGGTCCTGCGTTAGCATTCATCGTGGGGGCAGCTACGTTGCGCTATTTTGTTGACATCGATAAAATTCCCGCAGGTGAGTTAACAAATGTTCTGTGTGAGCATCTTTGTGAGTGAGTAAATCTCGCAGACACAGAAGGAAGGAAGTGTGGGCCAGAATTTGTGCTTCTGCTCTGATGTCTACCACTATGTCTGGTAATTGTGTTCTTCTTCTTTGGCGATCACTCGTAGCCGAGTAAGATTGTCTTCCATAAACACGGTTTTAACAATGAGTCTGTAAGTGAATGTGTACTTAGCTGAAGTCAGCACTACTGACCTTCCTGTGTCTCAGAGTGGAGGTTTATGACTTCAGTCCTAAGCCACCGGGGTTCAGATTTCATAGAAACAAATGTACACAAAGACAGGCGAGCAAATGGAATCTGCTAGTGTAGGAGATGGGTTTAAAAGAACCAGGGCTCACTGAGCAAACGACGTCCTTCACGGGAAGCCACTACAAGATGTGCGGGATTATAGGATGTCAAACACAGTTTAAAATGAAGATATTTGTGCCCTGACCCCATAGACATGCATAGCACATTTCACCAGGGATTTGATTCCCTCTAAAAGGGAAAAAAATATTGAACTGATACTCATAATCATAAAGGATATTATTTTTATTCACCAAACAAACAAAAGAAACTAAAACTTAGCTAAGCACTGGTTTTTAAATTAACAACTAAACTTTCCCTGAAAAATACCAACTTTAAAATTAGACAACAAAATATTATTTTGCTGTAGTGATATCAGGTGTTGCTGTAGTGATACAGTCAGTTTTCATGTTCTTTATCTTTAAACAGATAATGAGCTAACCCAAATTGACCAAAACAGATTAAATTTTCTTCATCTTCCTGTTCTAGAGAATGAGAAGTCACTCACCAGGTGTAAGCAAAATGTGGTGAGTGGTGAGATGGAGACAGAGCCATGCAACAGAGATGCAGGCAGAAGAAAAAGGCCAGAATGGATCTGCAGCTTCCACCTGTGCCACTTCCAGAGACAGACACAGGCAGACACCACAGATCTATTCCAGCCTTTTTATGCCTTAAAAGGTGGTGTAAAAGCAAATCTGGATGAGCCTGAGTCTATGTTCCTGGCAAAAGGGGTAGGCAGCTGTTGAGGCCTCTGAGAGTTGTGCTATCAGCCACCAAAGCACCAGCGTATCTTTGAGCTCTTCCATGTGCTTTGTGTTTCAGCGGACATTCACATTAATAGCAAAGATCCACGATGGGTTGGAGCCTGGTGGCTCGGTTTCATAATTTCCGCCAGCGTGGTCGCCATTGCTTCAATACCTTATTTCTTCTTTCCAAAAGAGCTGCCTAGAGAGGTAAGGACACGCTTGAGAATAGCTCTTCTCAAGGCACGATCTTTTTCGTCTTGAAATGGAAAGTAAGGCAATTCAAAACACTGGCGCATGAGCCACTTCGGCTTAGTGGGTAGGGTGCTGGGCTTGGACCAGAGACATCTGAATCCAGATTTGTGCCCTCCTGTAAAACAACCATGGTGCTCTAGGGCCAAGCCCTGTCTCAGTCTAACCTTTTTAACCCACAGGGTTGTGGACATTTTTCTTGCATTCCAAAATCTTAATAATTTCCATTACTTTCCATTTAGATATAATAATTCCTTATATAAGAGCTACAATCTTGTGATTTCATTCATGTTGGTATATTAGGTAATTTATGACGTTCCAAGTGAGGAACTCTAATTGTAATCCTTATTCTTTCTTGCGTGTGACATTTTCCTCCCCCCAACCCATGATGTTTTCCTGTCCATATGGTGTTATATCCTTCATTATTACAACTGTTTATGGTTCCCGTCATGTCTTGGGAGAAGTGGTTATCTCAGTTTCCAAAAGTCACTGCATCACTTCGTCAAGCCATCTTCACCATTTTTCCAGCCTAGGAAGAACAGTCTGAATTCAGACTGCAAATAGTTAATCCAAAAGCTTCTATTCCCATAGCTGGTAGACTCCTTTCTTCCCTGCTGCTGATTTATGGCCAATTGTCCTTATCTCAAACACATTCCTTTGTGGATAAAGGAGGTTAGAGAGGACTTTGCTCCATATTTTCGAAGCATAGTGTTTTTCCCCTCCCTTCCCTCTCAGTTCCTTTCTCTCATGCATGTGCAGTTCCAGTTTTGTTAAATTCCATATTTATATTCCAATTTTTTCCTTCCACACTTGTACAGATTTTTTTTAAAAAAAAAACACCCTGCATTCAGGGGCGGGTTGCCATATCATAAATGTAGAGAAAAACTTTGATATAAGCAAAGCGTGAGCTCCTCTCCCCGCATTGTCTCTTTCACCGAATGAAATCCCCTCTCAATCTAAACCTTTTAAATCCTTGTAGCTGGGTTCATTTTCACAGTTTTTAATCTCACCATCTCTAGAAGGCGCCTGTAGTTTATTCCAATTAAACAAACCCAATTAGCAGGATAACCTGTGCTTCCAGGAAAGGGATTGGGGGGGCGGTCGCGGTAGCCAAACTACTCCATGCACCCAGTGCCTTTGCCTGCCCTCACATTCCATGAGGAAGAGAGTGCCAGACCGCCAGGCAAACTGTGGGTGAGAGCAAGGTCCCTCTTCCAATCAAAGAGGAATGCAGAAAATGCAATTCCCCCATCATTTTCTGATTATCTCCGTCTGTCTCGCTCCACGGTGTTGGGAGAGGCGTCCATCGCCTGGCACACAGGAAACAGGAAGCCCAGACAAGCCATTCATGAGTAGGTGCACCGTCAAACTTCAAGTCGTGAAAGTGGAAGCGGGTGCGAGTCTCACGACAAAGTATGCTGGCCATGTGGCAGAAGGATGGCTGAGTTTCTATCTTTGTGTCCTGTGTGAGAGACAAGGAAGGCCCAAACCTTTTAGCTGCTTAAAGTGAAGGAGAAAATGGTGCCTCCACAAACAACGTACAGAAGACCAGTCATTGAATGTTACTTCATCACTGGCAAATAGACAGTGTCCTCCTCTACACTTGAGGGCAGCAGACTAGCTTAGGGAGCACAGAGCAGGCACATCAGTTCTGTTCACTCCCTGACCTTCAGAATCTGCCACCTGAGGTGGCCACCCCACTTTGGCTAATGGTAGGGCCAGCCCTAGGGACGTGGGTGGCGCTGTGGTCTAAACCACTGAGCCTCTTGGGCTTGCCAATCAGAAGGTCGGCGGTTTGAATCCCTGTGATGGGGTGAACTCCCATTGCTCGGTCCCAGCTCCTGCCAACCTAGCAGTTTGAAAGCGGGAAGGTAAACAACGTTTCCATGCGCTGCTCTGGTTTCGGTGTTCCTTTGCTCCAGAAGCAGCTGAGTAATGCTGGCCACATCACCTGGAAAGCTGTCTGTGGACAAACACCGGCTCCCTCGGCCTATAAAGCGAGATGAGCTCCGCAACCCCAGAGTTGTCTGCGACTAGACTTAACTGTCAGGGGTCCTTTACCTTTACCTTTTTTTAGTGCAGCGGTTCTCAACCTGTGGGTCCCTAGATGTTGTTGGACTACAACTCCCATCATCCCTGAGATCTGGCCTTGCTAGTCAGGGGTGATGGGAGTTGTAGTTCAACAACATCTGGGGACCCACAGGTTGAGAAAGGCTGTTTTAGGGCCAGCCCTGGTGAGAGAACACCAGGAAATAGAACACTGAAGCAAAGAAAGAAAGGTGATGAGTCACAGATATATATCTGATCCAGAGGCATTCTTAGAGAAGGTGAAGATGGGCTGTGAAGGGTGGCAGTAGGGGAAGTCTCATTTGTTTGCTAAGTTGCTTCCCCCTTGATTATGAGCAGTTTCTCCAAAAGATCAGATCAGGCAAACACAATCTTCTGCTGAGGCAGAAATGCTTGCTTTTGTGAGCTCTGCGGAGTGATCACTGGCAAACAGTTTGCTGCGAGAAGCGTGAAGGAGAAGCAGCGTTTTGAAATGAATTGCTCTTTTTCCAGTGAGACATAAAGCCGAGACCCTGGTTGCGCCTGATTGTTAACAATCCCTTGGCATGCGCTGTAAGAGCAGCAGTGATAAGTTTTGATGTCCTGGCCACTTCCCAAGCTGGGTAATTGCTTTTTTCCTGCCTCCGCTCCACCTGCATTTCTCAGTGGAAGCCTCAGCCCAAGTGGCCTGCAAAGTTTCATCACGATGCAAGAAGCCCCAAGAGAATGTCCTGTGTGACGGTCATGGTTTCCTGCTCGTGAGGAGGGGTCAAACTGAAGCTGAGGCAGTGGTAGGGGGAGACAGATGCTTAACCCTTCCCTGTCCCTCTGGTTTTCTGATGCAACTGCTTTCCCCAACTGCATTCCAGACATGTTTACCCTCGCAAGCCTTTGTAGGGTAAGGTTACCAGATTTCCCCCCAAAGAATCCAGGGACACTTTTTAAAAAAGGGGGGGGGGTTATTAAAAAAAAAAAGTAATCTCTTCTGTGGTCTCCTCTGTTGTGTAGCCTTCCTCTGGGCCCCACTTGCTCTCTTGGGGTGCTAGCCACCTTGGAGTAGGCTCAGGTTGGGCCTGGCCTTGACCACGTGTCCTTGCCCTCCCGGTGCTCTCCTACCTCTCCTCCTTAGCGGCGGCAACAGCAGCGTGGCCAGGTCGGGGCTCCCTCTTTTTTCTTCTTCCTCTTTTTCTCTTTCTCTCTCTTCCTTCTCCTCTCTTCCTTCTCCCTGCATCGGCTCCAGGGTTTTCCTGGCCCCGGAGCGCCGCTGGGCTGTCAGCCGGGTGGTTGGGCGCTTTCACACCCGGCTTGATTTGGGTTGCGGGGGGGGGGGTGTCCAGCGGTTCCCCCTTGGCAGCAGCAGCAGCGGCAGTCTCAGCAGCCTGGAGCCAGCCTGGTAGCGCAGTTGGCTCTGGCTGGCTTCAGGAGCTGCTCCTGCCGTGGCGCCTGCCATTTTGCCTGCAACATTCATTCCCTACTAATAAATCTACAACACTTAAAATATAAATCCGGGGACATTAAATGAAATTCGGAGACATTCCGGGGACAGGTTTTGGCCAGGGACAGATTTGTAAATCCGGGGACTGTCCCTGGGAAACAGGGACGTCTGGTAACCATATTGTAGAGGTTGGGGTGAGCAGCAGTAGAGGAAAGAAGTGATTTCAGGAGTGGGGGGTTAAGCATTCTCACCTGCTGCTTCTCCAAGTCTCTTCCTCCTGACGCTGCTTCCCAGAACAAGCCATTGCCAGGGTTTATACATATACACACACTTCCATGTAATGAGTGTTTTAGCTTTCATAGTAAACCAACTGTACTTGTACCGGCCAGATTCAGCATTCAGCTACTAAGTGCCATGAAGCTGAGAGCCAGGCCAGCTAAATGTCACTTCACCAGAAAGACAACGCAGGCATTAACCTCTCCACGGAAGGATATTTAAATGGATCTTTTCTGCCTTTAAGTGGAGTGCTGACTTTGCTGCATCCATTTGATTTTATGCCATGCTATTTGCACAGAGTCAAATTGATTTGCCCCTAGGGAATCTCGGGGACAGGGCCGTCCACTGTAACAAAGTCCACAGAGGAGATCCAATAGCCTTAACAAAGAGAAGGACAAAAACTCTCTTCTAGCCTTTTCCTTGGCAAAATAGCGGATTTGAGGAGAACAAGATTACAAAAGCAGCAGAGTGATAAAAGGATGTTTTATGTTGGTGACCTCACTGAGTCTTCGGATTTCAATCTCCCTTTCTTGGGCCAGGTTATTAAGCAGGTGGTTATGGACCAGGAGGAGGAAACTGATTTTCTAGATCCATTTCAATTGGGGTTTAGGCCCAGTTTTAGCACAGAAACTGTTTTGGTCATTCTCTATATGATGACCACTGTTGGGAGGGAGACATGGGAAATGTGTCCCTGTTAATTCTCCTTGACCTCTCAGCAACTTTTGATACCATCAAACATGATATCCTTCTGGAGTAGCTGTCTTGAGTTGGGGTGGCGGTGGCACTGCTTTGTGGTTTCAGTCCTGCTTGGATGCTTGCTTCCAGAGGGTGATGCTTGAGGAGTGCTCTTCAGCTCCACAGAGCCTTCAGTGTTGAGTTCTTCAGGCCTCAATTTTATCCCCTAGGAGGTTTAACATATACATAAAACCACTAGGTGGGGTCTTTCAGATCTTTGGAGTATGTTGTCAGCAATGTGCTGATGACACAACAACTCTACCTCTCCTTTACATCTGCAGATGGGGCAGTGGATGTGCTGGACTGTTGTCTTGTCTTGCCTCGGTAATGGACTGGATGAAAGCCAACAAACTGAAGCTCAGTCCTAAGGGGGCAGTTCCTTAGACTGGATGATTGGGAGGTTACCTGCTCTTGATGGGGTTACCCTTCCTCTGAAGCAGATTTGTAGCTTGGGGGTGGGTACTCCTGGATCCCAAGACAAATACAACGGTGGGTGGGATTGCTGACTTTTTTTCCTGGATGCCCCCCCTTTAAATATATCTTTTTTTGGTCAAATGCATAAAGCTGAAATTGTACAGGTTAAATGGATGGAAGCTGTGGGTTGACTCTGTGTGCACGTGTGTGTGTGTGTTATACCCCTGCTGAAAATGTCTATGGAAATCTGTGGGTGGGTTTGGATCAGACTGAAGCAGAATGCAGTTAGCTAATCCAGTGGAAAATGATTTGAATCAGCCAGCTACTAAACTTATCAGATAGCTGGCCTATAATGGAAACCGATAAAATACTAAGTGTGCAGTGGGGTTGCATCGCTCTGCGGAAACAGTGGGTTGCGGTCGTGTGGCAAAGGAGGCGTAGCAAAAAGGGAAACAGCAGTAGGATGCAATTCTGACTGAAGCGGGGGAGGGGGATGAAAAGTGAGGTTGAGTTCATCTGAGTTTGGGAGTGAGATTGACAAAGTGGACTATGGAGAGACCAAAGCCCAGCTTTAAGGACTCCTGGTCTTTTGCGCAGGATTCTCGCTTTGGTGGACTGATCCAGAGGTTTCCCAGGAATATTACTGTTTCTTTATTTATTGCATTTACTAGTATATTACACCCCCCCCTTTTCTCCAAGGAGCTCAAGGGGGCATACGTGGTTTATCCCCCTACTCATTTAATCCCCACAAAGTCCCTGTGTTTAGGCTGAGAGGCAGTAGCTGACCTGTGAGCTTTATGGCCAAGCAGGGATTTGAAAGCTGCTCTTCCAGGTTCTAGTCTGACGCTCTGACCACACTGACTTGTAGCCTTGTGTTTATGTCTAATGCAATGTCACTTGCCCATTTCTAGGAAGAGTCGCCCCAGAACAGCCCTTCAGAAGCTCAAAACAACGACTTCCTACCCGGAAGAAGTAAAGAAAAAGAACTGAAAGACTACACTCTGAAACAGTTCATCGGAAGTAAGCTTGTGTTTATTTGCCCATCTAGAAGCCCTGCTCGTCTCTGCATACCCAAGTTATGAAGCCTACACATGTCTTGGTTCACACATTACACAGGCACCCATGTTTCCCCATGTAGGCATGAATCTTTGGGCTATTTGCTCCAGAGTTTGTTGCACACCACAGAGGTTGCTGCACTCACTTATTTACTTGAGAGAATTTGCAAAAACAAATAAATCCCAAGTAATATGGCTTTGCATCTTGAAGGACCGAATGCAGTTTTGGAGTAGAACAAGATTATACACAGGTTACCCTAACCCACACAACCTGAACCAACCTGAACCAAGAACTTGTACTTAAACTGTGTACACATCACCTGCTTAAAATGCAGCTAGATTGTTTATCAGTTTGGATCCAAGTGAGTTTAGTGTGATATTTCATAAAGAAAAGACAAGGATGGATATCGATTGTGGCTAACGTCTTGTGTGGAAGCAAACTGGATGCAGTTTGCATCACTAACATATTACTACTAGAGAGAGAGGTTTCTTGCTGTATAAGTTACACAGAACATGTTAGTGATGTGGCAAGGTTAAATGGGGGCATAGACGGACCAGGGGAAGGCTCAAATGCAATTAACCTGGGTTTGGACTACATGAGGACAGAGAGATAGTGAGATCTAGGAAATGAAGATGATGGAGAGAAAAAAGAAATGGCAGGAATTAACTGTTCCAGAGAATGGAGAGAAAAGGGGTAGGTTTCCTACAGTCCCAAGTAAGCAGCCTTAGAACCCTTCCAAGTTGAATCAAAAATCCAAAACTTCATGCCCAATTACCTGGTTTCTGTTTGTTTAATTTGTTTTGTGACAGCAGGGAGCAGTGCTCTCCACAGATCTTCATTGCCCATTATGGACTGGTATAATACCCAAACACTTTTGGGCTTCAGCTTAAAAATGAATAAATTTCTTCCTTTGGCCTTCCAGGTTGCTGTTTCTATACCTTACCTGTTATTGTGTCTTCTGGTTGCTTCATTTATTTGTCTGTTTGTTTGTTCTTGCACATCAACAATCAGTACTGAGACTAAGTTCACTGTTGTTTTGTTATGTATGTTGTGTTTGTTATTATGTATTTCTTATTTGTCCAAGAAAATTTCAATGGAAATCCATTTCTATTTGTATAAAAGATAGGTTTTCCAGAGAGCACACTAATGTTCCTTTAAGTTTCATGATTAAACTGCTATAACATAGAGAAGAGGCAGAGAGATGGGGAGAGGCAGTAAGGTGAAGGGAGGACTACGAGAGCTGAGGAGGTCCGCTCGCATGGGCATCCAAGCAGGAATTATTATTCTTGTTATTGTTGTTATTATTAAACCCCAACCACCTGGCTGGGTTTCCTCAGCATATCTAAAAACATAATAAAAACATCAAACATTAAAAACCTTCTGATACAGGGCTGCCTTCAGATGTCTTCTAAAAGTTGTGTACTTCTTTATCTCCTTGACATCTGAAGGGAGGGCACCACTACTGAGAATGCCTGCTTCTCTCTTCTCTGAAAAAAGAGAAGCAGAGGACAGACTTTTGCAGGGTGTCTTGAGCAGGAATGGATGAATGGCAATTTCAGTTCTCTGTTTCTCATTTTTCCAGTCTGAATTTCCCTTCTAATTTCTGCAGCAACCTGCAGATTTGTGGGGGGTTTTTAATCTCTTTGAAAACATTTTAGTGTAGAAAACATTTAGGGCAGATTTCTCCTAATAAACACATTTTTGTCTAGTTACAGGTAGGTAGCCGTGTTGGTCTGCCATAGTCAAAACAAAATTAAAAAAACGGCTACCTACCTGTAACTAGAACTATGGAAGGTACCACATTAAGCCGCATGAAATGGACCAATAACAAACTTAGTTGGTCTCTAAGGTGCTACTGGAAGGATTTTTTTTTTTTACATTTTTGTCTGTGCTTTTGGCTAATATGCACTTTTCTGCAAGCATTTCCCCATGCTATAATAATGCATCTCCATGTTATTTTTACGAATGTATGCATTTTATGCACATTTCACCCAATATATGCATTATTGTACATATTATTTGGTTGGGTAATTGAATTTTTTTTTAAATGTAAATTTCTAAGGATGGCTGTGGTTTGGTTCACATATTGGTCTGAGAACTGGGAATTACATAGCTTCTCAATGAAATCATAGTATCACAGAAAGTTGGAAGGGACCCCAAGGGTCATCTAGTCCAACCCCCTGCAATGCAGGAATCTCAGCTACAGCACCCATGACAGCTGGCCATCCAACCTCTACTTAAACACCTCCAAGGAAGAAGAGTCCACAACCTCACGAGGTAGACGATTCCACTCTCACTGTCAGAAGGTTCTTTCTGATGCAAATAGAATTAAATTTCTCCTCCATCCCTATTCTTGAGAGGGGGGGCGGGTCTCCAAGAGAAATGTTGGCTTCATTCTGGATCTCGTTACATAAGAATCAGAAAACCTATCCAGGTTAACAAGATCCCATATGGGAGAAGGTAGAGACATTTCCCGGGAAATGTATACTTAGGCTTGATCCCATCACTAGTGAAGTTGCTTTTTTCAGAATTAATAACTGGATCTGCAAACAATAGATAGAGTAAATTTTCTAATTAGGCCGGCATGTAGTAGACACTGTGAACATTCAGACTTACACTGCTGCTGTGGAAGGAGGTTTGGCTGAAATCACTATGGCTTCCTCCAGTTCCTTCATAATGGCCCTGAGTCCATTTGCTCAGGGAAAAATAGGTTTGTGGAGAATTCCAACTGAATGGCTCTTCCTGGTAACACCGGGCAGATTTTAACCAACCACCAGACTACTGATCTGCATCATGATAAAGCGATAAAGGGCCAAAGACGAGCCTATAACTTTCTCCACGATTGCAGGGGAAATTCCAGACACGCTGTAAAACTGCAGCTTTAAAGCTCTGTCGGGATGCAGCGTACTTAAGATTGATTTAGAGATCTGTTATCAGGCAGAGTAATGGGGAACATTCGCTGTCCGGTCCAATAAAGCACTCTCTTTCTCCTCCGGATTAAGCTAAATGCCCTGTTCCTACTTTTAGCCTAGCAAGTTTTATTTCCATCAGATAACAATATGCTTCCAATCTGCCACTGTGCTTCTGGACGGCCAAGAAAATGTTAATCAGCCAGGGAGACAAATTCCAGAGAGAGAGAGAGAGAGAGAGAGAGAGAGAGAGAGAGAGCACACCGTGCAAAGCATTCTACTGCGATAGAGGAATCCAGCAGCTCCTGAGCTTACCACCCAGAGGGAAGGGGGTGCTTTATCAGCTGAACTGCAAAAGACTCTTGGGCTGAGGAGTTGTTGTTGGTTTTTTGTACAGTGGTACCTTGGTTTACGAACTTAATCCGTTCCAGAAGTCCGTTCTTAAACCAAAGTGTTCTTAAACCAAGGTGTACTTTCCCATAGCAGCAGGGGACTCAATTTACAATGGAACACACTCAACAGGAAGCGGAACATGTTCTGCTTCCAAGGCAGAGTTCACAAACTAAAACACCTACTTCTGGGTTTGCAGCATTCTTAATCCAAGTTGTTCATAAACTAAGCTGTTCTCAAACCAAGGTACCACTGTATCTTCGTTTTAGATCCTGTTATGATCTACGTGGAAATTGTTCAGTTTGGTTATATATTTTTTAATGCTTTGCTTCCTGTTTATGACTACTTTTGTTGAAGTTATGTGTGTGTGTATTTCATGTTGTAGGCCACCTTGAGCATTTGTTTGAGTTGTGGAAAGGCGGCATACAAATAAAATGATATCTGATGAACTGCCAAGGAACAGCACCTTGTACATTGGCAGAAGTCTTTGCGGGGATGTTGTTGACCGCAAAGTCTGCTCATGTGAGGGGTGGCCTGACTCGTTGGGCCATGCCATCATCCTCTGTGGAGCGAGAGTTTCTACTGGCACTACTATTCTGCCATTGGAATTTTTCCATATAAAGGAAAAAGGAGTAGGGAAGAGGGGAGTGTCTCTCTGTGTGGGTGTGGGTGTCTCTGTGTGACCTGGGCTTCCACCAGCTAGGTTTCAGAGCCTTCCTGGCCCAACCACCAGGGAACTCTTTCCTCTGCAAGCATTGCAGATCCTCCCCCCCCGCCCATTTATTAGTCACCTGACAGCGTAACTTACCACATGTCCTCTGAAATGCAGGTTCCTGAAGGGCACGGTGTCAACTGCCATACCAGCCTCAAACACCTCACTTAGCACTCAGTCGGCTGACCATACTGGCTCCACTGGTCATAGAATCATAGAATTGTTGAGGTGGAAGAGATCCCCAGGGGTCGTCTAGCCCAGCCCCTTACAATGCAGGAATCTCAGCTAAAGCATCCATGACAGATGCCCATCCAACTTCTGCTTCAAAACGTCCGAGGAAGGAGAGTCTGTCACCTCCCGAGGGAGACTGTTCCACTGCCAAACAGCTCTTGCCGTCAGAAATTTCTTCCTAATATTTAGTCAGAAACTCCTTGTTAGTTAAATCCATTGGTTTTGGCCCTCCCTTCTAGAGCAGCAGAAAACAAGCTTGCTCCATCCTCCATGTGACAGCCCTTAAGATATTTGAAGGTGGCTCTCATATCTCAAGTCTCCTCTTTTCTATGCTAAACAGACCCTTTTAAGTCCTTTTAAGCCCCAGCTAGTTCTTTAGTCTGAGCAACAGATTTTGTTGGACAGGCTAAACTGCCATTCCTTCCTACATATACATTACATTGCCACCCTGTGTTGGCTGCCCTAAACTACCATACTTGCTGTTGCTGTTGCTGCCGCTTCAAGACAAAAAACAGCCGAGTGGCTCCCAAATTTTTTCACACCACCGCCCATAAACCTATACCCAGTTCCCTCTACCCTACCCGATAAAAAACATTATTCAGAAAAATGGTGTGCACAACCCACAAAGAAGATAATAACACAACAAAATTCAGAATTCCAAACAGTAGTTGCAAATTTATTTAAAACCCAATTAAAACTATTTAGTTTAATGAATTCAACAAAAATTGATTAACTTGATCCAGTGACACCAGCTTTTCAAAGTCTGGCACTCATTTATACTTCTGGTGTCCCCTTGCCACTTAGCACCCCTTAGGTATTCCCACTGCCCCCCAGGAGCAGAAGCACCCACTTTGAGAACTACCTACTTAGTCTGTGGCAGCAGGAAACAGCAACAGAATAATGCCTATTATTATTATTAATTATAATTTGTTACTCTTTCTTCTGTTGCAGTGTTTCCTGTGGTTTTCATGAGGCTGATGAAGAACCCCATCTTGGTTGTGGTCATCTTGGCTATGGTCAATCTCTCTGGCATGATTGCTGGCATAGCAACCTTCATGGCCAAACTGTTGGAGAGGCAGTTCTCCCTGTCAGCATCTGTTGCCAACATGATCCTAGGTGTGTGCTACTTCCTTGTTTCCAGATCACAAGATCTCAAGGTCATTTAGATCCCATTCCTGTCGCGTTTAGTAAGGGGCAGTGCTGTGCCAAATTTTGCCAGCGTTCAATTTTTTCAGGGCAAAAATCATGAGTGGTATCCAGCTAAGTTTTACTCAGGGTAAACCCATTGAAATCAATAGAGAAAACAATGCACCATGTTATCCCTACATCTCTTTGCCAAGAGATGGGAAGGGATTGCGCTCTCCATCAGGTGGTGAGCAGTCTTTAGGCTTTTGTTGTAGAATGTACTTTGGGAATCTAATGGATTCCCAAGAGCCCAGAGGAAAGTAGGGGTGGGCATCTGAGTCTGAGTGTATACTCAGTCCAGGAATTTGCTTTTCAGTACCAGGCCTGAGCTTTTGACACAAAAAGAACTCCTGGTTTCCTCCCACCCAGATTTCTTTCAGTAGTTCAATGTGGGCGCAAGAGCTTTTTCACGGTCACTGTTCTTAAACAACTGGGAATCAGAAACCCTTGTCAATCTGTTGTTGGTTGTACGTGGAATGCCTGCTCTAAAATGGCAAATGCATGCCCAATAGAAGTGCAGGAATGTGGGTGCAACTGTACTTGCCAACCCCCCCCCCCATTTACAAGGGGGTTACGTCCTGAGGCACCGTGCACATCGGTGAAATCACGTATATTTGAAGCACCGTTAGGAAAAACTGCAAACACCCACCCCCGCCCAGTTCCACCCCTTTTTAAAGAAGCTACTTTAAAATAAGCAGGCTGTGGGCAGGGAAAGGTTGTTCTACTGGTGGATCTCTGCATTGTTTATATATCTAACAAAATCCACATACCACCTGATTGTAACAAAACCCCTGCAGTTTAAAGAAGGAACAGGCAGGGTTATCGTTGCTTTTTAAAAATGTATTTTGTGTTCTGATTTTGTAGTTTTATGTTGTGATCTTCATGTGAAGGTTGGTATACAAATTTAACAAATCATCACCACCGTCCCACAGGAGCTGTCAACATCCCGAGTGGCATGTTCGGAATCGCCCTTGGAGGTGCCATCATAAGGAACTGCCGCCTCTCCCTCACCCAGATCGCCCTGATGAGCGTAATCAGCATGGGTCTCTGTACCATCTGTGACGTGCCGCTCTTCTTCTTGGGCTGCCAGACGCAGACGGTGGCAGGACTTGACCTTTCTGGAAGGTATACAAGCATGCCTGTTTAAAGGAAGATGTGGGGAAGTTATCCAGTTTAAGGCCATAGAAGTGTAGGTTTGAAGAAAAATGAAAGTCTTTAACTGTAGGGATTTTCAGTTGACATGCCTCTATTCCTGGCTCCTTCCTTAAGTCTTCCTTTTTTCTTTGGCACTCCCTCCTCTTTGGTCTGCAGGAAACCCATTTTCTGTCTACACCTTGTTATAGGAAAATCCTTGGGCTCACTTGCATTGCCAAACAAAGACACCAGCTAGGAATATAGGAGCAAAACAGCAGCCTGTAGGACTGATCTTTATTTAGAAGACTGTTGCAGGACTTTCAGCCACCACATGGAAAAAGCAGGAAGAAGCCCCGAACAAAGGATGGCTCCCTTTTTTATAAGTTTCCCTTTTTACCCACAACACCCTTAGTGAAGTATCATACATACATCATATATACATCACAGCTATTTCATAACCTGGGAGGGGTCTTCTGGCAGAAACCTGAGCATCAGGTTTGCCCCTATCCGTACCTTGACCTCCACTTCACACCGATTAAGTACAGTGGTACCTAGGTTCTCAAACTTAATCCATTCCGGAAGTCCATTCCAAAACCAAAGCTTTCCAAAACCAAGGCAGCTTTCCCATAGAAAGTAATGCAAAATGGATTAATCTGTTCCAGACTTTTAATAACAACCCCTAAAATAGCAATTTAACATGAATTTTACTATCTTACGAGACCATTGATCCATAAAATGAAAGCAATAAACAATGTACTGCAGTCACACAATCAATCAGTGAATCAATCAATAGTTGAACTGGGTTCCACACAATCACAAAAACAAAACAAAAAGAGTGGCAAAAATGAAACTGCAAAATAAATAGCAAAACAGACAGACCTCAGCATAACTCTCAAAATGGAAGTGTGGCACTCAAATCGGAGCACATTCGACTTCCCAAAGAAGTTCGCACACTGCAACACTTACTTCCAGGTTTGCAGTGTTTGTGTTCCAAGTTGTTTTGAGTACCAAGGTGTTTGAGAACCAAGGTACCACTGTAAAACAAAGGTGAGTATGTACATGGCCAAGTTAACCACACCTCTTTTGTCTTGACCAAGATCCTAACCAACTGAGGTTAGGATGGCTACTGTCTGGCACTCAGAGCCAGGATGCCAGCAATTATCTCCCATGCAAGAGGTTGCTGGGTACGTGATCTTGGGCTTCAGGGATTATGGCTGCCCACTTCCCAAACTCCCCCCTTGGTAGTCATTCATTTCCTGAACAGAACAAAGTTGGAACGGCACAAATCCGATATTGGAGTGATTTTATATGACTTTCTAAAGTTTTCCCATTCAGCCAATACATAGATACATTTCTCAGTGAACTGTTACATTTGGTATTGTGCAGCGGAGACCCCTTTGAATAGAGATGGGGGCGGGGACTGTGTAATGAAGTGTTTTGTGGGAACATTTGCGGGCGTGATTGTGTTGATTTTGGTAGTGGGGGTATGTATGATGTCTGCTGGAGGGGCAACCTCCCCAACCTTTCTCCAAATTCTGGTAACAACCTTGCGTAGCTTCTTCCATCTTGCATTCCCATTTGCTCCTCTCATGCTTCTCCATACTACCTCTGATTTCTGCCATTGAGTAAAACTCATACGATCAGTTGACTATCGTGTCTTGTACTGAATGACAGCCCCAATAAATATTTGCATAAGCCTTTGTGCAAGCGCATGCAAAAATGTCCCAGGGCCGTGATACTCTTGCTGACCTAATTCTGTGCTTTTCCTTCTGCAGTTCTGGAATTGAAGAACACGTTTTCGATTGTAACCAAATGTGCAAATGCTCCCCGTCAGCCTATAACCCTGTGTGCGGTGCGAATGGTATTGAATACATCTCCCCTTGCTACGCTGGCTGCACAGGGCTAAATATCGAATCCGAAACACACAAAGTTCTGGTGAGTATAGATTCTTCTAGATCTTCATAAAGAAGCCTGCAAGAGGAAAGTGGTCAGGAAAGTGGTGGGCTTGAAGTGGAGAAGCATCAGGTGGGAGGTGTCCCTACCTCTTCCGTGCCTCTGCTGCAAATTGCCCTCTTTTGTTTTGGCATCCAGAGTCCGCTACATGCTCTTGCCTGCCATGCATAGTTAGGCCCTAAGGAACCACACTCAGTTCCCTCCACATACAGGATACCGGGTCAGCATCCCTCAGGCAGGCTTGAAAATGGGCACTGCTAATGTGAAATACACATGAGCCCCATGCTGGGCAAAAGATTCCTGCATTGCAGAGGGTTGAGCTGGATGACCCTTGGGGTCCCTTCCAACTCCACACCAGTGTGGTGTAGTGGTTAAGAGTGGTAGACTCGTAATCTGGTAAACCGGGTTCGATTCCCTGCTTCTCCACATGCAGCTGCTGGGTGACCTTGGGCTAGTCATACTTCTGTGAAGTCTCTCAGCCCCACTCACCTCACAGAGTGTTTGTTGTGGGGGGGGGGAGGGAAAGGAGAGTGTGAGCTGCTTTGAGACTCCTTAGGGTAGTGATAAAGCGGGATATCAAATCCAAACTCCTCCTCCTCTTCCTCCTCTGCTGCTTCTTCTTCTTCTTCTCCTTCTTCTTCTTCGTTTGTGATTCACGCTTTTAGATTAATGGATGCTCCTTATTCAAGATGGGGGAATGGCAATGGGGAGAAGGGAAGGAGGAGATCAGTCTTAACCTTTCCTCCCACCTGCCCCTGGTACTGTTGCCGTTGTTCCTTCTCTGACTTCCTGCCCCTTCCCTCAGAACTACACCAGTTGCAACTGCATTGTTGTCGACGGCGGCTATGGATATGCTACACCTGGGAGTTGCAGCTTCCACTGTTCCAAATTCCTGATGCCTTTTGTGACCATCGCTTCCTTGTCCACGTTCCTGGGGAGCCTCGCACACACGCCGGGCTTCGTGCTTGTTCTGAGGTACTTCGTGACATTTTAAAAGTACTTCCTAGGAACATTTGAGCAGCGGCCTTTCTCTGTCAAGGAATCTAGATCAGATGCGTTTGTGGGCTCTGCTGTCTTTGAATGCCTGTCCTTCACAAAGGGGAGGGAAGAGATGGTTCATTAAAAAAACCCAAAAACAGTTTATGCCCAGTTGTTTATTGATTAGTGTTCACCGGGAATTACATGGCACTTCACCGACAGACTCTTAGTCCCCAAAGAGCCTATAGTCTAAACTTTGACAATGGAAGAAATGGCAGCTATGGGGCAGGAATGGGAAAGGCAAAGGAAGCAAAAATATGAATATGAACAAATGCAGCTAAATGCTCTCTCTTGAGCTCAGTTCAGTGGGAGTAAAGAATAAGGGCATAAGCCTCCTGTGAAAAGTGAGTTTCAGGGGGGATTTTAAGGGAGAGAGCGAGAAGGAAGTGCCACCACAAAGTGTTTCGAAAAGAAGTTCCAGGCATTAGGAGCAGCAAGGGAAAGAGAACAGCATCTCTTCTGAAAAATACACCTCATGTGCAGAAAGTTGGAACAAGGGCTGGAAGGATCTGTCCATTTCAATTCTCTTAGTTGATTCCCCCCCCCCCCAACTTCCAATCTTAAATTCAGTTTTCCAGATTTCTGCAGCAATTTGCATATATATGGTTATTAACCCTCATGAAAATTTACCCACGTTCTGTTGTGGATTTCTTCCAATAAGCACATTTTTGCATGCAGTTTCAACTAATGTGCACATTTTTGCAAGCAGTTGTTTTCTAGCGTAGCAGCAGATCACCTAGCCTGAAGAGTCCCCAAGGGCTCACAGCCTTCTGCAGACATGCCCCTTTGGCTCCCACCACTCCCTTTTGGCTTTCTCTTTCAGAAACGTTGACCCTGAAGATAAGTCTTTTGCCATAGGGATACAGTTCCTCATGCAGAGAGTTCTAGGTAAGTCAGAGGCAAGTGGTGCGTGTGTGTTTGGGGCACAGTCAGTTTGCTGTTTGGTGGTGAATTTCGCATCCTGAAAAGGAAATTTCCAGCCTTGGTGGTTGTACAGAAAACTTGAACACTTGTTGAGTGTGCAGGGTGAAATCTCAGAAGCCAGAGCAATCTTTGCTTTCTGTGCATTTTAACTTGTGGACACATTCAAGAAGCATTTACAGATTTGACTGGGGTCCAATAGGCCCCAATAAATTCATAGTCAAAGCACACACACACTATACTGAATAATTATTCCAAATTTAAGATACAACATAAGTTTTTTATAGTACAGGTGTGCAATTATGCAGGGGTGATAATGTAATGATCCCCCCAAACAATATTACCGTATTTTTCAATCTATAAGATGCCCCCATGTATAAGACGACCCCTATTTTGGGGGACTCCAATTTAAGAAAATGGGGGAGATGGCCCCTGTGTATAAGATGCCCCCACATTTTGGACATTATTTTTTAGGGGGAAAACCTAGTCTTATACACAGAAAAATACAGTAATTCCCATTGTGCTTGGCAGACCCCTGCTTACTAATGCAATGTTTTTCTTCAACTCAAACCCTTCTTGAGAAAAAGAACCAAAATACAGTGGTACCTCTGGATGCGAACGGGATCCGTTCCAGAGCCCCGTTTGCATCATGACGTGAACGCAGTCCGCGCATGCGCGGTTCACTGTTTCTGTGCATGCGCGTGACATCATTTTGAGTGTCTGCGCATGTGCGAGCGGCAAAACCCGGAAGTAACATGCTCCGTTACTTCCAGGTCGCCGCAGAGCGCAACCCGAAAATCCTTAACCTGAAGCTACTTCAACCCACGGCATGACTGTATATGAAATAGCTAACATCGCCTTATTTTATCTGCCACATCAACATAAAGTAGGTGTTGTTGTTTTGTTTTAAAATCAAACATATGCTATCATAAGTTTTCTTAATGACAAATAAATCATAGTAAATAGTGATATACACACACACAATTCGTGAGATTATAATATATGTAATCAATAATAATATAGAAATGTCCATCTAGTTCTTAATTATAAAAAAGATAAAAAGAGGGGGGGAAATAGGTGGTAAAATTAAAAAAATGAGTAGAAAGAGAAAATGTAAGCCTTTACTCAAAACAGCCATTTCCCACAATTTGATGTGACATTCCGTCAAATGGGGGCATTTCCTTTCTCCACCAATATTTTGCATATGGAATTGGTGCTACCACTATCATCTGAAATAACAAATTTCCCTCTTCACTGGGTGTTGCACTTTTCAACTACATAAACAGAAAAATTCAGAAATCTTTCTGAACCTGGAGTTTCAAAACAGATCTTGTATTGGTTGTTGTTTCTTGCCAGTTTCTTTTAGCTTCAGGCAGTTCCACCAACTGTGTCTAAAATCACTTCTGGTTGCACCTCATCCCCAAATGTGGAGATATAGCTATTGCACTGTTAAAGCAAAGTGTTAAGCATGTTGGGATCATTTGGCTCCCACCAGTACCTTGGATAGGTGGTTGTCCCCCACCACACGTACATTTCCATTGCAATTTAACTTACCCCATACCTTTTACTGAGCCCCTCAAATTAAAGACACACACATACCAAATAATTTTATTTTAGTTTTATAAAACGACACACATGAAGGGACAGGGGACCTGAAATACAATCATTGCTCTTACTACAATGGAATACAGTAAGCATGCAGTGGCATAGATATGGGGTGGAGGCATCTGTCTCGCTTATCTAGATCAGCCAGTAACAAACTGAGCTGAAGCTGCTCTTCCCATTAGTTGCAGGCATACGTAATAATGAAATGCCTTCCTTATTTAGGCTGCTCCAAAATAGGATGCCACGGATCGGGGCCCCATGCAATCGTGTGACTCTCTTCTGCCCTGCAATGAAACTGCCTGGCTATTTCCCTGTTTCTTACTGCGAGGCCAGCAAGCAGTTTCCAAGCTGCTTGGGTGACTTCAACGCAGTGCATCTCTAACCCCTTTCAGTTCTCCAAAACCTGCAAGATGGCCAAGTGGTCCAGGCTGAAATCTGGCAATATCAGGGCTGCTGTTGGAAAGGTCTGGGGGAGGCCAACTCTTAGGTGGCATGAACCTCTTGCTTGCTTTTCTAGCCTGGCTGCCTGCCCCAGTGGTGTACGGTAGCCTCATTGACACAGCCTGCGTCCTGTGGCAATACAAGTGCCAAAAGAGAACAGCCTGCAGATACTATAACAATGTATTATTCCGGCACAGGTAAGCCTCCTACTGAGCCCCTCTCTTTGTCCCCATAACAGGTCACTAATTTGGGGTGTGTGTGTGTGTTTGTGGTATCAATACTATCTACAGACAAGGGTCAGGTTGAAAGGCAACAGCAAAAGATGGAGTTTGCTTATTTTAAAGAATGCATACCCTGCCCCTCATTGCAACTGATCTCATGGCACAGCGATTTTAAAATACAGCAAAGTGAAAACAAGACAAAGCAAAAGAGATGCAAAGTCCCACAAGACTGGCCATCTGTTCAGGTGGCCAAGTGCATAACACTTGCCCTTCAACTGCTTTTGGCTTTACTGAGTTTCCTCCTTCTGTGCAGGCCATGTCTTCAGATAACGATGACTTTCAGAAGTTTCTTCTAGGTCAGAAGATAGGGTTAGTTGTATGAATCTTAATTTTAGCCACAGTAGTCCTTTCAAGCCCAAGGCAGGGCATGTGGCAGAATTTGGATTCCTGGGGAGTGGAGAAGAAGGCCTGGCATCCATTTTAAAATGGAAGGATGGCTAGGCAGGCAGGTAGATGCTGCACTGTGGTCCCTTTGACCTCACTGATTTATTCCTTTTAATTTTTGGGGCCCTCAGGTTTGTTGGCCTTCAGATTTTTTTGGAAGCAAGCTGCTTTGCGTTGCTTTGCATTCTATACTTCATGTTAAAAAAGAAGGAGAGTGGAGCCCGCAGAGAATCCGGCACCAGCTCTCCGTCAGTGGTCCAGGAGTCAGCTGCTTGACCAATGCACCAGAACCAATTTCTATTCCACCAAAAGAAGAGGCCGAGCTGCAGAGGTTAAGCATGAGTCCCAGCTGCTATGCGAACAGAACGAGACTGAAGACAGAGGAGACTTCCTCGTGCTGTGTTTTGGCACTTTTATCCGTTCCTTCTTTTGTACATACAACTTGGTTTTAGCTGCCCAAGAGCCATTTGGCAAAGGGCAAGATATAAATATTATACATAAACATATAACCCACCTGTCAGTAATAATAGGATCCCCAAGCTGATCATTAGACACTGCATACCACCTTCGGTGCAACGTCTTATATTTCCTTCCTGGAGAGAGGCCTGTGGTTCTGGTTTGCTGGTTCAAGATGAAGAGCAGTGGGAGATTGGGCAACGGCACCAGCAAGAGGAGGCTGCCTTTGTCTGCTACAGAGAGAAGGAGAATCCTTATGGTTGAACCCTTCTTATCTTCATGGAGGAAGCAGCGACGCCCTACAATTTCATCACGATATCCCCTTTACGTATAGTAACAGCACAGGGAAGTGGCACCTTAACGTGCCCATTTTACGGACAGAGAACTGAGATAACGACCTCGTCCAAGAGAGTCGGGTGGACTGGCTGTTCTAAAGCCCGACGCTGTCACTTCTGGATTACATGGACTCTCAAAGAAGAGAACCAGTAAGGGCTGGAATAATTCCTTCCAGGAGTAATCACTTTTGTATAAAAGAAAGCTTACATTGACAATAATATATCCTGTGGCATTGTGCGTTTATGAAAAGTTTGTGTCAGTTGCACTGGGGCAAGTTAGTCTGACTCCAGGGGAAATGTTGTTTGGAACATGTCATGTTATGGGGAGTCTACAGAAGTCATCACACTTGGTCCACGATTGGGTCAGGAAAGTGCAGGAACGGGTATGGGGTGCTTCATTCAACTTCTGGAGAATCTCAACTGTCCTTTCAAAAAATAAAAGCGAGCCTTGGAAGTGTGTGGGTCGAGGGATGGTCAGAAGCTGGGGTTTGGGGGTGGGCATATGAAGCTGCCTTCTCCTGAGTCAGCCCAGTGAGGTCTCCCCTGGCTCTTAGCCGCTGATCAGGGTATCTCAATCCTGCAATCCTTTTGAGTCAAAATCCTGGGGAGTGAGCTGGGGAATTCTGAGTGCAAAACCGGTGCTCTGTCAGTGAGCCGTCACCTCTCCAGATGTGGAAGGAGAAAGAACTTGCCCATGTGAATACCACCTGGTGGAAACCCTTACACATATGGTTCTTAATTTTAAACTATATGCTGATCTCCGCCAGCAATTTCTAGATGAACTCTGTATCTCCGAATGGAAACCAGAGTTGGAGGCCATACATTTTCTATTACTGGGGAATGATCAGGAGCTCACCAAGTTAATGGCTAAATATCTCTATTTGTTGTTGTTTTTTGTCGTTGAAATACACTGCAGACGTCTGATCTCCCTGGAGACCAAGAGATGTGACGATAGACCTCTCTGCCTCCTTTCTTTTAGCAAATGTTTTGTGCCACTGGGGAAGTAGTAACTCTGTCTTGATTTGTTTTAGATGTTTGTATGTGATGCCAATAAAAGGTTTGATGATGAGATTAAGGGTAAGGATGGGAGAGAGATGTGCTAGTAGACAAACCTACCCGATCCATATCTCCCAAACCAATAAGCAAACTGAAACACCTAACCTTCAAAGTTCAAACTTCTCCAAATTTGGAGGCACAGTTCTCCAAACATAAGGTATATAAAAATGCATATCTTGATGAAAACATTGCTTTCTTTAAGTTCTGTTCGGTGGCCCTTCCTCCCAGAGGACCTCAGGGCAGCAAACAACAAGTGATACACACATATTAAAACAATTCCAGTACAGATGCAACCTGGGAAAGATCTTGACTTCAACAGCTCGCTGGAAGAGGAAAGTCTTCAGCGGGTGCTGAAAAGACTACAGAGTCTGTGCCTGACTAATATTCAGGGGGAGGGAATTACAAAGGGTCAGTGCGTCCACACTAAAGACCTGATTCCTATCGCATAAGAACTGGACCTCCTGATAAGTTAGTATCTGAAGGAGTCTCACCTGCAGGGGGCAGCGATCCACTGAGTATATAAGGGGGTGGGTGGTCTTTCAGGTCTCCAAAACCACACCAAAACCAGCACCTTCAACTTAGCCTGAATTTTGTATTGATAAGAAATACGCTGGAAAACAATAAGGAAGAACTTGCAGTGCTCAGTTTATAACATAGGACACGACTTTATAATGTGATCATGGGGCGTCGAGAAAGTGTAAAACAAGGCAGCTACATAAGAACAGGAATCATTCTCAAAATATAATTATAAACAAACCTCTTACATATGTACCTTAGGTGCGCCAATGGGGGGGGCAGATGACCCCCCCCCAAACAAAATTCAGTGAAGGGACTGGGAGTCCTCAAAGTTCTGTGGCAGCCATGCAGGCACATCGCAGGACATGTTTGCGTCACACGTTCAAGCTGCACATATACAAAGTCACAGAGAGGTGTGAGCTTACTTTTGCCGGGTAATCGCATTTACCGTACTTTTCCATCTATAAGACTTTTCCATCTATTTGGAGGGACTCAAATTTAAGAAAATGGGGCGGGGGGAGAGATGGCTCAGAGTTGTTGAGCTTTTTTGCAGAGGATTGCTGCCCAGAGTTTTACAGCTCTTTTCGCTCACATGTACCATCGACACAATCACCACTAGCATACAATCACCCACTTGCCAGAGGGACAGCCAATCAGAAACAGACCCTTCCCCAGCAAAAAAATTCTTATCTGACTGAGAAAAGCTGTCTGCTGGCAATCGCATGCGCTCCAGAACAGGCGCCAATCATGGCAGCGGCAGCCAATCAACAGCAGTGTTTGCTGCAGAAGCCAATCACCAACCCAATTAGAGAAGCAGCAGCCAATCCAAAGCAGCCCTTCTAGCAGCCAACAATCATCACTGACAAACTCCTGCTTGCAGCTGGAGCCAATCACCCATCCACCCCATTCACTATCCATGTACAGTCATACCTCACATTACGTCTGCTTCATGTTACGTTCTTTCAGGATACGTCCCGCGGTGACCTGGAAGTACCGGAAAGGGTTACTTCCAGGTTTTGCCATTCGTGCATGCGCAGAAGTGCAAAATGACGTCATGCGCAGAAGCGGCAAATCGCAACCCACGCATGAGTAGACGCGTCGCTGTAGGTTGCACTCTTTTCATGTTGCGAACGGGCCTCCGGAACAGATCCCGTTCGCAACTAGAGGTACCACTGTATAAGACGAGGCAAGTTTTTGAACATAATTTTAGAGTAAAAAAACCCTTGTCTTGTACACAGAAAAGGTACGGCATATTAGGCCTAACTTGGGACAAACAAATGCTCATCTCATCAGCGCAAAGAAGCCTTGTTCTTTTCTGATCTTGCATATTTGTCAGAGTTGAAAATCCCTGATCACAACAATATGTCATGGAGAATGGTAGAAGAATATAAAAGTGCTCTTGAAGAGAGGTGTTTCTGGATGAACATCCAAACAAATTTATGATACTATACTGAAATGTTTAAATGTTTATTTGACTGTCCTTGAAACTTCCTGCCACCCTTGTCATGCTCTCCTGCCACACCAGTGTGGCCTGCCACACCCTTGAGAACCACTGGAATAAGGTAAGCTCCTATTTATTCCTGCATCACAGGGGGTTGGACTGGATGATCTTTGGGGTCCCTTCCAACTCTGCAATTCTATTACTCTGCTTTGCATGCAGAAGGTCTCGATTTCTGTCCTTTTCACCTCCATGTTATAAAGGTCCAGGTTGTTGCCAATGATCTGGAAGACCCTCTCCCTGAGAATCTGAGGACCACTCTGCATAAAGTAGAAAATACCTGGCTAGAGCAGAGACTGTGTGACTCTGGTGCAAGGGCTGAGCTTAGGCTCCCTCAAAACCCCACCAGGTAACTCCTGGTTAAATGCTGGAGCTCAAATCCATCAGGGAGCAAGAAGAAGCTTTCAAGCAGGAGACAGTTGCAGAGGCATGGGCTGAATATTGTATTGAATGGCACAGCTGTTCTTTAGTCCTGGCGATTGCCGGAAATGAGCAGGAAATGAGCCTACCAACATTGCAAAGATTCCATGCCCCCACCCACCCCCCAAAAGTAAGAGGCATCTTTTGCAATAATATTGCTGCAGTCTGCATGATGCAATGATAAAAAGCTGGACCAATTACCCACCTCAAAATTGGGAAACTCATTTCTGACAAGGAAAGCCTGGAACAATTTGCTAGCCATTCAAGCCAGAACAATGGGCAATCTCACTAGGCCTTCTGAAGGGGAATAAGTGTGTGTGTGTGTGTGTGTGTGTGTGTGTGTGTGTGTTGCCAGTCACGATCATGGCCTTTCTGGCTTCAGATGCTGCTATGTTGGGTGGGAGAAATGGGTGTGATTAAGGAAACCAGATGCATTTGGGAGGGGGCAGGGGAGCTGGTTTCACTTCCTGAGATTGCAGAAGAGAGAATTTTGGGGACTGCCAGGGCTCATCTACACAGCTGCAAATAAAACATTTTAAATGTGTCGTAAAGTGCAATATACTGATGAGACACTAGATGGCGACAGTGAGCTACGCAAAACTTTATGTGCTTTTCAAAACTTTTTTTAATAAAAGCATTTTCACAACGTTTTTTATATGTGTGTAGATTCCACCCCAGTCTGTTCACTGCTGTAGCACTACAGCATGAAACATTTCACTACCAGGCAAGGATGAGGGGAGATTTTGACATAGGTTGCATTTAAAGATCAACTTACCTAATTTTCAATTTCTGAAAAAATATGCAAACTGAAACAGAGCTGCTGATTGAACGCCACACTTCTCTGAATTTTGCAGTACAGTTCTCCAGCTAACTAATGTGTGCAAAAATGCATACAGTAGAAAGTGTGCGTGCAAAAAATGAAAATACTTGTGAAAAGCACATCCAAAAATCCATTATGTGTGGGAAAACTGCTTTATACAACAACAGCTTTATAC